TAAATTATGAAAATTTAAAATAAATAAAAATAAATAATGAAAATAAAATAAAAAATAGTAAAAAATAAATTAAAAAAACTGTTTTTTTTTCCTTGCCTCAGGCGCAAAGGGAGCTGGCTACGGCTATGGTCCCGTGGTGCTCGTGCGGCTGCACCACGGGAGGACAGGACGCCGGGACCTGTAATGTACTGGAATGCACTGGAATGTAAGCAGGCCGACTCCCTGCGTTCAGGTGCGGGAGGGGGTGTGGAGCTGTATTGAAGTCAATGGCATCGCCCACAGTGCGATCGCCGGCACTCGGAACGCAGGCACATTAGTGCCTGCATCCCGGTCCAGTGCGATCTGCAAAAATAGTGCTCGCAGCATTTTTGCGGATCGCACTGGTCTGGAACACAGGCACTAATGCAGGCGATCGCACTGTGGGCGAGGGGCCTGCCTGCACAGCCTACGCCTCCTCCCGCCCCTGAATGCAGGTGTTTTTTCGTTGGTAGATCTCAATGAGCTCGTCATTTGAAAAGTAGATCTCCAGACGAAAAATAGTGGGCGTCCCTGTTATATAGGCTAGACTTCAAACATGTATGCATTCCATGGTGGATTGATGTGGCTAGTAGTTTACACAATAACGGTGATGTTCAGTGTGCTTTCTTATAAGCTCACAGGAAGCAACAAGGACAATTCATTTTTGGAACAATCAAAAGGTGTTTTCTGTAATTGCTAAAAATGTTCCTAGCCTGAAAAATGAAAACTAATGTAGCCATTACATCTATTTTAGGGAAAAGGCAAATGAACAAAACGATTTGGATTATGCATAACTCCCATGTGTGCCACAAACACAAACTTTGAAGCCTTTACTTTTGGTACTTCAGAATCAGGCTGTGTTTGGAGTTTAGAGTGCAGCAAGGCATAGCAGAGGCAATGTGTGGGGAATAAATGTGCAAAGTAGGTGGTAGATAGATGAGTGGAATGACCAAATGGACAAGAGGGAACAGTACAGGGCAGGAGAAGACGTCAGTACAAATGGGTTACCTAGCAAACAGTCTCCCCTCTATTACTGGGAAACCTTACTTTCATGGTTTTGGAAACATTGCATTACACTTTTGTAATGGTAGAATTTACACTGTGGACTCCAACTGACAGTGTGAACTCCATATTCAGCAGGATCTTGATGTAACACTGAGAATATTCACTTGCTCTAAGAATATTTTTTAGATGTAAACATTGAAAAACATGCAAGCCTATGCTTTCTATAAATCTATTTTAAGGCAGCAGATATGATACATGATTTGTTAAATTGCTTGTTGACCTTTGTTTTAATTTGTAAGGATTGAACATCTGGAAGCGGATGACCTAGATAAACTAGATGATGTACTGTTTGGCTTCATGGCCCCTAAAGCAGCAGTGATCAGCACTCCTAATGCAGAGTTTAATATACTTCTTCCCAAAACTCAAAAGTTCAGACACCCAGATCACAAGTTTGAGTGGAGCCGAGAAGAATTTCAGAGCTGGTAAGATATTTTCATTGTATGCTTTTTGTCAAACTGGATTTGTTCTCTAATGAACTTCTAAAGTAGCTTTGTATTACAGAGACACTCTTATTTCGGTTGATGTTTATAGACTTATTCTGCCATCTTCAAGATGAGCATATTATTATTTCCAAAATGTACTTGTAAGCACTGTAAAGGTAAATACAGGCTACTGTATTCTATTATATCTTTATTATGAAAATGCACCCAAAATGTTTCTTTTTTTTATGCACCGGGGGGAATTTATCAAAACTGGAGCAGACAAAATCTGGAGCAGCTGTCCATAGTAACCAATCAGCTTCTCTCTTTCATTTTCAAAGCTTAACTGAACAGACTAAACCAAGACGTTGATTGGTTGCCATGGACAACTGCTCTAGATTCTGTCTGCTCCAGCTTTGATAAATTCCCCCCACTGTGTTTTTTAAGATCCGCATGGAACAGAATTCCATGGATTTATTCTAAATACTTAGGGGTCTATTTTTAAACATTTTGCAGAGCCATTCACCATGAAGCTCTGTTAATGTTTATCTGTGTTAGTGGATGCACAAAACAAGTTTTCTTACTATATTCTCTTTATAAGTCCAATGTCATTTTGAATGTCATTGTGTGATACTGCATTATGGCCGCTAGATGGAGCAGAGGAGCTTAGGAAATAAATACTTCTTTCCTATGCTCCTCAGCTCCAACTAGTGACCATAATGGGGTATTTGAATAGAAAAAAATATATACGAAGAATGTTCGTTTTGGGGTTTCATCTGCACAGAACGAACATTCACAGAGAATCGCAGGGGAAATGGCCTGCCTAATGCCTGCCATTGTAATGTTTTAAGAAAAATTTCAGATGCTTTATTATATGTTTGAGATCTTAGCAAGTATGTTTTAAAACAGTTCAGAGTTTAATCAATTGGACATTTTTATTGCTAAAAACATTGTCATGATATATATTGAAAAAACTGATTGCCTTTAAATTAAAGGATAAGGAATCAACATTTTCTGATTATTTTCCCAGCTTCCCCTTTTCTACTGTGCTGATGTAACTCATCCTCCCCCTCCTGTGCTGTATGCTTACACAGTTCTGCCACAATGTTTACCTATAGCCGGTGCATTTTCTCCTTCCTTCAAAATGATCCCTGTAGCTGGAAAGGGCTGTAATAGCATTCTGAATGAGCTGCACTGCTCCGGACAGTTCCATGTCTTTTGATTGCAAAACTTTTAAAATAGTATTTATGTGGTTCAATATTTTTGTTTGCAGGACGCCAAGTAGCACAAACTCAAAAGATTCAGCTTTCTTTTTTAGATTTGCAGCATCATACCTCCCTCACTGCCTGCCACATCGGAACCTCCTTCGTGCTATGCCCAGATAAGGTCAGCGGTCCATGCGTTGTGCGATTTCCCCCCTGGCCATGGCACTCGGGCAGTGCATTTCTTCGCTGGGCCCCCCCCTAAGTGGCAGAATGCCAGGGCCCGGTCGCAATTGCGACCGCTGCGACCCTGGTAGTTCCGCCAGTGCCTCTATGGATCCAGGTAACTAATCTGTCTCCCAGCCCCATAGGAGTCCAGGGGATTCTACTGCACATGCATGGCAAGAGGGACCTGGACCCAGTATATAGGGCTTGTTCACACCATCTCCAGACCGGTTCTGGATGTGTTTCCGCGAACATGTTTAAGTGCATTTGTTATGTGTTTTTAATGGGTTCCGGTGCATTATTACTTGTTTTGCTTGGGTTTAGGCATGTTCTGGTGCGTACTGGTGCATTTATATGGGTTTACATGTGTTTTTGCGTGTTCCGGTGCGGAAAAAAACATGCTGCTGTACTTTTTAAAAAAGTTCTGGAACTTAGCGCAGTAGTGTAAACTAGCCTAATTTACAACCATTGGAATTACTGTGTATGCATTTTTGGTGCAGATAAAACACTGCACTGGTCTGGAGATGGTGCGGACAAGCCCTAAGTGACAGTGTTGCTGATCTCCTCCAACCTCCAGTGATCTCTACACATACCAGCAATCAGCTCCTGGCACAGGAAGTCTCTTATCATTATTAACTTGTAGTGGCTTACACTGGCACTGTAATCTCTGGCCTGGCAGCTCATAACAACAACCCCCCCTCCACTTGACATGCAGCTCGCAGCACTTTACTTCATTCCCTACACCGCTTTCACCACTGCAGCTGACCCCCATCATTCTCCCCCCACACCACACCTGGACAGCAACCACCACTCTAACCATTGCACCTGACCTCCATTATCTCCTCCTGCTCTCACCAGCTCTGCCACATGCCCCCACTTCTCTGCCATTGCATTAATGCCCCTCGCTGCCACTGTACCGATGCATGTCTCATCACTCGCTGCCACAGAGCCAATGCACACTGTGCTTTGTTCCACTACAATGATGCTCTCTTCTGTATTCAGCCTGTTAAATGAACAAGGAGTCAGCTTTAGGATTAACCTGTGTGGGAAAACACAGCAAAGTGCTTCATTTTATACTGCTGTTTATGATCCCTTGATCTCCAAACCTGGTTATGCTGTGTGTGGTCTGTTTCTTTTAAGGCCCATGCACAATATTGCGTTACGGTAATGCATAACTATAATGACAACACAAATGGATCAATGATGTAGTTTAAAAAATATATAAATTACATTTTGCTTTGTATGGTGTTCTTGTCTTTATTCTTATTTGTTGTCCATTTATGTATATACAGGTGAAACTCGAATAATTAGAATATCGTGCAAAGTTCATTTATTTCACTAATGCAACTTAAAAGGTGAAACTAATATATGAGATAGACTCATTACATGCAAAGCAAGATAGTTCAAGTCGTGATTTGTCATAATTGTGATGATTATGGCTTACAGCTCATGAAAACCCCAAGAACCCCAAATCCACAACCTCAAAAAAGTAGATTATTACATGCAATCAATAAAACAAGGATTGTACATAGAACAATATCGGACCTCTGAAAAGTACAAGCATGCATATGTACTCAGTACTTGGTTTGGGCCCCTTTTGCAGCACTTACTGCAATTACTTTTGCACGATATTCTAATTATTCGAGTTTCACCTGTAGTATATTTCAATTAACTGAACTCACAGGGAGTAAAGAAGCATGTGTAACATTTTAGTTATCTTTAACATTGTGGATGTTTTTGGTGAACAGTAGTCAGCAGTCATTACCATCTTTGTATTTTAAATCCAGGGCTCTCAAAGTTGCCAGACACTATAATTATACAGTAGAGTTCAGTGGGGTTGGAAAACCACCACCAGACCATGAAGAGGTGGGCTTTTGCTCCCAGATTGCTGTATTTATGAAGAACTACACTGAGAGTGAAGAATCAATCAGTATTAAAAAGCAATATAAGAGTATTTACAATACAGTAAGTAATATGATTTATGCACAAAGACTGTCCTGGTGTCTCTTTTTAAACAATTAAACGTATCTAAACCCAAGAACAAAAATGTAATATGATGTAATACCAGTCCTTAGATGTGGTGGGTGCACTGGTTTTCATTGTTCTGACTAAGTACATTTTCTGCGAGTACTGAAAAAAATCTGTTGATCCAGTGCACAGGAAATCTGTAACTTCCTGTGCACTGAACTAGAATCTTAAAAGAGAACTATGGGGTATGTGTTTTTCCCCATAGTTCTCTTGAAGGAGAATTATGACATAAGGGCAAATAAAAATAGCCCTTACCTTGATTGTAGTAGCATCGTTCCTTTTCTAAAGTCGCAGCACATCACAGATAAAACCCTCAAAACCTGTAGTAAACGGCCGTCTTCAGCCCTGCTCCAAGCTCCTTTCCTCTTAGGGGGCGTTAGCAGTTGATCCAGCCCGCCCACGGCTTTTTTTTTCAAATGATCTCATTGCTGTGGCCGCGCTTCCTCTCATCGTGCACAGCTGTGTTTTGTCAGCGCGTGCACGCTGGCATTTGTGAGCGGGAGGCGGAGTCTGAAGTGAGAAGGCAGCAGCAAGAGACAATAAGAAATAAACGGACTCAGCCTCCCTGCACATTCAGTGCTCTTTCCCCTCTCTCATCAGCGATCCCCAGTAATTAGGATGTCAGCATAACACAGGGGGAGAGAGAGAGGGGATAAAGAGCCATCCCTCTCTCCATCATTTACTAGAAATGGGCAAGTCCATATATGGTGAATGATGTCACTGTGTATCCCTGCAGACTGGCAAGCATCCGATCAGCAGGGATCCCCAGTGACATCATTCCCCATATATGGACTTGCCCATACGTGATAAATGATGAAGAGCGAGAAAGGGCTCCCCTCTCTCTCTCCCTGCCCTGTGTGACGCTGATAAACATAAATGACTGTGGATCGCTGATGACAGAGGGGAAAGAGGGCAGTCTCTTCAGCATTTACTACAAATGGGGAAGTCCATATATGGTGAATGATGTCACTGGGAATCCCTGCAGACTGTCAAGCATCCGATCAGCAGGGATCTCCAGTGACATAATTCACCATATATGGACTTGCCCATATGTGATAAATGACCGGGGGGACAGGATCTTCTCACTGTACTGCACACTACACGTGTAGTGAAGTAGGCGGGGCAGATGGAGAGGAGGAGGGAGGGGATCAAGGGCTACACAGCAGCTTGTCTTGAAGGCTGGCACAGAGGACGGGGACGTGCAGGTAAGGAGAGAGCTGCTGCGCATGTCCATATATTCGTGGATGCGCAGCAGCTCTCAAGAATCGATCTCAGTCACAGTGACGAAGATCAGTGGGGAGGATCCCGGGAGCATTGTCGGGATCTCTCCTCATTGCGGCACTTAGCCCCGCCCACCACCTTAAATAAGGGTTTACAGCCTTACTGTGCATTTTGGCTAATGGGAGTAAATTACATTATTTACTTATTTAGCCTAAGGAATGCATTAATAAAGAAAATATAGAACCCCATAGTTCTCCTTTAGGGTCACGGGAGGACATATACTAGAGTTCTCCCGTGACCCAAATCTCAGTATATAGTGAACTACAGCTCATGGTATACTGAGACCGCCGCAGCCGGAGGGGGGGGGGAATCCCTTCAGGGAGCCGCGAGTGACAGTCACTGCTCTGCAGGAGATGATCGAGAAGTGAGCGAGCGACGGTATGTGTTCGCTCAATTCCCAATCTATTAAACTGATGTGTGACAGTTTAATTGTCACACATCGGCTCGAACTATGAGGATGAGTGATTTTCACTCACCTCATAGTTCTCCTTTAAACAATGGTATTAGCTTTGCCAGCTATCTTTCGTGAACTACAAAACACCTACTTTCTATGTAATAAAGACAAGAAGAAGGGAAGTGTTTGTAATTTGAATCAGGGAAGAAGCTGGGGGACAATGCTGCTCCTCCACAAACACAATACAGTGAGTCAATATTGTGTTTAGTATAATGAACCCTGTCTGTACTGTGCTACATAGTATTTGAGGTTGAATAAAGACATTAGTCCATCAAGTCCAACCTATTAGGATCTAATTCTAGGAGTACCTGTACCCCTGTATATTACGGTCCCTTAATCGTCCAAAAGTTTCTTGAACAAAGATCTGCTGGCAGATCTTTTTATCAGTTGCAAACTAGAATTGAACACTGCCTGTTCTAACAAAGGGTTGAAGATCTAGAACAGGGGTCTTAAAGTACTGTTCCTGGTGCCAATTCTAGCGCACAAACCGGTACCATGTGGCCCGCTCCGGCTGACAAGTCAGGCATACATATCTCTGTCGGATGAAGAACGCATAGATGCTCCTGTCAGTGCCAGCACTCAGTTTCTTTTGGCCGGCGCTCAGTGAACAGTATTAGAGGATGGATTAGTTAGGTCTGCACCAGCGAAAACTTTACTAATCAACAACTGAATCACTAGGGATCTTTTATTGTGTGTTTGTGTGTGTGTGTGTGTGGGTATGTTTTGGGGGAGGGTATTCCTATTTGTGTGTGTATTAGGATCTATTCACACCTGTAAGTTTAGGTGCAATTAGGGATTCCTGCATCAGGAACTTGCGCTTTCCTGCAGCAGGAATCCCTAATCTGATGTTTACAAGCGGCAGCTGTCACCCATTCAAGTTAATGATCATGTAACAGCTGCTGCATGTAAACACCTGCACACCGCATGTAATGGTATGTGATATGATTACATGCAGTTAGAAAACAATCACTCCCCCTGGATGCACAATTGATACATCCTGGGATAGTGATTGATTCCTAAATGCATGTAAATCGTATCACATACGACTACATGCAGTGTGCCATACAAAAGGTAATAATTGTTTGGATTAAGTTATTGGAGGAAGTAAAAGCCAGTTATGTTGAGCTGAGATAGGCTTCCCTGAAGAGATGGATTTTTAAGGATCACCTAAAGGTGGGCAGCGTAGGAGATAGGCGGACAGAATGGGGTAGGGCGTTCCGGAGGATGGAGGACACTCTGGAGAAGTCCTGGAGGCGAGCATGGGAAGAGGTATTGAGAGAGCTAGAGAGCAGGGGGTCTTGAGAGGAGCGGAGAGGGCAGTTTTGGTGATATTTTGAGATGACGCCAGTGATGTAGGTTGGGCCGGAGTTGTTGATTGCTTTTTTTATGTTGTTGTTAGTATTTTTAATTTTATTCATTGGGCAAGTGGGAGCCAGTGGAGGGATTGGCAGAGAGGGGCGGCAGACACTAAATGGTTGGTAAGGTGGATGAGTCTGGCAGCAGCATTCATGATAGACTGAAGGGGGATAGCCTGCTTAGCGGTAGGCCAACAAGGAGGGAGTTGCAGTAGTCGAGGCGAGAGATTACAAGGGAGTGAATTAGAAGCTTTGTAGTTTCGTTTGTTAAAAAGGTTAAAAAAGAGTATTTTGGAAATGTTACGGAGGTTGAGTCAGTAAGATTTGGATAGTAATTGGATGTGGGGCTGAAAGGAGAGCTCAGAGTCAAGGATAACACCGAGTACCCTGGCTTGATGGGAGGGGTTGATCGTAGTGTTGTTGATTGTGATAAGGAAGTTGATTAAAATTAAAACCTATGGGAAAATGAAACGCAATATACCGACACTAAACACATATACACATGTATACATACTGACATGACACACACAGAAACATTAATACACATACCCACATCACTCACACAAATCATCACAGAAAGCTATACTGACATTGCATACAAAGAAAACATCCAATATGTGCCCATACAAACAGAAGAAAAGCTGGCCGCACACCGGATTACGCTGGGATAGTTTATTGAGGCTTGTACCACATCATTGGTTTTTCCGCCCAAGGTCCACCCTCTTCTGTTTGTACGGACTGTATATTTTGTTATGAATGTATTGTTGTCAAAAGGGTGTATATATAAAAAGCGTGTAGAGCCATCCGTTCTGCAAAACTGACATTTACTTCCATACTATGTGAATAGGACAAAATCGAATGTTTTCTTGTGCAGAAATGACTTATTTCCTGTGCTCCTTGGCTCCATCTAGTGGCCAATTTTCTTACATTTGTGCTGCACAAGAAAACATTCAATTTTGCTTTATTCTTACAAGACAAATATAAATGTCAGTTTGGCAGAATTAATATATCTGTCAATATAACAAAACACACCCCAAAATGTTATAAACCTTTTTGTAACATAAATTGTTTACTGGAGTTCTTCTTTAATTACAGACATCTATAGAAATTCTGATATATTGTGGTTTGCATTATAATTAAAGAGAACTTACAAAGGAAATATATTTTATTCTGCATTACAAGGTACTTCATGTGGTATATCCAAGTCTCCGGGAGGAAAAATATCTTCGAAAAGCTATACTGAATGAGGCCTTGTTACATGCAGACATGATGAAAAACAGCTTAGTGTATCATCACAAGCGCAGAGAAGAAATCGACCAAGATGTAATGACTGAGAACAACAGAGACGCCTGTCAACATTCAAGATGGCCTTTCAGTCTAGAAACTGCCGCACAAAGTGAGGAGAATCAAGTTCTGCAACCGTTTATACAAGGGAACACCATTCATGTCCCCCTTGAAGCAATCTTTTCTATCTCAGGGGTCAAGAAATTGTGTGGTAGTTTAGATGTTCTAAGAAGTATTATTGCAGAAGAAGTCCCTCTTAGTGGAGATGGTAAAACAATGATGTATCCTGTTGATCTGGATGATTTGCAGGAAGTATAATTCTTAGGTCTACTTCATGGATTTTTTTTTTTAAATACAGACATTGTATCCATCATTCCCACTGCATTGGGATTTTCAGTTATATCATCTATTTATTTTGCTTCATTGTTCCGCATTATCTATATAACAAGTAGTTCCTCCCTTGATTATAGTGTTTGTACAATGTCTCTCTGTAAAAGGGAAGTGTAAAGAAGATAAGATTCAGAAAGGAAATAGGCTGGTTTGTTGAAGAGTATTAGTGCTGCATTGATGGTGATTTACTAAAGGAGTTGAGAGTTTTCATGCAATAAATTGTGTGAAGATTCACTTCAATTATCCAATCATGTGAAAAGCAAATTCCTGGACATCAATTGTCCAGATGATGTCAATTGTCATCTGGACAACTGACGCGAATATTCGCAATTTATTGTGTAAAAATTCTGAATTCCTTTGGTAAATGAGTGAAATGTTCACTTAAAGCAAACCTGTCTCCTCCCTCTCTTGTGTACAAGGCACCCTCCTGCCTTATGTTAGTACCAGCACCGCAGTCCACTGCCCCTTCACTAACGCTGCCTCAGCAAATATCTTATAATGAAAATGAAATGTTCCTTTACGTGACTCCATCACAGAGGTAAAACATGTGATAAAGCACGACCTGCCAACAAAGATGGTTCACACTCATCTGTCTTCCTGCCCGTTCCTTCAGTCATCACTATTGCTAAGCATTGGCCTTTTGCACCTCTAACACATGCTGATACAGAGATGCCTCTTCCTTTCTAATAGTGATGTCATCGGAAGGAACCACAATACATGGTAGGGGAAACAGGCATCCAACATGATTGGAAGTGTCAGATGTGAGGATTCTGTGAGGCGGCAGTTCTTGGGCAGACTAGAGAAACAGGCATTAGGACAAGTGAGTATGGAGCCTCTTCTTTTGCAGGTTATTCTTTCTATATTTTTTGAACTTTTGGCAGAGCCGTTTTGATTTGTGCACAGTGCTAGGCAAGCACCCCCTCCCCTGTGTGACAGTTCAGGCGCCAAGTACTGGATTTTGGAAGGGCAAGGGAAGTGTGTTGTGTTCCCCTATGCCTACAAGTATGAAGATTGTTAAGCTGGCGGTAGGAGGGAACAGGTTGACAAACAACAATAACTGGAAGTAAGATAAGGCAATCGGGGGCGCATATTATATAGCGGAAGTTTCTTTTGGTTTTGTTTTATTTTTGAGACGACTTTACTTTAAGGCAGGAAGAAGTGGAGACGGTATTTACTATGTCAGTTTTCAGCTCATGGTGTGATATAGCACCCCTTAGCTGTACCTTACACCTCAGCATTAGTACGTCACTGCCAAATGTCTGCATGCAATGGTGTGGATGTGCTTTTTATTGCACAAAGACAAGAGCCATGAGTATTTTCTGCTGCGGTTTTTAGTCTGAACAAACGCTTTCTCCTGTGGAATGCTTCATTGTTTTGTTACATAATCCAACTGTAAGATATCAGACAGAGTTCCAGACATTCTGCTGTAGATTTTCCAGATGCAGCTTGGAATATGCTGGTCCCTAAATGATTGGAAGCCATCCTGGCCCTGAGCCAGCAAAGCAGCCTACAACAAGATATACAGTAAATAAGGGAGCTGCAATTGTTCATTTGTTCTTCAAGGGGCAGGCTGGCTTCTCTACTTAGTAAGTGGACTAACCTTATGCTTGCTTTTCTGCCCGGTGAGTGACCAACCTGAGGTAAGCATGCTTGCTCCAGGTCAGTAAATCACTTGGTGATGAAGCCAGGATAAGCATGACATCACCTGAGCCTGCACCATTAAAAAATAGTCAGCAGTTGATATGCCATTGTTTCTAGTGGATGTCGTTGGACCACTTACATTCTGAGCATACTTTTATTATTTGTTGTATCTTTTATTTGTAATGTTGTATTTTGTTTTTCATTTTTTTTTAGATAAAAACGTATTGAACAAAAAAAAGTCAGCAGCGGTATCTCCCATATTTTTTTTTCCTTGCATGGTGTTGGTATGCATTGTAATGATGGATACATGTAACAAAGTTTTTTGGCATCCATCTACCCAGCATTACTGTAGTAGTCCAAGTATTCACATGATCTTTAGCAAACTTGAGATAGGCAGTACTTTTTCTGCTGGTTTTGGTTACTTCTTATGACCTTCACTCTTCTTTGAGAACTTGCTGGATGTTCACTGGTGTTCCTTGCAGACATATCTCTCCCCACAAAGGAAACGCCCATATCAAGGTGTGTTTAGTTTTGATTTTTTGGTGTTTATTGGTTTTGGTTTCACGATACAATAATCAATAATCAATGTAATATTAACCAAAGATACATTTCTTTAACAGTGGTGTTGTCAGCTGTGTTTAGGGCATTGCTTCAACATTATTACAGAACAGTTGGAAAGACTATTAAAAGTTCAACTGTTATGTAACAGAATATAGTAAGTAACACGGAGTGGTATTATGTACCTTACAGCATTCAAAATATCCTATTTAACACACTGTGATATAGTAGGCTCATTGCGAATATAAAGGAAAACAAGAATAGGAAGGGGTAGAGAAAAGATGCACCGTATCCATAAGAGAGAGTTATACTCTAGGTAAGATGAGGTAAAGAAAAGGTTTACTCCACATAGGAATCAGCCTGACAGGGAATTATGCTGTATTCACAGGTCTCCGTCATCTCAAACTGGGTTTGTTTATTGTCCATCATGCAGGTAAGTGTGTCATTTGTCATTATCATCAAATTGAGCTTATGCGTGGTTCAAGGTGAGGCAGATTCATTCATATAAATGAGTGCACACTCATACATACTGCATTTGTTTCTTAGTTCAGACCTGATTCACATACGTCTTTCACTGTATACTGAGCTATTTGGCACTTTTAGCCTTAGCGTTCAGCAAGTGATTTGTAATATATGTAATGACCATGATTTGCTACAATTTGTTGTTTTATTGGGAACAAATGAATGTTTCTTTAGAATGTTTAATTATTTCTTGGGACACATTGTGGATACTCTAGTTTTCCAAATCTACACTCGCTCCTTAAAGCAAATGCTACTGTAGTCTCATAGTTCTCATATCCAGCCATGCATAAGAAATCAACAAATTCCCCGTGTAAAACGTAATCACTGTACAAACTCCATTTCAAACGTACATAGCTTTTACGCATCTGTTCTCTGGATAAAATACATGGTTCTGAAATTTAAAAAAAAGCAAATGCGAAGTGAGTTAGAATTACGAAAATACATAAATTAGTAGTGCATTAGGTTTAATAAAGAATGTTGCCCAACTGTAAACGTTCAAGGCTAAAGTGGACCTAAACTGTCATATTGATTAGTTCATCCCCCCCTTCCCCTCTCATCCTATCATGTAACTCATGAATAAATCCTGTGCAGAACTTATCTTCTGACTACATAAGGTTTTCCCTGGATAGTGGTCTTAAAAAAAAAAAGGCAACAGTGGGAAGAGGGGTTTGTGTGGCTGCTGTCAACAGGCAAGGCAGCAATAACATATCCTTCCCACCACTGTTCTGCTCTCTTGAACTGGTAACCATAAGGACCGTGGTAGGTGGAAATCAAAAGGGTTTGTTTGCAGATGTTATGATAGGACAGTTCATTTGGGGGGGACTAGGTTTAATGAGACCCTATCACTTTGTCCACTAAGGGCAAAATGACAGGATCTGTGTAGAGCCCATCCACTACAAACACCTCTCCAGTGCTCTGCCGCCACTCCTTTTTCCTGACTTGCTTATGGTAAGTATGCGGTACTCTGGCCTAATTGCCAATTGCTAGTTCTGAGCACTGTCACATGATGGCAGTGGTGACATCACCAATCTTTCTAAGCGGCAATATCAGCTGACACCTGGAATTTTAGTGGTGGCTGCGATGGAAGAAGGAGAGGCAGAGTGCAGAAGAAGTGAGAGTAAGGCTGTCAGGGGTGAGACAGTTTAGGTCTGCTTCAAGTTGCAGAGGTGCAGCCTAAGCACTCAGCCGAGCTGAACGCATATGTAGCCACTTCGGCTGAGTCGAAGACACAGCCAAAGCCGGGAGAGCGATCCCCGCAAAATGTTAACAAATACAGAAGAAAAAACAGCTCAGGGTCCCCCTCCCAAACCATACCACCATATCAGACCCTTTAGGTCTGGTAGGAATGTTAGGAGGGACCCCCGAGTTAAAAATAAAAATGCTTGGGGTTCCCCTAAATGTCATGCCAGACCCTTTAGTTTCGGTAGGAATTTTAGTTCCCGTATCGGGATAAGTTTCGGAGCATTTGGGCGAGTACGAGCACTCGCCCAAATACTCATTATCGGCACCGATACTGATACTAGTATCGGTATCGGTGCATCCCTAGTTTTAACCCTTCCCTATTCTATCTAAAAAAAAAAGTTTTGGTGTTACGTATACTTTAAGGATCTTTCTCTGAATAATGCATAGTAATATTATAGAAAAAAGAGCTAATACGGAAGCAAGTGACGACTCATCCTACCTATGCAGATAGGTGGATCATCCCAATCTCCATTGGAGCAGTGTACTGTGCTTTTTCCATTCAAGTAGTAATGCTCTGAACACTGGTAAACAACCATGGATCCTGTCATATATACTTGCTGTGATGGGTTAACTATGCCATGTATCACAACAGGAGGACGACCGCAGAACTTCAGTGTACCTGCAGAAGTATAAGAAAAATGTCAAATCAAGTGGTATTAGAATACATGGAGAGGAAAGATTGTGGCTTGTTTTTCTACCTTTCTTGCTGCAACTTGGATATAGAATATGGCCATTTTGACACAGTCCTTTTAGTTCAACGTGGGCTGATAAGTCAAATCCATCCACACATTTAAATTCCACCATATCACCATGTAAAAATTTGGAGTTAATCTCAAAGCTCCACTGAAGCTCAACATTTCTTTCTCTCATTTGCTCCACAGATGCTGTGCAGGGCTCTGAAAAGATAATATAGTTTCATTAGTGGGTATCACAGTCTGGAATTCCATATGAGGGGGGAAACAGTCACTGTGCTTTACAAAATAAAGGCAAAGGTATATTGCAATAAACCAAAAATACAATCAGTGGATGATTTATAAATCATCCACCCCAAAATACTTTGGCCGATATTGTTAGCATGATATTCTCACCACTAGATGGAGCTGAGGAGCAAAATAATTTCCTATGCTCATCAGCTCCATCTAGTGCCGAAACTGTGAACAGCAGTAAGCCAGCATATGTCAGGGCAGATGGTTCATAAATCATGCTCTAAAAGTGTATTTCTAGGCAAAACCTTTGTTTTGGATAGAGCAGGAAGGGGTTAGACCATCACGTTTTTATCGCTGTCCAAAAAATAACCTGGCAGGGATATTTTTTTTTTCAAACTATTTATTGAGTTTTTGAAAATTCCCAGTAGGGGAATATCTTTTTCATTGCATAGGTTACATATATGAAAGTTCGAAGGTACGTTAAAATAACAACAAACCCTAAACCTAAAATTCCCATGCTGGTTGCCACATCTACAATAATTAAACGCCCATATAACTCATTTTCATTAGGATGGTGTAGGTAAATTATCAAACACAATATGATATTAAAGCACCTCCAGGACCCACAAGCTATTCATCATCATTCTTCATATACCAAGCGGTGTATATAAAAGGTTGCATAATGTGGGTCAGCTCCGATCTATCAAAGGTTACAGCCACAAAGTATTTCCAACGCTTGAAGAACTTTGTGGTTAGTGCATCAATGTGCAGTTCAGTCTTCAGTTTTTCCCGAAGGAATAAGATTCTCAGTTCCGCTATGATAGCTGACATTGATGGTGTGGGGGGCACATTCCAGGAACACATGATACATGTCGAGTCAAGTAAGCACAGGTGCATCCATTCCTTCCCTTTATAGGACATGCAGTGAGTTTCCATTACTGAGTAAACTGGAGAACTGAACAAATACAACAGTGGGGATAGTTGTGGAGTCCACTGAAGAACTGTTTTGATATACGAGGCAGCTTGAGTCCAGAATTGTAACATAGAAGGGCATGTCCAAATACAATGAGCCAGTGAGGGACGGGATTGTCCACACTTGGGACACAATGAAACCAGGGGCTGTGTTGTTGCTCCAGCCGGGAGGAAATATGCAACATAAGCACAATGCATTATTTTGAATTGGGTCTCCATCCCGTTCTCATTGACAACAATTCTGCGTACCAGGTTGTATCCATCGATGATATGGTCCACTATATCCGGGATCGGGAAGTCTTTAGACCATTCTCTGACATTAGTAGAAGACAAATAGGTAACATACATGAGCTGTAACCCTGGAGAGATTGCAGATATAGAGTAGTTGCCCACTGACATGGCGATATCTATAAATGTGGTGGCAATTTTTTTTTAGGGTCTCTGGAAAACATGTGCCACATTGTTTTAGCTTGCAAGTAGTACAAAAAGTGAGAGGGTAGAAAAGAATAACGCATTGCAAATGCCGTCATAGATATGGGCTCGAATGTACCATCCAGAAACAGTTTCCAAGTCCTAAGCCCCTTCCTGTGCCACAACTCGTAAGCAGCATAGACCATGCCCTGAGAGAACATAGCGTTACCCCGCAGTGGACAAAGAGCTGAGACATAAGGTGATAATCCCAGCCTTCTTTGAACCACCCTCCAGACCAAGACCGTGTCTCTGATTAGCAAGTGGCGGCACAGAGTCCCAGGCAACTTTGACAGTTTGCTGTGCAATATGGCCCTCAAATCCCATGGGTGCACAAGGGCCGACTCCAGGCTAGTGTTGAAAAACCTGGAGCTGTCCGAGAGCCAGTCCGCAGCGTGATGCAGTAAGCATGCTAGATTATATAGCCGAATGTTACGAAAATTGGAGCCCCCCTCGATCTTCGGGAGCCAAAGCTTTTTCATGGCAATCCGCGGGTGCTTGAAGCACCATATCAATTGAACCTTGGCCCTGTTGAGACGCTGAATGTCCTTGTGTTTCAATAGCAATGGAACCGTCTGCATCGGATACAGTAATCTCCAATGCTCGTCATTTTTACTAAATGAATTCTCCCGAAGAGCGATAGGGGTAGATTTCTCCAGCTCTCCAGTTCCCGAGTGATTTTATCTACAGTATAAGGGGAGGAAAATTCAAATGATACAACGATGAAGGCAATTTACCTACTTTAAAGACCAGGTATGTGATGTCCCGGCGTGCCACCGCGAATGCAGAAGGATTGTCCCACAAAGACGACGAGAATGCGACTAAAGGTAGTACCTCACTCTTGGAGTAGTTTATTTGTAGTTCAGAGAAAGTGCTAAAGTTGTCAAAGATTGCTTGGATAGCTAGGATATCCGCCTGCGGGCGGGAGGTAAACAGCAAAATGTCATCAGCAAAGAGGGAAATTCTCAACTCCTCCTTGCCAACAGCTATGCCCTTCAGAGAGGCCGTTTGTAGAATGTATCTAGCTTAAGGCTCCAAAGCCAAGTTAAACAACAAGGGGGATAGGGGGCACCCCTGTTGGGTTCTTTGACGTAATGGGATAGGCGGAACATAGCTCCCTGGGTCCAGATCTGCGCCGTTGGGGAGGAATACATCTGACGTAGTAGGGAAAGGATCCCGCCCTGTAGACCAAACCTGGACATGACCAGAAACAGCCATTCCAGATTAACATTGTGAAACGCTTTTTCCACATCGATAGTTACAATAGCAAACTCTCAAGCGGGAAATTCCTTTGCCCTTTCAAGGGCCATAATGGCACGTCATAGGTTCATGACTGCCGCTCTCCCCTTAAGGAAGCCAACCTGAGCAGGGTGTATGAGGCTTGGCAGCACCTCTGCCAGTCTGTCAGCATTTATTTTTGAAAAAAAACTGCATCCACATTAATAAGTGATATAGGCCTATATGAGCCAGGAGCCTAGACCCTGGAATAAAAATATGGCTGCATTGTTTTTGTTTTGTTTTTTAGACTTTTATCCTTTATTTTCACCTGATGATCCTGCCACTAACACACTGCCTGTCGAAGGGTGACAACCTTCACCTACAGTACTGTATCTATGGAGGAGCAGTGTTGTCACCCTAGGATAGCAAGAACACTTTCCTCTCACCTTATCTCCAACACATAGGGGAGAGGTCTTGGTCGTCCACAGAGGGAAAACAGAAGCGATGATAACACTCATATCTGATAACAGTGCAGAAGAAGCAGAGTGCAAAGGAACTTACAAGCTCACTGAATTTCTGGTGGAATCAACAGATATATGTTTGCACTTATCAAACAGATATAACAAGACACTTTTAAAAGGTATATTTAGCAAACCTTAAGGGAGCAAAATAAGAGAGGTTGATTTTTAGGGTTCACATACACTTTATTTCTGCTAAGATGCTCTTTATTAGGAATGCACCAAAATTTCAGCCGCCGAAACATATTGGCCGAAAATGGTACTTTGGGAAAGATGCTGAAAGTGCCATCTTTTGTCCGAAATTGCGTTGCATCCATCGTTTCTCTCATCCCCGCTGTTTGCTGCTCTGTGTCCCCTCTGACACAGCAAGGCACCCAGCGGGGAGGAGAGAAACTGTCAGAGGAGACTGAGCGTGGCGGGGAAGAAAGCGATGTGAGCTGCAATGTCACAGGATGCACTGGCGGAACTACCAGGGTCACAGCGGTGACCGGGCCCTGGTATTTCCACCACTTGGGGTAGGGGGCCCAGCGAAGAAGTGCACTGCCCGAGGGCCATGGCCAGGGGGGGCCTGTCAGCCGGTGGCATAGCATGGGGGGGCCGTCACCCAGTGGCATAACATGGGGGGGGCCCATGGCCCAGTGAGATTTGGTCCGGCGACAGGAATGACCCCCTCCGTCCTCCCCCCCTCTCCCATTGCAGGTGGACTCGGCCGCCGGAAAGTCTTCTTCATACAACGTCGGGCGCAAGGCAGAGGCGGAAGTACCGCCTGTGCGGGACCGAGTCAGCGCGCAAGGAGAGGAGGAGGGGGGGCCCATAGTACCAGTGGCAGAATAGGGGAATGAATGGTGGGGGGCGCCGGGCGACATCCGCTTGGCCGCCCTTCAAGTGAGGGAGAGAGCCACACACCAGGTGTAATTGTACCGCAGGCAGCGCTGGGGCCTCGGCCGGGAGCTTCCTGAATACACACCCCTGCTGCATGGTGTTCCAGCCTGGAGGACAGTTAGATAAGGTAAGTGCTCTAATCTCTGTGCCTGTATGTTCTGTGAGTTGTTTGTAGTCCTGTATAGCTGATGGAACTAATCTGCATTTCTGTATAAATTATTACTGGGAGTTGTAGTCCTCTATAGCTGGTGCCATTCTGCATTGCAGCAGTGCAGAATGGCATCAGCTATAGAGGACTACAACTCCCAAATCAGTATGGAGAGCAGTGTATGGGCAGAGACAGCTGTCAGCTGTCACACGAGGCTGAGCTGGCAGTGTGGGGGAGGAGTCAGCTGTCAAAATAGACCAAGCTCTCCTCCCCACCAGCTTAGCCTCCTATGAGAACCGATCTAGGCGGAAGAACAGCTACAAACATTTAGCGATTAGTGATCGCTGAGTGTTTGTAAAAAATCGGACATACTATGAGTTACTATGTAGTGTACCAGTGATCTACATCACTTCCTATTCATTCATTATTGTGTACATAGTAATTCACACTATATCCACAAGTTATGAATGAACAGGGGCACTCAGTATAGAGAATTCCTGTTCATTTATTACAGGGGATGCAAAAAAAGAGATTGAGGTCTCTCTGTTTAGATCCCTGATATTCACCGAAGCCTCCAGCAGTAAAGTTAAAAAATACAAATATTTAAATAAAAAATAAATAAAAAGAAAATATAAAGAAAAAAGTTTAATATTTTTGTAAATATTTGACATTTTTTTATTTTCGGTTTCAAAATGTAATTTCGGTGCACCTCTACTTTTTATCCCCATGCTTCTGTGTGACATAGAAACTGAATTACAGACTTTGGCAGTTCATTCCACTTCAATTCCTGACCTTGATCTGCCAGATAGACAGCTTCTTGATAGACAGCTCCTTTCTCTCTGTCTCTGCACTTTTATAGTACAAAACAATTCTCCCATTCCAGTTCCAGTGCCTGTGCTGATTCATGTAAGAGCATTCCCCCTCCTTCTGCATTCCTGTGACCTCATTAGTTCTCTTATATATCTAATCACTTCACACAGTACAAATAATGACAGGGACAAGCTGCACCATACAAGCTGTACAAGCTGTACCATATGTACCGTAGCTGTACCATATGTACCCAAGCTGTACCATATGCCGCATTTTGCAGAAATGTGTAGATAGTAATCACTATCCAACGCAATAAGGCAAAGACACACACATATACAGAAATACATAATATTTACACATTTTGTATATGATTCATTAGAAATTTCATTGCAATGATCATGTAAATGTGAGTATGTATATTACTAGTTAAAATAAAACCAGATCCTAGCATAATAATGTAATCACACTGATGACACATTTAGACACTACTGTATATACACCTTTTACCTACCCAAGCAGATTGGTGGTCGTGACCAAATTCCTTGTGTACAGTATATGGTTTTAGATCCTTCCATTAAGTGATAGCTGTGACATCTGTATTCCACGGAAGTGCCACTAGTATACCTGTCCAGTGCAGTATCAGTAAGCTCACCTTGGCTTATTTTTGGTGGGCTTCCACAGTCTTCAATATTGGCTATATAGAAGAACAAAGTTATTTGCTGTGTTAGAATTGTAATTTAAATGGGCTAGTAAGAACCTCCACTGATATCAAGTGCCTAAGTAAACTGTATACATAAATGTCTGCTAGATATTAACGTGACCCAGGGTGTATGCTTTTGCTATCATATTTAACAGCGCCTGTGCAAAGAGGCAATTGCAACTTCTCTATTGCCCCCTTTTCTCTTGTCACAGCTCTCTTCTTAATAAAGCTCTAAAATGATTCATATCACAAATCAGTTAAAACATTGCAGAAATAAGCCATTTGTAGAGGGAAACATGATATTATTGTATACAACAATTGGTAAAGTTACTGCTTTGGTTTTACAACACAAAGGAAAACAATTGAAACTGCCGTCACAAGATCTGTGATATTTGATTTTTTTTTCAACCAGGGCCACTGGAGCCAAGTACATGCTATTGACTCGGATACATAGAGTTAGGACCACACTTTGCAGAGGTGCCTTGGCGCGGCAGTGTGGCTTCTACATATTTTTGGACAAAAGTTTGTGCAACTAAAACCTCTGATTTTAACGCATACTGTTGACAGGGCTATTTGTTTGGTTGCAGGCTGGCTGGCAGGTTGAGGCTGGGGAATTTTTGTGTTTTGTATTACATGCTATTGAACCCAGGCCAAAATCATTTGAAAACAATTATCTGACAAAAGTCCAATAGACTTGCAGATTAACTTTATGTTTTGGGATGCTGAAGAGCTTGGTGGAGCCAGAGGGATTAAAGCTGAACTCCAGCTATAAACAAAAATGGACTCCCTGCACTGCAATGGGTAATTTCTCATTTAGTTTAGAGGGGGATGAAAAAGGTTTAACATCATTATGTAAAATATTTGATGGGCTGGTAAGGGACTATATTCAAGAGTTTGTTAGAATGGTAGCATGAGTAAAAACCAGCATGATAGACTGTTCTTATCACACCAACTTTCTATAATTCTATGAAGAGGTGAGTTTGAAGGCATTCCAAACGGTACCTCCTAAACTTTTAATGTACAAAATATATTGCAGTAGAAGATGTCAGTACATTGATAGAAAACTGGTTGGAGGAGCGAGCCCAGAGAGTAATGATCAATGGTTCATTTTCTAAATGGACTACGGTTGTGAATGAAGCGACCCAGGGCTCTGTGTTGGGAGAAATGCTGTTTAGCTTGTGTATTAATGATATTGAGGTTGGGATTAGGAGTTTACATTTTTGGCTGATGATACCATGTTATGCAGGGAAATAAATTTGGCACAACCTGTAAAATAGGGGGGTGAGCACCTACATTGCACCAACATTGCAGACGAGATTCAATATTGAAAAATTTGAAGTTATGCACTAAAAATATGCTTGCAACATACTCTTTGGGAGGTGCTCCTCTAGGTGAATCTGTGATGGAAAAATATTTGGGGGTCCTTGTTAAACAAAGACCTAGCAACAGCATGCAATGCCAATCTGCAGCTAACAGAGCTGGCAGATACTCTCTTGTATTAAAAAGGCCACATATTCAAGAGATAAATCCATAATTCTACCCCTTTAAAAACACTGGGTAGGTCTTGAATATGCAGTTCAGTTTTGGTCACCAATTCACTCAAAGAATTTCCATGAGTTAGAGTTCAGAGAAGGGAAACAAAATGAATACAGGATTACATTTATTGACTCTAGAGAAGAGGTGCTTACTGTTGGTAAAATAAGGATAGATAAATTAACTTCTACTCTCATAACGCTGAGCTTTGTGAATTGACCCCTATGTATGAATGTATCAAAGGTGATTATATAAACTGTAAAAAGTACCCTGAATTAGAAATGTGGCCACAATTTTAGAATGGGTGAAAACAGGTTTAATCTTGAACTTAGGTTCCTTAAAAGTGAAATTAAACTCACGAATATCCCCCAAACCCCCCTCCTATGCTGCTTTAAGGACTTACATTAAATGATGCCTCTTGATCCCATCATCTTCTTCCCTACACTCGTATTCACCAGTCCCTCCAGCCGGTCTCTGATCCAGTGCAGACTACTCATGTCCCACGTTGTCGGTTCATGCACCCGCCCTTATCCTCCCATATGCTTGAGAAGCTGCAGATCTACATCCGGGAGTGAGCGGCGGAGACAGAGGTAAGTTTTTACCTTTTATGTAACATTTTAATTTTTAAAAAATGTTTTTGCATATATCTCCTGCTGGCTAGCAGGAGATATATGCAAAAAAAGGAGTGTTTAATTCTACTTCAACTGTTAGGGAAGTGAGAATGTGGAACTCTCTTCCCCAGGAAGTAGTAATAACTGAGAGTGTTGATAAATTCAAAAAGGTTTAGATACCTTCCTCAGTCAGCATGACATACGGGGCTATGTGAATTCTTAAATTTGATAGGAGATTGATCCAGTGATTTATTCATTCGCCAGTATGGGGTCAGGAATTATTTGTATTTACCCCCTTGCAGCAAGTTGGCCTATGCTTGTAGGGTTTTGTTTGCCTTCCTCTGTATCAAATACACACACACACACACACACACACGCATTCACCCTGATGGACCTGTGTCTTTTTTCAACCTTATTTACTGTGCAACTATGATACTTACCTTATTCCTTGTTCCTGCATGATTCCTTCCTTCTGTACAACCAATTCCACTAAGCTGTTCCTCCTCACTGGTCAGTTGACTACCCCTCTCCCACATCATCTCCTATAATGCAGGACCAGAGGTTATGGCGCGGAGGGCTCACCCACATCCAGGGAGTATTGGAGAGAGGAGAAAAGCATAGACTGCCAGGGTAGCTAGGAACACGGTAGGAATTACACCTTATTTATCATCCCTTAGACAAAACAAGCATTTAACACATGTAATTCAGGGGGAGTCCCACTGCAAGGTGAATTTTGAAGAGCTGGAATTTAAATATAGATGTATAAGGTGTGAGGGGTGTGATCAGCTCATAGTTTAGTTTTGAGGCACACTCTTTCTAGTAATACTGCAGCTTTAGGCTGACTTACCCTTGCATTTAGGAGGCTCTGTCCACTTGCCCTTCTTACATATGATTTTATTAGATCCTTGCAATTCATAGCCATCAATACATTTGTAGAATACAGAATCACCACTGTAATAAACCTCTTTTTCCATCAAAGTTGTTCCATTATTGGTTGATGGAGGTTTATCACATTTTATCTTTTCTTTGAGTTCTGAAAGAAGAAAACAAAACTGAACACAACCCACAACCTTCTCTCCATATTTATCTTTACAAATGATACCTGATACGCAGGCTTACTGTCAGACCTGGCCAGGGGAGGGCAGTGTTTATACCAGCATGGGTGTAAAAGCAGGACTAAGAACCATGCACTGCATACCAGTGTCTGGGACTAGGTAGGCTGGGCAGTAAATCTACATCCAATATGTTTTGGAGGCTAAAGCTGCCAATATACTGGTAGATTTACATATGAAAAATCAAAACATTTGGCAATGCCATCAGAGACTTGTAGAACGTTGTTTGAATTTCCGTTTTATTTTACCATTCTATTTTGAAAATTAATGGAGTTTTCAAACCAATACCACAGTCACTGTTAGAGTTTCATTTGTTCGGGAAAAAAAATCTCATCCTACTCCTTCCTTGTTTAGAACAAAATTCTACTGCTGTATGGCCAGCTTAAGGCTCCATTCACAACTAGGCATTTTGTCATTCAAATCTAAGCGCAACAAAATGCTCAAGACAAGGAATCCCATTTATTTATATGGTCAATGTTCCCACCTGAACGCTTTGACGCACAAAGTTTCCCATTAAAGTCCATGGGATCAAAACTGCCAAAAAGAAGCTCATGTACTTTTTTCAGTGACTGTGTCGTTTTTCTGCTTGCAACAAAACACACAGGTTTGGACAGGGGCCATAGAAATTAATGGGATTCCTTGTCTTGTGCGTTTTGTTGGGCTTACCTTTGAGCGACAAATGCCTAGGTGTGAAAGGGGACTCACTCACTATGAGAAGGGAAGCTTGGGGTGGTGGAAGACAGAGGGCTTTTTTATATATGGAATTTTGACTCTGAACACAAGATGGAAGGTTGGGACCCCTTTGTGTTTCAAGCAGTGAGGGGATTGCCACCTGAGTTCAAAATCTCCTTTAAAGAAATCACAGTGATAGCTGATTACTCACCAATACAAGTAGGTGGAGTTGTCCACTGACCATTCTCACAATGGATTTGCTCAGTGCCAATTAGCTTGTAGTTATCATTACATTCATAATGTACATTGTCTCCAGTGCGATGTAATGATGAGTTGTTGAGCAGGATGCTATGGGTTGGTCTGGGTGGTGGTGGGCATCTGTTCTTTCTTTCTGTTGTAAATAGACCATGTTTTCATTAAAAATGATCCATAACAACTCTCTGAGGTGGATTTACTAAGGCAATAGAAACTGTTTATTTCACTAATCTTGGTAAATAAGATAAAGCTATTTTTGCCTCAATCAACCAATCATGTGCTAGAAAAAAATGCTGTTTTTTCATTTCCGTTATTGGTTATTGAACATAAACACAGTTTTGTCTTTCAAAGTGAATAGCTTCTAGTAGATCAATTTCCATGCATACATTGAAGCTCTGATAGGATAGTTTTAGGACATTAAAAGCCATTGCTTTCCATTAATCCCAGATGGGATTTGGTAACTAAAATCACCAGTATATACGGTGAAAAGAGAGTACATTTTTAAGAATGCACAGAAAAATATTGTAGAGCAGGTATGTTAGGGCTTGTGTCAACAGGATTTTTGTTCATAGCAGAACTTGCTTCTCTCATCGTGTCAAGTAAAAAGGAAATGCAAAAGCACCTTAAATCAGATGCAGCTTACAAGTAGGTCAACTGCTGGTCAGAAGGTCAGCTGCAGTTCAAATGCCCCTGTCAGTGAACTCTGAATGATCTCAGAAACACCTCAATATGATCTAAAATCCAAGCAGAATGCACCTAAAGGCGAACACAAGCCCCTAAACTGGAGACTTTTGGTCCTTATGAAGCCATCCCATCCCTTCTTTGCTGCTCTCAACTAGTTTAAAGGTCTAAAATAAATACAGTAACAACCCCAAGGCTGCGTTCACACCTGACCGTTTTGTAGCGCGTCCTACGCTCGACGAACGCGCTACAAAACGGTCAAAAAAATAAATAGCATTGTAGTCAATGCCCTCGTTCCCACCTAGGCGTATTTCCGCCCGTCCCTAACGCCCTACAAAACGGCCCACGCCTGAAAAGGTCCCGGGACTACTTTGGGCCGTTTTGTAGGGCGTTTTCCATTGGGATACAGCCAAGCAGCCTTTGGGGTCGCGCGACTTTTTTACCGCGAATCGCGGTAAAAAAAAACGCGCGACAGACGCGCTTTTGCAATACGCCTAGGTGTGAACCCAGCCCAAGTGTTCTCCAGTTAGCAAAGGCTACAATTCCTGTAATTTTTTGCAGCTAAATACTTAATAAAATAATACTTAATAAAATAATACTTAATACAAGTCTTATAACTTTTGTCTGGAATTAACTAGGTGTGGACCGCTGAAGATTCAATTCACTCAGTTTGGTTCAGTGCCTCATTTGATTTTGACAAACTTGTTTCAGAGTTTGTAAACGTATCTCTTCCAATACCATTGGCCTGCTCCTTTTTCTGTTTCAGATAGCTAAACAGTTTTCACATTTTTCACAAATACACATTAAATGTACAGACAGACAAACAGAGTTTGAACTCTGTTGCAGAAGCAAAGAGCCATGTACATTTTAAAGCTTCACAATTATATGATACTATCCATAATTCTGTATGCCCAGTGGTCCTCCTAGCAATGTCTGTGAAAATAACTGACCTTTACATGCACAAATATGAAAAAAAATACAAAATTCCAGCTGTTCGAAAAATATCAGTCATATTATACTGAGTAAAACAGAGTCAAACACATATATCTGCAGTAACAATGATTGAACTAATTTCAGAAATTATATAGCTCTCTAGGGAGTCCAATGAATATTCTGATCATTTTAATACCAACTTACTCTGGGTAACAATCATTTCCTTCTGTACTTTACCCTTGGCTTCCCATGCCTGACTACCGTCACAATTTAACAACATGTTTTAGGTTCAAATAGACCTCATTATGTGTCCTGAAGTATTCAGCTTGAAAATGGGGCATAATAACATAAGCCATAATAAATATGTCCATGGAAGGAGTTAAAGATTAAGGATTCTGGTGGGGATACGGTCAAAAAAATAAATAGCATTGTAGTCAATGCCCTCGTTCCCACCTAGGCGTATTTCCGCCCGTCCCTAACGCCCTACAAAACGGCCCACGCCTGAAAAGGTCCCGGGACTACTTTGGGCCGCTTTGTAGGGCGTTTTCCATTGGGATACAGCCAAGCAGCCTTTGGGGTCGCGCGACTTTTTTACCGCGAATCGCGGTAAAAAAAAACGCGCGACAGACGCGCTTTTGCAATACGCCTAGGTGTGAACCCAGCCCAAGTGTTCTCCAGTTAGCAAAGGCTACAATTCCTGTAATTTTTTGCAGCTAAATACTTAATAAAATAATACTTAATAAAATAATACTTAATACAAGTCTTATAACTTTTGTCTGGAATTAACTAGGTGTGGACCGCTGAAGATTCAATTCACTCAGTTTGGTTCAGTGCCTCATTTGATTTTGACAAACTTGTTTCAGAGTTTGTAAACGTATCTCTTCCAATACCATTGGCCTGCTCCTTTTTCTGTTTCAGATAGCTAAACAGTTTTCACATTTTTCACAAATACACATTAAATGTACAGACAGACAAACAGAGTTTGAACTCTGTTGCAGAAGCAAAGAGCCATGTACATTTTAAAGCTTCACAATTATATGATACTATCCATAATTCTGTATGCCCAGTGGTCCTCCTAGCAATGTCTGTGAAAATAACTGACCTTTACATGCACAAATATGAAAAAAAATACAAAATTCCAGCTGTTCGAAAAATATCAGTCATATTATACTGAGTAAAACAGAGTCAAACACATATATCTGCAGTAACAATGATTGAACTAATTTCAGAAATTATATAGCTCTCTAGGGAGTCCAATGAATATTCTGATCATTTTAATACCAACTTACTCTGGGTAACAATCATTTCCTTCTGTACTTTACCCTTGGCTTCCCATGCCTGACTACCGTCACAATTTAACAACATGTTTTAGGTTCAAATAGACCTCATTATGTGTCCTGAAGTATTCAGCTTGAAAATGGGGCATAATAACATAAGCCATAATAAATATGTCCATGGAAGGAGTTAAAGATTAAGGATTCTGGTGGGGAGATACAAGGAACTTCTGGGTTTCAGTCTGCTGTTGTTGACCCAAACATATTTCTTTTAAATTAACTGGACTAATGACTGACAATTTTTCTCTGTGTTTAATTATATTAGTATGTACACGCTCTTCTTGCCAACGACCAGTATACAGTTTACATAGGAGCTCCTACTTGCATCAAACATTACAGAAAAAGGTTAGGAGCATGTGTCCTTGTCTTAAGGCAAGGATCTTTATCCAATGACATCTTTATTGATGGTTAATCATAGTGTCAGGGAAAGCAGCTTTTTAAAACCACACAGGGTCCCTTCATCAGGCATAATCTTTTATTTTATTATGCCTGATGAAGGGACCCTGGGCAGTCTCGAAATGTCGCTTTCTCTGACACTTTGCATGAACGTCAGTAAATGTGTTATTGGATGAAGATCATTGGTGTGCTGGTGAAATATTTACTTCTTGGATTATTGCGGCGCCATCTGCAAAGTTACTTCAGTTTACTTCACACTAAACAAGGGGTCCATCAGTCAGGTGTGCGGTGCTGGTGGAATATCTACATGTTGTCTTAAGGCTGGCAGCAAATAAATGGGACTCCTCTTTCTAACAAGGCTATTCACAAAAGGGTGAAGAGTTTGGAGACGGCAGGAGAAGTGAACAATCTAGGACAACATAGCTGAACTACAAAGTGAGCTGAATTGGAGAATTTTTCCAAATCAGCTATGTTGTCCTAGATTGTTCACTTCTCCTGCCTTCTCCAAACTCTTCACCCTTTTGTGAATAACCCTGTAAATGTTTCAGCTTTAAGATTTCATTACCTACATGATCAGGTCAGGCAATGTATTATACGGACATGTCTGAAAAATACACTAAAGGACTAGATCTAAAGCCAAATGTTAACATCCCACAGGACACATTAGAAGTATTACAATGGTCAAATTTGGAAGCAAATATAACAAATACATGTCTAAATGACCTTTATCAGCAATGGTTTGTTTTTTGCGGTTGAAATCCAGTTATATCATTGTATTTTATTAAGCTACCTAATTTGGATATCTCTGAATTTACTGACTTGATGGCCGTTTTACTTAACAACAAATGTTACTGACCTTCACAAGTAGGTGGCTCGGGGTCCCATCCATAAGAATAGCATTGAATTAATGCAGAGCCTTTAACTGAATAATTTTCCTTACAGAAGAATTGTACCACATCCCTGTCTGCATATAAGGCTTTTACCGGGTGATGACCCCCATTTTTCACATTTGCCAACTTTCCACAGGATGATTCTAAATCAAAGCACATATTTAAAATAAATGATACAATGTATTGCTGCTTTCATGTGGATGACATAAAGAACTATAATGTTAAAGTAGTATTAAATGCTCAAACTTTTTGTCAATAATGAATCCAGACCATACAAATATACATTGCCCAGCAAAGTATTTCTTTACATTTTTCCCCAAGCATTTACAGTCACCAAGTTTCCAAACAGCTGGCTTCAGCTCAGCTTCCCTGAACTTCCTGTCCAGTACAACATCATAAGGGACAGAGCAGCCTCCAGCAGCTGTCCATCTACCAATATGTAGAAGGGAAGAGGAAAGAGGAAAGAGGAAGAAGGAGTGGAGATCAGGGAGGAACAGAGAGGCTTGCCTTGCTTTGCCTCTGTGTTTGTGGAGACAGCTTACAAGCTCACACAAGAGTGGCTTCATAGGACCCTGCAAGGAAAAAGGAGCCACCCTAAAACAAGAAGTCAGGACCAGTGCTTATGAGACCAGCTGATTGTGCAGGAAACTTCTAAAGATCAAAAAGCAAGTATATTGGATTCTTCTTATACTATATTACATTATATGTAAACCAGCAGGGAAAGACAGTAAAAGTAAACCCTTGAATAAGAATCAAGCTTTCACCACTTGTGTAATATTTAGGCACCTGGAGGGTAATTCAGTCCATTATAACAACTATACACTAACACATTAAAGCAGACCTTTACTTTCCCCATCTACATTACCAAATTGCCCTCCTATCTCCTTCTCTCATTATTGGATACAGTATTTATTTTTCTTTCCCCCCAAATACCTCTCTTGGGGCCCCTCCAGTCACTTCCAGGATTCTTGCAAGGAGACAATTCAATGCGTCCTGCGGCACATGCATCCTAAACCACCCTAAAGCCTCCAAAGATGCATGATGTCAGTATCCCAGGAGGCTATGAGGTGCTCTATGGTGCATGTGCCACTGCACATCATCAGGGGCCAGCTGCAAAAACACGAAAGAGACAACCAGCCCCCTGATGAAGTAAGTAAAGAAGATCACAGAGTGGTGGTCTGCAGTAGCACAACACTGTAATTGGTGGACATTTGACTATTTCATTTTTAGAAACCCAATGAACAAGGAAAGTGCAGAGTTAAAATAAATAATGAAGGGGGGGCTGAAGTTGGTTTAAATTTTTTTTTATAGGCAAATTTATGTGTGTGAAGCAGTTTTTTTTAACATGCTGCCTGCAGGCCAACTGCACACTTTCTTTGGCTCTTTGTTTGGTAATGCACTGGGTTGCCTATCAGTGTTCTGTCGCTTTGTACTCTGTTTGGCAGCAATGCCCATTCAAAAGTTTATAATGGAATGAAATCGTGGTACACATTCCAGCATGTGTAGTGCGCTATGCACATGTATGTGTTGCCATCTCTAGCACGTAGAACATTTCTGGCAACAATGGGACACTTTCTCCTGGTACCTTGAAACATCTCTGGGTTTAGCAACATGATACCCTTCTAGCAGTGTGATACATCTCGGGTATATTGCCTGCGGGATCATATACCTACTAACCTGCTGAAGGCCATTTGGAGCAGTGGTAGACTTATCTTTGGTTGGCCATTATTGTTGTAGACTACGTGTATATAAATGTAAAAGTGTATGTACACCCTAACAATGAAGTTCTCTTTTTTAATCCCCTTTGGTCTCATACATAACCGATTAGAAACATTTTATTATATCTGTTTGATAAGTGCAAAAAATACCTTTTGATCTTGTCAGAAATGCAGTTCAGTCCCGTGCCCTATGATTTCTGCCGGCCGGCACTTACAGCTTGGTGCTGCGCGCACGGCCATATCGGGCGACTCCCGGGAAGGACAGGTGCTGCGTGTGATTAGTACGCAGCCCCCATCCTTCTCTATGGGAGTACGCAGCCGTACGCCCCCTACGCTCACCTCAAGTGCAGGTCCGTACGGGTGTGTGTATCCCGGCTCAGACAGGATCCATCCTGAGTACGCTCACCCGCATGGACGTGCAGGATGGATGAGCGTATGGGGGGCGTATGGCCGCATAGTCTCATAGAGAAGGACAGGGGGTGCGTGCTAATCACACACGGCACTTGTCCTTCCCAGGAGCCGCCAGATACGGCCGTGCGCGCAGCACCGAGCTGTACCTGCGGGGCGATTCCAGTGTAAATGAGCCCTAACAGTCTTGTAGCCCTCCTAGTTCATGTCTTAGTACTACAATCAGTGTCCATGCTTTGGAGATGAAGACAGTGGGAGCAGTTGAGTAATTTAGCAAGAGAAAACTGAGCAGGGCTGACACCACTCCATACAATACCGTGCCTTGTCAGCCCACAATAGGAAATCGAAAGCTGAGTGAATTGGCAGATAAAGAAGTGTCTATAAAGCATGAGGAAAGATGCATGTACTGCAGGGGTGTTTTGGATATATTTTTTAGTTTGTCTTAACATGTGCTTTAAGTGAGATGTACTGCGTGAGTTGTGGAGGATGTGAATGTCATTTACTCCCTGATCTACTTGTTCTTCCGGGGGAAACAGACAAATCCCAAAGTGATCTGGTAACACCCATTTAGTCATAATCCTTTCCATGTAGGAAACATGCAAGGATCTTAACATTTCTCAAATATCTATTAGCAATATGCTAGCCTATTAGTTGCATGCAAATGTATTGTCTATAAATGGAGGGTTTCCTTTAGTAAATTAGGTTGTGAGCCTTATACTAACAGTCTATAAAATCTGTCAGCGGTTTTCATTTTCAAGGAACATTTTCTACATCCCTAAAATAGAACATTCCAATATGTTAAACCAGGAGTAGGCAACCTTGGGCCTCCAACTGAAACTGCAACTCCCATCATGTTGCCGCCTCTGGGAATTGTATCTGTGAGTCAGAGTCTTAGGCTGGGCACACACCTTACAACCATCGCAAGACTTTTGTCTTGCGATGGTTGTACGGTACTTAAAAAAACGTACGATCTGCCTATCTTGCATAGGCAGATTGTACTTGCGATGCTCGCAAGCCACGCCCCCTGAGGGGCGGGCTTCCGATTACCGCAATGCCGAACGGGCAGTGTGCGCTTGCGCACACCGGCCCGTCCGGCTTTTATCTTACGAACATGCCACACACCCGCCGAACATCGTACGATGCTCGGCGGGTTTTTAAACATTTTCGCAAGTTTAAAGTCGTGCGACCTTACAGTAGTAGAGGTCGCACGGCTTCCACACACCTTACCATAATCGTACGATCGCGGGATTTCCCGCGATTATCGTACGATTATCGTAAGGTGTGTGGGGACCTTTACAAAGCCTCATAGGACTTCTACAACAGCTGGAGTAATTAGGTTTTCTACCCCTGTAATGAACAATCATAAAAAACTTACTTGTACAGCGTGGAGTTGATGACCAGCCTTGACGGCGACATTCAGCCCAATCAGCAATGCTTCCACTGGCAGTATAATATCCCGGATTACATTGGTATTGTACGATCTCCTTAATAGGAACATTTCTCTTTGTTGTTGTGTAAATTCCATTATCAAGGGGCGGAGCTACACATCTGTCTAAATACATTGTACTCAAAGAATGAGAAAAAATAAATCTTTCCTACATACCAGCCGTACTGTTGTCATACTGTGTCTAGCAGTAATACGCGACAATTAGATATCAATTTGATCATAGATTTGATTGTTGGAAATGTTTTTTTTTTACTCAAAAATTATATTTTTACAGAGCGGTAAAAAAGTAGATTTGGTTGAATTTGTTTGGGTCATTTACATTCTGAATTGATCATCTGATAAAATCAATGTCTTAAAGATGTGATCTTCTCTTCAAATACTGATCAATAACATTATTACTTTTGTGGGTAGCCTAATGCCCCTTTCAGACGGGTGGTCCGAACTGTCAGTTTTTCAGGCGGACCCTATCTGATGGCCAATGTAAGTCTATGGGCAGCCAGATCTAAACAGACGGGTGCTCATTTACACCCTGTTGCCCTGGGCTTGGGCCAAATGGATCAGAGTTCTGTTTTGCCGGATCTTATCGTGACAGATTGGGGGTAATCTGATGAAAACGGACACAGGTTAGTATATATCTGATTCCCCATGGACCAACATGGGATCCAGTCATTTCAGGGGAAAAACTGGACGGACACGGATGTCACAGCAGTGACATCCGTACTGTACTGGTCCAATCAGGAAGTGATCTGTGCATCCGGCAGTGTGAATGGGGCCTAACTCTACAGCTATTCACCTTTAGAAAACAAATAATCAACATTAACATAAGTCATCTGATCAATATTTGTTAATGTTTTAATACATTGTTGTCATGTCTATATTGTAATGATATATTTACAGTCTTATTTACTGGTAACCTACAGGCTTGGCTTTCCACTAAGAAGTGCTGCACAGTGCTTTTACCTTACAGTTCTTCACTTATGCCAGTCTATCAGTCAGGCCTAAGTGCTTGAAACCAATGCAGTCTTTATGTGGCTGAGATTTTATCTCAGCAGTTATTAACCCCCTCACAACCAAAGGTGATTGAAATCTTGGTGTCCAGACAAACATTAGCAGCAATAAGTGCAAGGAGATTAAATTGACAATAACTCTATCTAATACTATTTTATTAAATATGCTGCTCGTGTTTTTATTATACGCTAACAAATGGAAAATATATATATATTTTTGGTTATTTTACAAATGTTTGTAATATTTTTATAACGTTTAAAAATATGTTTTACACTCTGTATTGCACAACTGCAGCTTGTGGTTTGTTTGCCAACAAACCACATGTGACACTGATCACCATAAATGATTTTCAAAATGATTGTTTCCCATTCGTTGGTATAGATTAGCAGCTATCAGTAAGTTAAATGTAACTTAGAATAATGATTTGTCAGTACAGGGTACTGTTCATGAGAATGTCCATATACAAATTGCTGGTGTCATGGTCGTAAAGCTGAACTCTAGGTAAAAAGAAGAGTAGAATGTCTTCAGAAGAGACATTCTACTAGCAATTCTTTTTTTCAACTTCATGTTATTCATTACTATCCTTATGCAACAACAGAAAATTGTGTGGAATGTGACATTTGCTATTGTGGGGAGAGGAAAATAAAGCTATGGAAGAGAAAAAGGTACATTTATACCAGATAATTGATGACATTCTGGTGTGGGGTCCCAATAACCAGAAGAACACTGAATCTCTTCCGTTTTCTGACCACTTTTGGTTGTGAATCCTTCAAAGCAGCTATACTGAGCTGTCTCAGATGTTTTGTAGTAGTCCTTTCCATTATGTACAATCCCATTAACCAGAGATGGTTGTATACATTTTTCTATCAGATAAACAAAGGAGAAAGACTAATGAAGCATGGTCTAGGTCAAAATATTGCAACTACACATAAAATATAATATATAATATTGCAAATACACAATAATATAGAATGTATATTATTTTTTATTTATAATAATTTTAGTAGTGCAGTTGCCGAACACAGCAACATATGAAATGTTACTTTTAATGTAATTTATCAATGTCAGTTAATATAACCCATAGGCTTAATGAACATATGCAGTTTTTTATGTGAGGTTCCACTGCAGCAAGTGATTAGTGTAGATCAGCGGTTCTCAACTTGTGGGTCGGGACCCCTTCGAGGGTCGAATGACGATCTGCCAGGGGTCGCCCGGGAGTCTCCTGCTATTAGATAGCGGCTCCCGGCCGCCTGGGAGAGAAACACTTTCTCCCTTGGCCGCCGTAAGTCAGAAAAAAAACCACCACCCTAGGAATGCATAGCTAGATTCCTATTGGCTATTTCACTTTGCAAGTTCTCCATCAGGTCCCCACTACTGATTGACAGCAGCAGAGGGCGGGTGCAATAGCTAGTTTGCTATTGGCTATTGCAAAGTGAAATAGCCAATAGGAATCTAGCTACGCATTCCTAGGATTTTTTTTTTTTTATTCCGACGGTTCTCAAGCTGCGGGTTGCTGTGTGATTTCTGCTGTGCTAGGTGAGAGTCCTCCTCAGCCCTCTCCTAGCGCAACAGTGTCAGTTCTCCCGCCACGCTGCAGCAGCCGCGTCATTCCTAAATTTTAAGGTTGGGGGGTCACCACAACTTGGCAAATGTTACCAAGGGGTCCCGGCCCTAGAAAGGTTGAGAACCACTGGTGTAGATCATGGTTGTTTACTATGTCCATGTGGTCGGCCATCTATGTTAACCACTCACCCAAGTCAAATCCGATTCTATGAAAGTGACACTAATCTCAGGAGTTAAATCTTAAAAATGCATTCAAGTTCCTTAACTATTAACAAAAATGTATCTTATTTGTGACTCACTCGGCTGTAGATCCTCAAATCATCTCTGAATTGGTGCTGACACTGTCCTTCCTTCTGGAGGTGGATACATTTGTTCCCCATGGTCCCTGTGTGCGGTGTAAAGTAGCCGCCGCTCCAAGCTCACTCCTGTGATGGACTACAATCTCATGTTTAGTTTACTCATTTGTATTGAGTTTGTAGTCCATGAGGGGAGTGGCTACTTTACAACACACTCAAGGAGCAAGGGGGACAAAAGTAGCCACCCCCCAGAAGGAGGGACAGGATTGGTCAGCACCAATTTAGAGATGATTTGAGGATTTACAGCCGAGCGATACACAAATAAGATATATTTTCGTTAATAGTTAAGGTTCTTGAATGCATTTTTAAGGTTTAACTCCTGAGTTCACTGTTACTTTAAGTATGACAAGGCAAATGCCATGAAAAACAGGATGTTTGTACTCACTGCAAAATTCTTTTCTTGGAGATCCCCAAAGGGACACATGATCAGCAGAATCCAAGAACACTGGGTCAAAAACACTTGGAAGAATTGGACACTGGGAAACAAAAAAAACACTGACCCAAAAAGTATAACCCCACCCACTCCCATAATGCTTAGTTTGGTGAACAGGCAGGAGTAGGAGTTTGGTATATTTTAAAGCAGTCCAACTAAGGAAAGGAAAACATAGTAACAACAATGCTAACATCCCATGGCAAAAAACTGGAGACTTGTCAGCAGGTGGGGGGTTGGGCCACCAGCAGGGGCCGCCCCTAGGCTGTCTAAGTCTTTTTTGTTATGTGCCTAGCGTCCTACTCCTGCAGGTGGCGATATACCCTACCTTTCAGGATCTCCGATCTGTCTAGCCTGCAGCTTAATTAGCTGCCTGAAGGACTTTACATCCAAAGCTCACATCTGCAGATGGCTTATTATCCACCTAGTAAAACTTAGAGAACGTGTGAACGGAGGTCCAGGTGGTGACCTTGCAAACCTGGAAGATTTATTTCTTTATTACAGGTATTTATATATCCCCAACAATTTATGAAGCACTTTACATAGTGTGCATTCACATTGCCCCCTGCCCTGAAGGAACTTACAATCGAAAGGTGCCTATACACCTTACGATTGTCCTATGAAAAGTCGATTGCATACGATTATCGTAAGGTGTATAGACACCTAGTTCTCTATTGTACAGGCATACAGGACCAATTCAGACAGGAGCCAATTAACCTTCCAGCATGTCTATGGAGTGTGGGAGGAAAACCACGCAAGCACAGAGAGAACATGCAAACTAATTGCAGATAGAGCCCTGATCAGGATTCGAACTTGGGATCCCAAGCGCTATAAGGCAGAAGTGCTAACCACAAAGCCACTGTGCTGACTGCAGTTCAGCCTCAGATAAAAGCTTGATGCCAAAAAGTCCAAGAAGCACTCACAGACCTGGTGGAGTGCACCCTAACACGAAACAGTGGAACCTTATTGTTAAGCAGGTAGACTTAAAAATGTGTGCGGTGCATGTAAACACCTAGACTGGATAAATCTTGTAACTCTATCCTATTCTATACAACAAATAATTATTCAATAATAATTAGGGATTCACCGAAACATATCGTCCGAAAATGGCACTTTGGGCAAAATGCCAGGAGTGCCATCTTTCGTCCGCAATTGTTGTGCATCATTCATGATGGTGTAGATAATAACTCATACAATGGCAACAAGTTATAAATAAACAGGGGCACTCAGTATAGAGGATTCCTGTTCATTTATAACAGGCGCTGCAGAAAAAGAGATTGAGTACTCTGTGCCCTCAATCTCTTTTTCTATTTTAGAAGGGAAATATCAGGAGTCCGTTTAGACCCCTGATATTCCCCCAGAGCCCCCAGTGCCCCCAGCAGGAAAGTTAAAAAATTGAAATATTTAATAAAAACAAATAAATACATTAAAAACAATATTTTAAAAATGTAAAAGTTTAAGAAAAGAAAAATTTTTAAATAACATTTTAAAAGGTTAGAAAAAAAAATTCGGCCTGTGTTTCCGCCTGACATTTTTATTTTCGGTTTCAACATTTAGATTTGAGTGCACCTCTAACAATAATCATAAAACGAAACATAAGGATGTATCACATCTTGTGAACTTACTGAAACATATGGCAGGAAGATCCCATCCTTCTGGTGTACAGGTGATTTTCTCTTCTTGCGTACCAGACTGAAAAGTATGTCCAGCGGAACAAGCTACAGACAGCGTCTTCCCTTCTTTCATGGGGAAATAAAAATTTGTGAATGTGTAATAGTAGGGGGCGATCACTGCGTTCTCCGTCTCGGGGAGGTCACACAAGTTCCCTGTGGTGACATCACAATATTTTAGAAATCAGCAGCTGCATAGATAAGATACGACCTGTTACATTATACAATTTTAATATTAGTAAAGTTTAATGACTTTTTTCTCAGGGAACCTTTTACTTCTAAATACACATAGCGACCTCGCAATTCTACTAGCAGATCCATTTCAGTTGATCTTAGAAAGTAAATATGTCTGTCCAGAAATTATACTAGTGAAGTGAAATTATCTAATGATATAACAGACTAAGGGCTGTGCACATTTCAGAGCCATGCCGCTTTGTTAGGTGCTAGTAATGTCTTATTAGGTTTGCACAGGTTACCTTTGTGACCTACAGAACACTGGCCTTATGTTACAGAGCTGAGAAGAGGGGGTGTTCTGTAGTTAAAATGTCTTTTCCTAAGACTGCAAGGCTGCATCTCAGTAGATACAGTACAGAAAGTGAGTGGTGACACCCTAGGACGGGATGTGTGTTACTTGCAGCATCACCAGGTGCATATAAAGGAAAAATCCTGAGAAAGCGAACCCAGTCACTACATCTAAGGACTTTAGTATATGACAATGTACAGTATTATTGATTAATGTGTCCGGGTCAGACTATATTTAAAGGTCTCCTCCACACATATTTTTGTGCATTTTGTGCAAATAATTTTGATTTTCAGTTTAAAGTAAATATATTCCAGGTGTATCTATGTCTTACAGATGGTTTCCATTATAAATCAGCCTGTTCCCTGGCAAGTATTCTGCGCTCTGTGCAAAAGTAGTGGTCTCTCTGCAGAGATCAGACATGCCTCCTGCTTAGTCAGAGCCACAGCTCTCCAATCAGCAAGCTTGAACTTTGCTGACTGCAGAGCTATAGGTCTGATTCCAGGCCACATGCCCTCGGCATTGGGAGGGTGCTTTTCCAGGGAGTACCCCAATGCAAGTAAGCCCCCTTGCCCTCAGACCCCCAAAACCACCGGGCCAGGGTTGAGGGGAGGAGGCCCTTGTCCCCATCCTAACACCCTCTAATGCCGGGGGCACGTGGCCTGGTAAGGCACAGGGAGGGGGGGCGACTGCCCCCCCCCCCTTTCCTGCCCTGCCGGGTCTGTGCACAGTTCACGGCTCTAGTAGGAGTCTTCCCCCCATTTTTTTAGTGGTGGGTTCGCCATTAACATTCCTACCAGACCTAAAGGGCCTAGTATGGCTTTTGGGGGGAACCTCACGCACTTTTTTTTTTTAACTTGGGGGGGGGGGGGGCCCTCCTAATATTCCTACCAGACCTATATACTATGCACAACTGCTCCAGATACTGTCTGTTCCTTGCTTAGTAAATTTCACTCATAGGAGTCTATTTCTAAACTATTTGCAGGGCTGTTCACCCTGTGAATATCTGAGAACATTTGTTTTGTGGGGATATATGCCATCATGAATATTGTTTAGTTGTTTCAATACAAGGAGATGTATTTTTTAATGTTTTTTCATGTAATGTCACATTATGGCCACTAGACGGTGCTGAGAAGCATAGATAGTAGACACTTATTTCCTATGCTCCTTTAGCTCCATCTCTAGTGGCCATTATGTCATATTACATGAGAACATTCAATCCACTTGTAAGGAAAAAAAAACTAAAGAACATTTCTTTGGGAAAAAAATAGATGTCTTTATAAAGTACATTGCTGTTTTACTCCCAGGAACTAAAAATATTTTACAAAATAAGTGTACTAAAAAGCTGCATTTATTGGTAGAAAATGTTGAGACCTGTTTTTATAAATGACCTTGCTGTAGTATTCCCAAGGAACATGATTATTCATACCTACAGTAAGCGTACAACAAAATTGCATTTTTGAAAAAAAAAAAAAATATCTTGCTATTTCAGGCCCAACGGTTACTAATTAATTTCCAAACTCAATGCACTAAAGGCTGCACTCTTCTAGGAAAAAAAGAGAGACCCTATTTTTAGCAAATACAGGTGCTGAAAAAAGTATTTTAAGGTCTGATAACTGATTTTGCTGAGTCTTGGGTTGGAGTTTTGCAACCAGATAACATTTTTGTTGTTAGATCAGGGCAGACACCTCTTGTCTTTCTCTAGCAATAGAGTCCCTTGAAAAAATTAGTCATAGCTTTTATTAACATACTGTAAATATAACCCATAAGCATAAACGGACACCAAAGTTGTATCAATACAACTGTCAATAAAGTGTATGTAAACCCGAACAATGAACTTCTCTTATTTCCTTCCCTTTTCGTCTGTTAAATATACCACTGAAATATGTTCAGAAAGTGCAAAAATACCTGTTACGGGTTGGCGAGCTTCGGGTTTTTTTTCCTTCTGCGAGTTTGCGGCCATCGTGATTGACATAGATCTACATCACTGTGTGTTCCCGCTCCAGCTGTGTGCTTTGCCGAGCCGATGCATGTGCCTTTGGCTTGGCTGTGTGCTTTGGCTGCTGTACATGCTATTGAGAATAGCGCATACAGCAGCCCTTTGGTATGGCCAAACTGAAGCCTTGCCGCAGCCGAAGCGAGCCGAAGGATTACCTTGAACGTTCGGCTACATCCTTCGGCTCTTTAGTAAATAACCCCCAAAATGTTTTACCATGAGATGCACTTTTTCTCTGGGCAGCCATAGGTGGTCCAACAAAAAGAAGCAATGCATCAGATTTGGACAATGTAAGGGATTACCAGAGTGACCATAGACACTTTCAGAACATGCTTAAAATAAATCTGCGACCAACCACAGATGATTTTTTTTTTTTTTTACACTAATCTCAGGAGTTAAATCTTAAAAATGAATTCAAGTACCTTAAATATTAACAAAAATGTATCTTATTTGTGTATCACTCAGCTGTAGATCCTCAACTCATCTCTGAATTGCTGCAGAAGTTGTCCTTCCTTCTGGAGGGTGGCTACTTTTGTTGCCCATGGCAGCTCTGTGTGTTGTAAAGTAGCCACCACTCCAAGCTCACTCCCGTGATAGACTACAATCTCAATACAAATTAGCTAATTAGATATGATTTTGTAGTCCATCACATCAGCACAAATTCAGAGATGATTTGAAGATCTACAGCCGAGTGATACACAAATAAGATACATTTTTGTTAATACTTAAAGTACTTGAATGCATTTTTAAGAGTTTAGTGTCACTTTAAGGAAAAGAGTAAACAACCCTTTTAGTCCATGTGTATCCACTGTGCAGTAATTCTAGTCAGATAGAAGATTGTGGAAGGTTCTAACATTATCTATCCATACACACAACTTTTCCAGGAATCATTTTTGGACCAGTCTAAGAAATGTAAACATCTTACCTTCTGCTGAATAAAAGAAGAACTGAGCTACAGCTAACAGCACAAAACTGAATGATTCCATGTTTTCCTCACGTGTCCTAAAGCATTCAATAAACCTTTCGATTTTAGGCAAGACTTTTTGCAATGTCTGTTAATAATTGACCAAGGTTCACAGTGCTGACTTCAAAGCTGAACCATCAGCAAAACAATGGACAAGAAAATGAAGGGTAAAGAATAATTATACTGATTTTAATGTCAAAAGTTTTTAAAGCTGTTTCCAATGCTGATTAAATCATTGCAATGGATGCTGCTCCTTGATTTTGAAACATTTTAGCCTCCTCTGTTTTAGGGAGGCTCCTATTCCTTGCAGGGTCCTATCACCGATGACAGGCATTTTCTTCCCCTGACTATCAACACTGGGCATTTTTCCTGCCACTGACTTATGAGGCATTTTTTCTTCCCAGGGACAGGCCATTCCTCCCAACCTACCCACTGACTACAGGCTTTTTTCCCCCACAACTGACACTAGGGCATTATTTCCTTCCACTGTCCAGGGCCTATGATATACAGTATACCCTTACTGCTGTTCTTGTATGCTATGTTGTACGTTGCATTGTCCTAACTTCTATACTCTATATGCTATGTATATCATGACATAGATGTCACCCCTGCACTCTATACTCTATTTTTTATAATGCATAGTCCTGACCAAAGTGTTTTTTTTCTCTCTCAACAGTTGCTCATTGCTGAGTATTTTTCTTTTAATTACATTTTTTTTAAGGTCGACTTAGACAAAGTGTTAGCTCTCTGTGTGGATTTGATTTTTATGTGTTTATTTTATAGATTGTTTAGGTTTATGTAAGTGACTCTCATAGCACAGTAATTATGGAGTAGGTTGTCGGTACGAGAACTGCAGACTGTGTATAATGTGTACAGTAGGTAGACTTAGACGCTGTTACCTTCCATTTTTTAGCCACACCCACTTTTCCAGCACACTTAAGCAACGGTCATTTTTGCTCTGACGCACTCCACATTACTTCTCAGTCTCATGGTGTCTTCCTTTCTCAAGTTCCAATGTTAGGAGGTGTGGAAATAGCTACATATGCTGTAAAGATGTCAGTGCTAAACCTCTTGTTTAAAAGGAGAACTATGAGGTGAGTGCTTTTCACTCACCTCATAGTTCTAGCCGACCCGTGACAATGAGACTGTCAGAGGTCGGCTCAGTAGATCGGGAGATTTCAAGAAGAAAGAGAGGTATAAGGGTTTGTGGAGGGGTGTAAATGACCGTCCAAGAGAGATATACTAAAAATATCAAAATGTATTTCGTTTTAAATAATATTAAAAATGATACATTCATAGGTTCAAACAAAACCCTGCATGGGATATGTTTGTATATTCACTGATACAATATATAACTCTAAATATCCAACAAGTATTCATACATAACATGATCTATTCACATATTCTATGAGGTATATTTTTTGAAAAAGTAGTATTGTCCTTAACGTGGCTTAGCTTAATAGGCCCCGACGCGTTTCGCCACTGGCTTCATCAGGGGACCCACTGAAGATGGATCATGCAGGGTTGGTTTGCGGAGTAGGGGAGATGCCTGGAAAATCGAGAGGGTGGGTGGCGGGTGATCCCACCACCTCCCTTACGGTCTCCTTGTAAAAGAGGGTTCTGTATGGAGGGTTCTGCTGAGGTGACCCTGCGGTCCCACACCCTGGGACCTCAGGGTCATACAGAGAGAGACGGCATCAAGTCATCCAGCCAGAATCACCAGGAGACGTTATCCAAAGTAAGATGTTGAGGCAGTAGAGCTGTATTTCTACTGGGTCTCCCTGATGTCGTGGATCTAGCTGTGTGCCTCCATGGCGATCTCTGGGTACAGCTGGCTCTGCCTCTAGATAGGCAGAGCCAGCTGTCAGTCATGCAGCTGGGCGGATCCAGACATAAAATTGTCAGGATCCGCTTCAGCTGCGGCATCTTAGTATACCGCGAGCAGCAGCTCGCGGTATACTGCGGCGTCTCAGTATACCGCAAGCTGTATGAGCCTAGGGTGACGGGAGTACGCTAGTTACCCTAAGGAGAACTATGGGGAAAAGCCTTAACCCCATAGTTCTCCTTTAATGAAACAACACTGGCAAGTGGATACCACCTTGGGCGTTGTGGTGATGGGGTCACAGCTGGAGCAGAACCCTCTTTACTGTTATCACATCAAAGAACTCTGCAATGGCACTGACAATCAAGTCCCACAGTTTACACTGGAAGAGCAGATCTCACATTGTTCTCTGCAGGACCTGCTATCAGTTAGAGTGCTAAATGCCTCTGAAGTGCTGACAGTGGCTCCTGTATCAGTGAAGACTGCAGAAAGGTTGCGGTCTCTATTTATAAATGAATGCTTATGTACAAATGCATTGTCTGTGTATTGTGTCTGTGTGCTATGTATGTTTGTTAATGTGTATGTGTGTTATGGCCAGGTCACACTAGCAATACTGTTTGCTGGTGACAGATTCCCCGAGACTAAATCACTTAGCAGATTAGAGGAAAATCTCACCTAGCACCATGAGTCGCTCTCTCACTATCAAGATAAGAGTGCTGCTGCTCCATCACTGATGAAAACATTCTATGAAGTCAGTTGTAACTAATCCTGCCAGCAAGGAAGCGACACTTGGATCTAAACAGTAATCCATCAAAGAGCAAGTGTCTGCACTCTCCATTTCTGTTTCAGAGACCTTTGGCCACTTACTGTTTGATTAGGACCTTGTTGCAGAGAGTATCACATGTCCTTGTCCATTCCCCTGTGAGATTTGGATGTGATTGTCTCTGTGCTTCAGAAGCCACTGTTTTATCTTATTACCGACATTCCTCTCTCTATTCTCACCCATGAACTGGATTTCCTTGAAGCTATCACCTATTCAAAGTGAGTTTCTGAACTGGCTGGTTTAAATTGCAAAGAACCCTTTTTGGTCTTGCATAGGGACAAGGTGACGTTGAGGCCCAGGACTTCCTTCTTGATGTCGGTAGTTCTTCTGTCCCTTTGTTCAGCGCCAGTTCATCTAAAGGACATTTCCCTCCTGTCTGGGTGTAGTCCAGGTGGTGTGAGTTTATATCTGTCACTGCTTTTTTCAGAAAGATCCATTTCAATGTTGTCATTCAAAAAGGGCCTCACAGTGGCCTCCCGGGTTCTCGTCCCACCATTTCTAGGTGGCTTAGACCATTATTCAGGTTCATGGACGCAGTGTGATTGCTTTTGCATGTTCCAAAGGTTTAGGACTTCCTGTGTCCCTCCATGAATGAGAAATAAAAAGGATTTTCAAACTAATCATAAAATCCTTTCCTTTGAGTCCATTGCGGGACATACGTTCCTTCCCTCTGTGTTTTTGATCATGCTCTTGGGGTGTCTTTGCTAAAAAAACTGAGGCATGCTGGTAGTAGGAGGGATTTACTTTTGTTGATTACCAGTGTCCAAACCTCCGGTAGGTGACAGTATAACCCGAAGGTTTAGCCCTTTCGGCGCCCCTGAACAGACTCCAAGAATATGTTTTTGCGGCGAGAACAAAAATCCTATTATATTTGTTAATCGCAATCGGTTTTATTGTGACTTCCATACTTTGTATTGTTTGACATGTAGGCTTGTAAATCCACTAGTAAGTAAACACTACAAAATCTTCACATGCAGAAACTTTGGGCTTTAGATGGGTTTGCCTATGACCATGTACGATGTGCAGGCTTGAGGCCAAGTGAACTACAAAAGATGGCACAGTGATATGGCTATATGCACCCTGTTTTTTTAATGTGAACTAGAGCTGCAACAACGATTCGATTTAGTAAATTAAAAATCGATGAGATTGGAGGCTAGCCGGGCCGGTGCGATTACATGATGGGTGCCGGGGAGGTGAGCGCGACGGGGGACGGAGAATATGGCTGGGGACAAGCTGGCATCCAGGCTGAACCGTTCAGCAGAAGACATGAGGGAATGTTCAGACAGTAAGTGCCCCAAGCACCCCGGAGCCTGGGAACCGACACCGTGCACCCCAATCCACCATCATACCCATCATCTGCACCCTATTCCACCATCATACCCATCCTCTCCATCCCTGCACCCCATTCCACCATCATACCCATCCTCTGCATCCCGTCCCACCATCATACCCGTCCTCTGCACCCCATTCCACCATCATACCCGTCCTCTGCACCCCATTCCACCATCATACCCGTCCTCTCCATCCCTGCACTCCATTCCACCATCATGCCCGTCCTCTCCATCCATGCACTCCATTCCATCATCATAACCGCCCTCTGCACCCTGTTCCACCATCATACCCAATGTCGGCCCCCTATTCCAACATCATACCCAATGTCGGCCCCCTATTCCACCATCATACCCATCCCTGCACTCCATTCCACCATCATACCTGCCCTCTCCTTCCCTGCACTCCATTCTACCAACATACCCGTCCTCTCCATTCCATCATCATACCCGTCCTCTGCACCCCATTCCACCATCATACCTGTACTCTCTATTCCTGCATCATACCCGTCCTCTCCAATAACACCAGCTATAGAGGAATACATCAGATCCCAGCAATAATACATTATATACAGCGCAATACCAGCAGCTACAGAGGACTACAAATCCCAGCAATAGAACATTATACTATATGGTACTATTGCTGGCATTTGTAGTCCCCTGTAGCTGCTGGTATTCTGTTTTGTGCCGTATAATCAATTTACAGCACACTGCAGAATACCAGCAGCTATAGAGGAATTACAAATCCCAGCAATAATAAATTCTACAGCGCAACGCAGAATAACACCAGCTACAGAGGACTACAAATCCCAGCAATAGTACATTATAGTACAATGTACTATTGCTGCAATTTGTTGTATTCCTCTAAAGCTGCTGGTATTCTGCATTGTGCCGTTGTATAATGTACTATATCGCACACCACACTTTTTTTTTAAACTTCCACCTCTACAAGCTTGCGCCTGTGATGGACTACAATCTCAATACAAACTAGTAGTCCATCACTGGAGCCTTTCTTTTTATCCGATTAATCGAACGTAATAATCGGCTAACTAATCGATTATGAAAATAATCGTAAGCTGCAGCCCTAATGTGAACTATAATGTTTTCCATTTAACGAGTACAAATGACAATAAGCTGTGCGATATTATTATAGTGGCAAGGCGAACTCCAGCCTGAAGGAGAAAACGAGAAAAAGCCCTGTGCAAAGTCCAATAATATGGTGAGAGTTTACAGTGGGCTGAGGATTATATCTCCACCCCCATGTGACAGCTCTTGGGCCTGGCAATTGAATGCCCTCTAGAGCCCCTTGGATTTTAGGCACAGAGAGTACATGGGACTTTGCCTTCTGCCAAAATCCCCTCCCTAAATTCAACACTTCAATGTCCAAACTTTCATGAACAGTAGAGTCTCTGCCACTGTTGAATTGGAGTGAGTGATGCTTATACAAATCTGGGAAAAAGCTGAGGCCCCTATACACCCTGGTCGTTGAATCCAAGGTACTTAGGAACTGATCTGAAGATTAACAGTGGTACATGGAGACACTACAAGGCTCATGTGCATCTGCAGTATTGTTAGCATAAACAATATTTAAGACATGGCTGGTTCACCTGAAATGACTTCATTATGCATAATCTTCTCCACCCACAGTACTGAATGGGTGTGCTTTGCAATTTACCAGTACTAGCAGTATTCAGGAAAACCAAAACTGTATCTTACTATAGCTTTTATGGACTGACACAAGTTTATTTGATTTAGGCAGGGGGAGTATGTTTGGGGGAGTATGTTTGGGGGAGTCTATGATGGAGAAAGATCTGGGTGTTCTGGTAGCTCATAGACATAATAATAGCATGCCAAGTCAAGCCGCAGGGTGTGACTGCGGTGAAATTGACTTCAACGCATCGCCATGCCCCATCCTGCCCCAAGACAAAGTGACTGGCCGGAATTCGGTCTAGTGCATGCCGCCACTAATTGGGCCGGAACGCACTGTGGCTGGTGTGAACTAGCCCTAATTGACCTGAATTTGTTCTCTCTGGAGAAGAGGCGATGAAGGGGGGACATTATCACCATGTATAAATACATAAATGGTCCATATAGTGAACTTGGTGCCAAATGATTCACTTTAAGGTCACTGCAAAGGACAAGGGGGCACTCTTTGCATCTGGAGGAAAAGAGTTTTAACATTTGCATACGGAAAGGCTTCTTCACAGTGAGGGCTAATTCCCACCAGCCTAAATGCGTTCCGGCCCGATTCTGGCTGGCTCACTTTGTTTTGGGGCAGGAGGGGGCGTGAACTCAATGGCACTGCAGCCACGCCCCTGCGATTGGCTGCACGGGAAAGCGTAGCATATCAATTCCTGCGTTCCGGTCAGAAAAAATAGTGCGTGTATTTTTAATGGCTGCACCAGACCGGAACGCAGTCATTGATGTGCCACGCGTTCCTGTGCGGACGATCACATTGCGGCCAGAGGGTGTGGATGCAGTTTTTAATGGATAAAATGCACTTCCAAAACAACGGCTTGATAAGGAGTATACCAACAGGCTAAGCCTCACAGCCTGCTTTCAGTCAATCAGCATAGCAGAACTCTTCTTCAATGTTACCAGTAAGAGTAGGGACTGAATGCAGATGTCACATCTATAGTAAACACTAGATGAAGTCAGACAATAAAAAGAGCCATCAGATGTGTGACATCTGCATTCTGTCCCTCCTCCTGCCATCAACTGCTCTGTGATTGACCAGATGTTGATTGTGAAGCCTAGCATCTTAACATACTGATGATCAACTGTATGTGCATATTATTCATTTTTTTAACCATTAAAAAGGTCACCACTATCCAGTGCACTCTGTTTCTGCTTCTCTTTTTCAGTTCATGTTAGACCGCCTGTAAATACAGTGCCTTGCGAAAACATTCACCCAGTTTGTGTTTTTCCTGTTTTATTGCATTGCAACCTGGAATTAAAATTGACTTTTGGGGGTTTGTACCATGCAATGTACATAACATGCCTACCATTGTATTGTTTGTGTCACAATACAAATGATTTTGTATCTACAAAGTGGTAGGCATGTTGTGTAAATTGCATGGAAACCCTAAACAAAATCCATTTTAATTTTGGGTTGTAATGTAATAAAACAAGAAAAACACTAAGGGAGGTGAATATTTTTCGCAAGCACTGTATATGCAGAGCTAGCAGGGAAGACCCATTTGCTAAATACCAGGCCCGGTCCATGCAAAGATTATTCTTACTGTCTGCTTGACCATTTGGCGCTATCCCTTCCCTTTCTGTGTGGTTACTGAACTGAATGTAAGCAGAACAATTGTTGGAAACTGTCAGGGTTACACAGATGTACTCCCATTAGGGAGATTACCCTTGGTCTGTGGGCTACAGCACAGGAAATGTTCTACTTCAATATAAAACATTCCAGTTTCTGGTTAGAAACAACCACCATATAAATAATTCAGCAGTGGACCTTTAAAAAAGAAAGCAGCCTAAGACCCAAGCGATTTCATTTGCCACCCAGTGCTACTTAACCACATCTAGATCTTAGCATATAAATAGGGTAGACTGTTTGGTCTCACACAGTCTTTTGCTCTTATGACACTGTAGTCTGCTTTAATGTCATCTCATCTTGAAATGTTTCTTGCTCTTCAAGACTGTTCTGCATTTCCAGGATCTGTATATAAATCTACAACATTCAAGTCAAGAAAGTACAATGCGGTATCCTCTGATCCTGTGATCACAGTTCTAGGACTGTTTCCCAATTGGTCTTTTGGTCCATCTTCTATTAGCTGCTGATCCTTTTCTTCTTCTTCTTCTTCTTCTTCTGTAGATTCGTTTCTTACTTTGACTTCTTCTTCCGTCAACTGGCTCTATAAAATTAAGATTTATTTATTTTTTTACTGCACCACAATAAGTTGCAAGCACAGGAGTTTAAATAAAATCAGCAACCAATGTAAAATAAGCCAAGTAAAAAAGCGCTGTTAAAACAGGCAGCATTACATTCCTGTTCCTAGCTTGAAAGAGACTCCGCTGCTAAAGACCCTCTGAGAAACCCCAACTTTTAGGTACCTGCATACTCCCCTTGCCCTCCCACAATGTAATGCTTGGTGCATGAATGAACTAGTAAAAGGCACAAGCATTGTCACAAGAACAGTGGATGGTCTACCCCCCCCCCATGCTAAAAACAAATTAATAAAAAATAGGATTTTTTACTTCCCAGTAAAATCCATTTGTTGGAGTACAGTACAGGACACAGGCAGAGTCGGCGACAGCTGGGTAATAGGCAGGTATCATCAGGTGAATGAATGGTCTCTGGCCAGAGCTGTGAGGACCCTCATATAATCCCTCCCACTCCCAAGGATCCTCATCTTTTTTTTTTTTTACCAAGTCATAGAGGGGAGGGTCGTGTGGCCTATATTCTAATAAGCGGATTCTACTGGTAAGTCAAAAATCCTATTTTCTTGATTGTACAGTACAGGATACAGGCAGATTCAGAGGCAACTGGAACATCCAAAAGCAATAAAATAGAGGAAGTGTGCAACACAGTAAACAACTGCCAACAGGCCCACATAACAGAACAAGGGTAAACCCCAACTCACCGAGCAGCCTTCAGCACCTTACAGCCAAAGCTAGCATCAGTGGAGGCCTGAACAACCATCTGGTAGAGCTTCGTGAACATGTGAATAGAAGACCAGGTGGCCTTACAAATATGCAGACCAGGTACCTGATGCTGAAAAGCCTAAGAGGCACTGACAGATCTTGCACAGTGTGCCTTCACAGAAAAGGGCAGAGTAAGATGAAAGAAGGACCCCACTTTAGGCAATAAGGAATCCCTAGGCCTCACAATAACCCTATGCTTGAGAAAAACAAGGGACGATTCTGTGCACCATAGTGCAGCCAGCTCAGATAGTGACAAGGGAAAACCACCTTGCGTGTTTTTCAGGGAGATGTCTCGGATCGGTCAGAGAGATATCTTGCATAGGTTCATAAAGATATAAACACCAGATTGAGATCCCACATTACTGGAGGGTGTCTAGGAGGACTCACATGAGCAACCCCCCCACCCCCCAAATTGGAGAAAGACAAAAATGCAAGACTTATTCCTGAGGATAAAACATCCACTGGACTTCCTGGACGGCAAGAGTGTAGGAATAACTGAGTCGGATAGACCTCTATTGTTCACGATCTGGGCCAAACCATCAAAGTCAACGAAGCAGGTTTGAAAAACAGACCTTGAGACAGAATGTCCGGATGGTCTGGAAGCGGCCACAAGAATCCGAAAGATGCCCCCGTATCACACTCTTCTGCCCATGTTGGGGGCCACGAGGATGAGTAAGGATCTTCAAAGGAAAAAAAAGCTGAAATGTGCATGGCGGTTAGAGCCAAAACATGAAGTCCAATTGCTTTCATCTCCAGAACACTGATGGATTGTCTGAATTCCCTCGCTAACCAGAATCCCTGTATGGTTGAGGTCCTGGAGGACACCTCAGGAAGGAAGGACTTCCCTATCTCCAATGCCAGATTGGAAAACCACCAAGCCAGCAAGATCCTTGTCTTAGCCGATGGGCACATGGGGCAATCAAGAGAGGAAGTTTGTTTGTCTCAAGCAGCTAAAATGCTTATTTCCAGTGGTCTGAAGGTGGAAGCCTGTGAGAGTTTTGAAGGTGGAAGCCTGTGAGAGATGAAAGAAACGCTTACTGGCTGAAGCTAAGAAAGACTTACTTACACCACACAAGAGCCTTCGCATCCGCACAGACTGCAGACCCAGCCTAGAAAGCCGACGCAAGGTATCAGCCAAATCAGTCCACACAGCAATGCAAAGCTACAACCTCCTTGGGATCCTGAGTCATGCGTTTAGTCCAGACCTCCAGAGTTTGACATACTTCCATGGAAGCAACTGCTGGTTGCAGGGTAGGCCCAATGAAAAGGTAAAAGAGGCCTTGAAGAAGGCTTTAAAGGCAGACACATCCTCAACTGGAACAGCCAGAGATTTGTTAGGGGGAGAGATAGTTTACAATATTATTATTATACAGGATTTATATAGCACCAACAATTTGCTCAGCGCTTTACAAAATAGTGGAGACAGCACAGTTACAATACAATTTACAGTACAATAGAGTTTCAGAACAATAGGGTTGGGAGGGCCCTGCTCGTGAAAGCTTACAATTAGTGATGGGCTTGGGCGTATTCGCAGCTCCACGTGCCGAGCTCGCCAGGAAGCCGACAGCGCCAATCACAGGTACGGAGACATTATCCCGGTCCGCAGCTGCAGAGATCGGGAAATGTCTCAGTGCCTGTGATTGGCGCTGCCAGCTTCCTGGCGGGCTCGGCACGTGGAGCTGCGAACATGCCCGAGCCCATCACTACTTACAATCTAGTAGGAGGGGCAAGTGATACAAAAAGGTAATAATTGTTTGGATTGAGTTATTGGAGGAAGTAAAAGCCAGTTATGTTGAGATGAGATAGGCTACTCTGAAGAGATGGGTTTTTAGGGGTCGCCTGAAGGTGGGCAGCGTAGGAGATAGAGGGACAGATTGGGGTAAGGAGTTCCAGAGGATGGGGGACACTCTGGAGAAGTCCCGGAGGCGAGCATGGGAGGAGGTAATGAGAGAGCTAGAGAGCAGGAGGTCTTGAGAGGACGGTTTGGGTGATATTTTGATATGAGATCAGTGATGTAGGTTGGGGCGGAGTTGTACATGGCTTTGTATGTTGTTGTTAGTATTTTTAATTTTATTCATTGGGCAAGTGGGAGCCAGTGGAGGGATAGGCAGAGAGGGGCGGCAGACACTGAACGGTTGGTAAGATGGATGAGTCTTGCAGCAGCATTCATGATAGACTGAAGGGGGGATAGCCTGCTTAGTGGTAGGCCAACAAGGAGGGAGTTACAGTAGTCGAGATGAGAGATTACAAGGCAGTGAATTAGAAGCTTTGTGGTTTTGTTTGTTAAAAAGGGGCGTATTTTGGAAATGTTACGGAGGTTGAGTCGGCAAGATTTGGATAGTAATTGGATGTGGGGCTGAAAGGAGAGCTAAGAGTCAAGGATAACACCGAGTACCCTGGCTTGATGGGAAAGGTTGATCGTAGTGTTGTTGATAGTGATGGGGAAGTTGGGGGAGGGAACACGGAGAGGAGGAAAAATTATAAGTTCAGTTTTTGACAGATTGAGTTTGAGGTAGTGGTGTGACATCCATGCTGAGATGTCACTGAGTAGATTTGAGATATGTGAAGAGACAGAGGGGGTGGGTTGAGGAGTGGAGAGATAGATTTGGGTGTCATCGGCATAAAGATGGTATTGGAAGCCACGGGAGGCTATAAATTCACCCATGAAGAGGTGTAGATAGAGAATAGAAGGGGCCCAAGGACAGACCCTTGGGGGACCCCCACGGAAAGAGGAAGAGGAGAGGAGGAGGTAGAATTGTAGGTGACCCTTAAGGTGCGCTGAGATCGGTAGGAGATGAACCATGAGAAAGCAGAGTCTTGGAGGCCAAGGGAATTAAGTTTATTAAGCAGAAGCGGGTGGTCAACTGTGTCGAAGGCAGTAGAAAGGTCTAAAAGTATGAGAACAGAGTAGTGGCCATTGGTTTTAGCAGTTAGTAGATCGTTAGTAAGTTTTAGAAGGGCAGTTTCTGTGGAGTGTTGGGGACGAAAGCCAGATTGGAACGGGTCAAGGAGATTGTTAACTGTAAAGTGGCTGCTCAGGCGGTTGTAGAGCAGCCGTTCAAGAAGTTTGGAGGTAAAAGGGAGCAGGGAGATGGGTCTCAAGTTGTTTAGACTGGTGGGCCCCAAAGATGTTTTTTTTAATATGGGGGTTACCAGTGCTTGTTTTAGAGGGGTAGGGACGACACCATTAGAAAGGGAGAGATTGAAGATGTGAGTAAGGGAGTGTAGGATAGAGCTAGAGGGTGACCTGAGTAGTTGTGAGGGGATGGGGTCCAGGGGGAAGGTGGTTAGGCGTGTGTTAGACAAAAGAGTAGCGACTTCGTCGGTGGTAACTGGATCAAAAGAAGAGAGTAGTGAGTGTGGTGGCACACAAGGTATGTTTGGAGTGGGGGAGGTCTGGGAAGTGGAGATTTCATTGCGAATTGCATCAATCTTGTCTCTGAAGTGAGTGGCAATTTCCTGGGCTGTCAGTGAGTTGGTTGGAGGAGGCGGTGGGGGACGAAGTAGGGAGTGAGTGTGATGAAATAGGTCTGTTTGGCTGTGTGGAGGCAGGTACTATAATTTTGGAGGGCAGATTTATATTGGGTGAAATCTTGCAGGGATTTGGATTTGCGCCATTGTCGCTCAAGTGCACGACTATGTCTTCTGAGTTTTCTAGTGCCATCTGTCAGCCAAGGCTGTAGAGGACGGGGCCTGATTTTATGAGAGGTGAAAGGGGCAAGTGTGTCCATACAGGATGAGAGTGAGTTATTGTAGAGAGAAGTGGCAAGGTCAGGGCAGGGCAGGGTTTTGACTTTGTCATAAAGGTAGTCTGTAGCAGAGTAAAGAAGAGAGGGGTTGAAGTGGCGAAGGTTCCTCCGGGTGGCGTTTCGCTGGTTGGAATGTTGGGGGGCAGATGAGAGGGAGAGTGTGAATCTGACAAGGTTGTGATCAGAGAGTGGAAAAGGGGTGTTGGTGAGATTGCAGGGAGTGCAGAGGTATGAGAATGTGAGATCAAGGGTGTTGCCATCAGAGTGAGTAGAAGAGTTAGTCCATTGTGTTAGGCCAAAGGATGAAGTTAGGTTGAGTAGCTCAGAGGTTGTGGTGAACCTAATATTGACAGGGACATTGAAGTCACCGAGAATGACAGTGGGTGTATCATCTACCTCTAATACCGCCTATTTTGTACGGAACACATCTTCAAGGGAATATTGCTGTGCAAAGTGTTTTCGAGGGACTTATACTTTTTCTGGATGTTGCCAGTCTGCATAAAGTACTTAATTCACTAGACAGTGTATCAGGAAGGTCTTAGTGGGTTTCTTTTTCTTAAGGGAACCTATACTGTTGACCCTGGAATGATCCTGCATAGGTGGTTCAATGGCCTTCCAGGTCCCAGTTGTCCCTGGCAATGCTGTCTGCCATGCTGCAGCTGGTGTTGGATACTGTCTGTGCCTCCACATGGGTCCTTTAAGTGAAAATGGCTGCCACATGCCCCACAGCTCCCTGACTGTGCTCAATCATGTATGGGGGGTACCAAGGTGCCTGCCACACCTATCTCTGTATAGGTGTGGTGGCTGGGAACAGTAAAACAACTGCCCATGCACACACTTGACCAGCATAAATTTAAGGCAAAGGCTCCCCTTTTTATTCAAAAAGAGCCAGTGGTGGGAGTGTGAGGGGGTAGACAGAGGGCAGAATCTGTTGAAAACACCTGCAGGGGAGAAACTGATTGTTTACAGGGCCAGCTGCAGCCAGGACCCAGCAGACCAGGGTTACCAGAGGGAAAGGGGGGGATAAGGACTGAGACTCATCCACCGAGCTGCAACAGATCTCTGAATGAGGGAAGGTGGGACCACTCTGAACCTCGACTTCACTCAATATGGTCAAGCTTACCCCCAAGGAGTCTTCAGGTATGGGGCCACATCGGTGCGGATACACCACTGCCCTGGACCTGCGGTTAACCCAGTTCGCGGCACTGTGTAATGTAGCTGCAGGCACTGGATTCTGCATTAGGCACCCACCCAGGCAGACTGGCCCAACATCTTCAGGACTGTGGGGTCTAGTATGCGGCCAGAGATGAAAGAAAAAACAAAAACTTGGACTGAAGATATGCAGTAACAAGCTACAGTAACTACACGTCCCCCTCCATAGAAAGGAGACATCCATCGCCAAAGGACAAGGAGTAGGAGGGGTTATATGAGGGATCACAAAGCTCTAGCCAGTATCCAATCACCAAATGAATCTGCCTATGTCCTGTACAGTAAGTTCAATAAACTTTTAGACTTTTAGAAAGCCAGTTTTGCATAGGATTTTAAGGGAGCATTATCAATAATGCTGGGAGGTGCAGTCAAGGTAGCAGCAGACACGTACAATGCCTGTTCTAAAGTGGCAGTGTTACTTCACTTCATGAACATGGATTATAGGTTGACATTCATTATGTTTAAGTGCCTGTTCACACGACGTCCGTTTTGTGTGCTGACCTGATCCGTACGCTCCTGCACTCAAAATGCATCCCAATGTATCCCTATGTGTTTTATGGGCTACAGTTCTCACGTGCGCAGTCCGTTCAGCTTACGACAGAAAAATACTGCATGTCACATTTTGTACGGTCAGGAAACGCAAACGCGTCAAGAACGCACTGCACTGCAGCTAACATACTAACAGCCCCACTCCAGCAAAAGTTGGAACTCGTTTACTGGAACGCATCAAAAACGTGGCCAAAACGCACTGCATCAGTAGTACCGCATCTGCAGATCCGGACATGATCAGGACCTGAAACTCATGTGAACAGGCCCTAAAACATTACAAGTCATAGAAAATTGAGGGTAAAAGCAGATAGACATGGTATAGGGTCTGACATGCATATTCATATTGAGGGAAACATAATAAAAATGTATCCTACCTTCTCTGTGTCATCAATAATGTCAGCACTATTTAAAGGCGAAATATAGTATCTCTAAGTTATGTAGAAGAAGAGTCAGCTAACCTATTAGAAACAATATTGGCCCTATGTGGCAGATATAGTTAGAGAGTTCCAGTACTCAAACATCTCTGGGACTTTTAGTACTGCAGATCATATACGATGATAAAATCGGCAAGGCAGAAATTTGGCCCTTGATAGTATTTCAAGTATATTTCCACTTTCACAGCCAAATTGGGTTAACACACATTTTATATGTTCCCGTTTACATGGCATAAGCTAAAACAATTAAAAAGAATTTGCAGTTTTAATTGCTTTAATGCTTTTACTTAGGTTTATGCGTTAAGAAGCCAAGAAACCCCAACCTGTTAATTGCTTCTCCTTCTTTGTAATGTTAGGATGGGCTGTGACGGGTTTGTTAACCCTGTCTGTACAAAAATATGACGTTTTTTCCCCCCAATTATGTTGTTGTTTTTTTTTATGGGACAAAAGAAAAAAGAAGAAAAAAACTAAAAAAGTTTAAATATTAATTGTAAAGAAAAGAGAAACAAAAAAACCATCAGAAAAATAATAGCGAAGGGGAAAAAAAAGAGAGGAATGAGTTAATTGGGGCTGATTATAGCTAACTAAAAGGTTAAAAAGGGACTGATTAGCTATGCATTTTTTTAAAATCCTTTTTTTCTTGTACGTCTGCTTTCAATAATGTCACACCTTTGATCTAGATATCATTGAAATGGAAGGTAACTGTAAAATTGTCATGTATTTACACAATGACACTTGCAGTTGGATTGTTTTCTGCCTGGACAGAATGGGCACCCTGACTAATCTGCGGCTAGGCAACAAACTGCGATGTACTGTGTGTTCAGACTTTCTATCAGAACCAGTATTCACTTATTCAGCAATTTGAAACGGTAGCTATTCTATTGGATCCGACTACACGGGCCAGCCTTCACCCCCCACATGCATCAATGAGCCTTGGCTGCCCATGACTCTGTCACCAGTTGACCAATTTTCCTTCCATAGACCACTTTTCGTAGGTCCTAACCATTGCAGACCGGGGAACATCCCACAAGAGCTGCAGTTTTTTCTGACCCAGTCGCCTAGCCATCACAATTTGGCCCTTGTCAAAGTCGCTTAAATCCTTACGCTTGCCCATTTTTTCAGCTTCCAACACATCAACTTCAGGGACAAAATGTTCACTTGCCGCCTAACATATCCCACCCACTTTCAGGTCACACTTTCAATGTAACAAGAAAATCAATGTAATTCACTTCACCTGTCAGTGGTGATGATGTTATGGTTGATTGATGTATGTAATGTTTATATTCCTTTACTGTTTGATGAAAAACCTTTGCAGTAAGGGCCCATTCACACCAGTATATACCGCAAAACACACCTACCGTGTGTTAACATTGCAGGAGTTGCGTTGCCATTCATTTGAATGGCACCCCAAATGCACCTCCCGCCTGCAGTAGGATCAATTGCACCGCATTGCGCACTACCAGAATACCAAAGTAATGCATGCATTTTAAACGGGGGGTGTTTGGGGTGCCATTAAAATGAATGGCAACACAACGCACCCTCTCCGCACTGTTAACACACAGCAGGTGTGTTGTTGCAGTACAGTGCGTTAAAAGCAAGCAACTGTGCAATTAACACATCACACTGGTGTTAATGGGCCCTTAAAGGAGAACTATGGGGCAAAATTTTTTTTTTCCATAGGTCTCCTCAGAGTCACTGTAGGACATATACTGTGTCCTCTATATGCCCGCTATATGCTGAGGGCCACAGCCGGAACGGATCCCGACAATACTGTCGAGATCCACCCAGCTGGCTGGATTGATGGGATCTGTAGTCCTCTATAGCCGGTTGCCATTCTCTATTGCTGTATAACCATTAATTATACAGCAGAGGAGAATGGCAACCAGCTATAGAGAACTACAGATCCTATCAATCCATGACTAAACAGCAATTATACAGTGATGCGTGCAGGGACTCACCAGGGCTGTGTGCAGGGTCCCACCAGGGCTGCCTGCAGGGTCTCACCAGGGCTCTGTAGGTGGGTGCCAGGCTGAACGAGTGGGATCTGGGCTCCAGGGCTGTACAGGCAGGTGTAACTTACCATTGTACTTGACTGGTAGGGTCACTATAGTAAAATAATTTTACTCTCCAAGTTTCTATAAAGTTTATTCAATTCCCCTACCCAAGGGGGAATTTTGTGAGATAAATGCAACAAGAGTGTCCCTAATTTCACAACTGCCAACCATGTAGAGTATATTGGCATTACCTAATATAACATTTTGATTTCCCAGTCAAATTTGTTTCTTGGAATACATCACAGGACACAGTGAGTTAATTCTGTAATTGATAGTTCATGCAGCTACCTTCAGGAGATTGGACACTGACAAACCAATGCTGATAGGACAGACCTGTATAACCCCTCCCACACAATTTTGTAAAACACAGTACAAGAGTGGATCAAAGAAAACAGAAGGGGGTCCTGTTATGTATTTCAAGAAATTGAATTTATAAGTAAGACAAAAAGTCTGTTTTCTTGATCGTACATCACAGGACACAGGGAGTTATTTCTGGAATTGGATGGGGCGTTCAAAAGCAATCCAACAGAAAGGTTGGCAACACAGAAAACAACAGCTAACAGGTTTGAAAAAAAACAACAACAAATACCAAAAGGGAACTATAAGCGAAGGGGGCCACAAGTCAGAGAACCATCTGAAGAACAATGTGGCTGATGCTAGCATCTGCAGAGGCCTGGACATCCACCTAATAAAACTCTGCAAACGTGTGAATAGGGAACCAGGAGGCAGCCATACAGATTTGGGAGACCAATGTCTGATGATGGAAGGCCCCAGAATCTTACTACAAACTGGATGGACACTTATGGTGAATGAAAGATGCAGATGATGATCTAAATCTCAGGTATTCATGGGCTTTTTATAGCTATACCCACATGGCTGCTTAAAACCAGATAAGTTTAATAATTACTGACCACGTATGCTTTACTATGTCACCATCAGGGTAGGCGACTACTTTACAAACAATTCAAAGTCCAATTTATCCCATAAACACTCCTGACCGGAGGAAAACCCAATATACAGGGCGGGTGCCGCAGCGACAGCAAATGCCTCTGCAGATAGCGTGAAACCAGCGAAAAGTCACTCGCACTCCAGCGTAATATCCTGTCAATCTCTTTATTGACTAAAATAGTATAACATCTCCATGCAACGTTTAGGAACCCAAAGGTCCCTTCATCAGGCAAACAGAACATTTCTGAGATTACATGGGAGTATTTTTGCTATTGTCTGCTATGATAAGACTGGGGATGATTCTGGTTGTGTGTGCCTGGACGCCCACCTGGTTGATTTGTTGCATCGCTCCTCCCACCTGTGTGATGATATAATTTCATTTTCTATCAATGTGTTTTTGAGCCATGATGTAGGAGAAATTTGTGAACCTCAACGTATGAATATATACTAATATGGCTGAAATTCAGCGTATCAATGTCATCAATAGGGCTGCAGCGAACAATTATTTTCATAATCGATTAGTTGTACGATTATTTTTCAATTAATTGATTGGTTGTATTAAAAAAATCTCTCTTCGCCCAACTAATCAATAATGATAATTGTTGCCAACTATTATCATTATCGATTAGTTGTTGCAGCCCTAGTTATCAATGTTTACTTTTTAAGAGTTACTCATAATGCTTGTCTTTACATTATAGTGTATGCCCATAATCTCCTGAAGAAGTGGTGGTACCGCGAAAAAATATCTATAATTATCATGGTTACATACTAACGATTGGCATTTAAATTACTTTGTTAACTATCTATTGTATACCAATATGCATCCGTGGTACTAAGATCTTTTTCTAGGGAGAAGGAACACTTTCAACAGGGCTTTGCCCAAGACTATGCCCAGGCACTCTAAGTGATGGAAGACATCCACCACGTAAAGAAGCCAGCAAAAACCTGAGGCAGGCTGCCAGTGAGAGGGGTGGTACAGGACTGTCCTTACAGGTTTAAAATTGCCATTGTCCAATTATCTGAAGGAAGCTGCATAACCCATCTGTTCTAGATGTTGATGTTGTGTCCTTTGATGTACAATCAAGAAACATCTGCATTTTTACGCTTCCATTTGGAGTATATCTAATGGTAGCTGTTCCCTAACTTGAATAACACAACCACAGCAACTGAGGCAGCCCTAGCTACCCACCATGAAATGTTATTTAATATGACTTCTTACAGAGTGCTTCCTTAAAATGTCACTAAATATCTTTCAAATTTGCCTGCCAGCCGCACCCAAGGCAATTTCCCGACTTCATCCAATAACCTCTTGTGGCAAAATCCCACTCAATCTCACTTTTTATACATAAGTGTTTTTGTATTATATGTTTTTGTATTATAATGACACAATTCAATTACAGCCAGTAGAGATAGAGGCACTTACCAATGTCGCCACTGAGACTTGAGATGTCTGCACATCCGGTAACACATTTTCTTTAACTTCAGTATGACTGGAAGAGAAATCCCGGTGAATGGGCGATATTTTATCACGATGTTCACTGTCTTTTACAGATTCTTCCCACAAATCCTGGGATCCAAGAGGGCTGTCTTCCGGAAGTTTCTTCATTGGCTGTTGACTTAGGTGTCTCTGGTCTAAAGGGTCATCTATTTTCTGCTGTTGTCCAGAAGACTCATCCCTTATATGTGGGTCATAGGTTCTCTTTGCTGGAGCCACTTGATTTTTTTGTGGTTGGTGACTAGCCGAGACAGGCTCTATAAACTAAAGGTGAATTTAGCTTAACTTTTATATGAGGTTTGAAAAATACAGAAAACACAGTGATATTATATTTCAGTAAGACTGAAGACATCTGGTAAAATACAATGAGCCTTTAAAATAATAAAAATATAATTACAAATAATGTGTGCCCATTCATGGGTAGCTTAAAAGGAGAACTATGGGGTTAGGGCTTTTCCCCATAGTTCTCCTAAGGGTAACGGGAGGACACAAACTAGCGTCCTCCCATCACCCTAAGCTCAGTATACCGCGAGCTACAGCTCGCGGTATACTGAGACGCCGCAGCTGAAACGGATCCTGACAATTATGTCTGAATCCGCCCAGCTGCGTGAGTGATAGCTGGCTCTGCCTATCTAGAGGCAGAGCCAGCTGTACCTGCCCCTCCCCCGTCCGTTCCGCCAGTCAGCGCTGGAGGATCGGAGCGGGTAGGGGGGGATCCAGTCCCTCCCCTGTCACGGCTCTGGGCCGTGACAAGATCGAGAAGTGAGCGAACGCCGGTATGTGTTCGCTCACTTCGCGATCTACTGAGCCGACCTGTGACAGTTTCATTGTCACAGGTCGGCTAGAACTATGAGGATGAGTGAAAAGCACTCACCTCATGGTTCTCCTTTAAAGCATATCCAAACCCCAAAAAGGTAATGTATTTTAGCTTGCCAATCCTTAGATGTGGTGGCTGCATTAGTTTTCATTTTAGGCTTTTTTTTCTTTTACCTTCACCTGGTGATCCAGCCAGTAACACTTTCTGTCCTCTCTATGTAGGAGCAACATAGCTACCCTTGGACAGCAGCATTGTCAGTTTGTGGAGAGGGTAGTGCTAGATGGACTAGGACATTTAGATAGACTTGACTAACAACTTAAACACAAACTCCAGAAAACACTTTTAAGTAGTTAGAGTAATAGTTTTTTCTTCTTTGGGATAAATATTTTATATATATGATATAGTGATGTGTGCAGGGTCTCACCAGGGCTGCGTGCAGGGTCCCACCAGGGCTGCGTGCAGGGTCTCACCAGGGCTCTGTAGGTGGGTGCCAGGCTGAATGAGCGGGATCCGGGCTCCAGGGCTGTACAGGCAGGTGTGGGGCTGTCCTGTGCTGTGCCAATGACGGGAAGTAGGAGGAGGCAATGTATGGCCGAGCCTCCACTGTCAATGACAGCTGCCTGAGGCCCCCAGCAGGCTACCTGAGGCTCCCTGGAAGCCTTGGACCTCAGGCAGCCGAACTTGTTTAAAAATTTAAAGAGCCGGTATCAGCTCTAAGAATTGGTGCATTTTCAGGAGTACAAGTACTTGTGAAAATGCCCTGTATCAGCCCTGATACCGATACTAGTACATGTATTGGGACATCCCTACCAACAAGTTTAGGTATTTGGGAGTCGAGGACTAGATACCACTTTCAAACTATATCCCTAACAGCCTGAACCTGATTAGAGCATCATTTTATGATAAAATCTGTGAAGTAACTTACCATTGTACTTGATTGCTAGGGTCACTATACTAAAATAATTTTACTCTCCAAGTTTCTATAAACTTTATTCAATTCCCCCACCCAAGGGGAAATTTTGTGAGATAAATGCAACAAGAGTCTCCCTAATTTCATTACCTAATATAACATTTTGATTTCCCAGTCAAATTTGTTTCTTGGAATACATCACAGGACACAGTGAGTTAATTCTGTAATGGATAGTTTATGCCGATACCTTGAGGAGATTGGACACTGACAAATCAATGCTGATAGGACAGACCTGTATAACCCCTCCCACACACTTTTGTAGAACACAGTACAATAGTGGATCAAAGAAAACAGAAGGGGGTCCTGTGATGTATTTCAAGAAATGGAATTTACAAGTAAGACAAAAAGTCTGTTTTCTTGATCGTACATCACAGGACACAGGGAGTTATTTCTGGAATTGGATGGGGCATTCAAAAGCACTCCAACGGAAAGGTTGGAAACACAGAAAACAACAGCTAACAGGTTTGAAAAAAAACAACAACAAATACTAAATGTCTGATGATGGAAGGCCCCAGAATCTTAAAGGTCCAAGATTTACCAGAAAGGAGGAAACTTTACCCTTCAGCCCATAGGCCTGAGTGATAGTTTGCCAAAACCACTTGATAGTGGTAGTGATAGTGGAACAATAAGCCAGTTGCCCAATACAGGAAACCTCTGGAATGACAAAGAGGGAGCCAGACTTGGTCTTGGTGAAAGGAGTATTCTCTGGGGTCCAGATGTTGACGAATGAGGAAGTCCACCTGCCAATTTTTCACACTCAGGATGACCAAGACTCTTCCCTGGCCGTTCAAACTGGCATCTGTCACATGCACCTTTCAGACTATCAGGAGGAAGGATTTCCTCGACTTCAGCACTGGGTTGGAAATCCAGAATGCCAAGGAAAGCCTGGCCTTGCTGGGCAAGCAAATGTGAAGGTCCAGGAACAGAAGCTGCTTGTCCCATACAGCTTGTTGTAAAGGAGCTTGTACAAAAGCTCCTGCCTACCCTGATGGTGACATGGTAAAGCATATGTGGTCAGTAATTATTATTTTTTTGGGCGCATTGGACCTTTTGCCATACACACCAGCTGACTGCTCTCCCCTCTCCATTTTGGTCATACTACAAACTGGATGGACACTTATGGTGAATGAAAGATGCAGATGATGATCTAAATCTCAGGTATTTATGGGCTTTTTATAGCTATACCCACATGGCTGCTTAAAACCAGATAAGTTTAATAATTACTGACCACATATGCTTTACTATGTCACCATCAGGGTAGGCGACTACTTTACAAACAATTCAAAGTCCAATTTGTCCTATCACACTCCTGACCGGAGGAAAACCCAATATACAGGGTGGGTGCCGCAGCGACAGCAGATGCCTCTGCAGATAGCGTGAAACCAGCGAAAAGTCACTCGCACTCCAGCGTAATATCCTGTCAATCTCTTTATTGACTAAAATAGTATAACATCTCCATGCAACGTTTAGGAACCCAAAGGTCCCTTCATCAGGCAAACAGAACATTTCTGAGATTACATGGGAGTATTTTTGCTATTGTCTGCTATGATAAGACTGGGGATGATTCTGGTTGTGTGTGCCTGGACGCCCACCTGGTTGATTTGTTGCATCGCTCCTCCCACCTGTGTGATGATATAATTTCATTTTCTATCAATGTGTTTTTGAGCCATGATGTAGGAGAAATTTGTGAACCTCAACGTATGAATATATACTAATATGGCTGAAATTCAGCGTATCAATGTCATCAATAGGGCTGCAGTGAACAATTATTTTCATAATCGATTAGTTGTACGATTATTTTTCAATTAATTGATTGGTTGTATTAAAAAAATCTCTCTTCGCCCAACTAATCAATAATGATAATTGTTGCCAACTATTATCATTATCGATTAGTTGTTGCAGCCCTAGTTATCAATGTTTACTTTTTAAGAGTTACTCATAATGCTTGTCTTTACATTATAGTGTATGCCCATAATCTCCTGAAGAAGTGGTGGTACCGCGAAAAAATATCTATAATTATCATGGTTACATACTAACGATTGGCATTTAAATTACTTTGTTAACTATCTATTGTATACCAATATGCATCCGTGGTACTAAGATCTTTTTCTAGGAACACTTTCAACAGGGCTTTGCCCAAGACTAGGCCCAGGCACTCTAAGTGATGGAAGACATCCACCACGTAAAGAAGCCAGCAAAAACCTGAGGCAGGCTGCCAGTGAGAGGGGTGGTACAGGACTGTCCTTACAGGTTTAAAATTGCCATTGTCCAATTATCTGAAGGAAGCTGCATAACCCATCTGTTCTAGAATTAATGTTGTGTCCTTTGATGTACAATCAAGAAACATCTGTATTTTTACGCTTCCATTTGGAGTATATCTAATGGTAGCTGTTCCCTAACTTGAATATCACAAGCACAGCAACTGAGGCAGCCCTAGCTACCCTCCATGAAATGTTATTTATTATGACTTCTTACAGAGTGCTTCCTTAAAATGTCACTATATATATCTTTCAAATTTGCCTGCCAGCCGCATCCAAGTCAATTTCCTGACTTCATCCAATAATCTCTTGTGGCAAAATCCCACTCAATCTCACTTTTTATACATAAGTGTTTTTGTATTATATGACACAATTCAATTACAGCCAGTAGTGATAGAGGCACTTACCAATGTCGCCACTGAGACTTGAGATGTCTGCACATCCGGTAACACATTTTCTTTAACTTCAGTATGACTGGAAGAGAAATCCCGGTGAATGGGCGATATTTTATCACGATCTTCACTGTCTTTTACAGGATCTTCCCACAGATCCTGGGATCCAAGAGGGCTGTCTTCCGGAAGTTTCTTCATTGGCTGTTGAGTTAGGTGTCTCTGGTCTAAAGGGTCATCTATTTTCTGCTGTTGTCCAGAAGACTCATCCCTTATATGTGGGTCATAGGTTCTCTTTGCTGGAGCCACTTGCTTTTTTTGTGGTTGCTGACTAGCCGAGACAGGCTCTATAAACTAAAGGTGAATTTAGCTTAACTTTTATATGAGGTTTGCAAAGTACAGAAAATACAGTGATATTATATTTCAGTAAGGCTGGAGACATCTGGTAAAATACAATGAGCCTTTAAAATTATAAAAATATAATTAAAAATAATGTGTGCCCATTAATGGGTAGCTTAAAGGAGAACTATGGGGTTAGGGCTTTTCCCCATAGTTCTCCTAAGGGTAACGGGAGGACACAAACTAGCGTCCTCCCATCACCTTAAGCTCAGTATACCGCGAGCTACAGCCCGCTGTATACTGAGACGCCGCAGCTGAAACGGATCCTGACAATTATGTCTGAATCCGCCCAGCTGCCTGAGTGACAGCTGGCTCTGCCTATCTAGAGGGCAGAGCCGACCTGTGACAGTTTAATTGTCACAGGTCGGCTAGAACTATGAGGTGAGTGAAAAGCACTCACCTCATAGGTTCTCCTTTAAAGCATATCCAAACCCCAAAAATGTAATATATTTTAGCTTGCCAATCCTTAGATTTGGTGGCTGCATTAGTTTTCATTTTTAGGCTTTCTTTTCTTTTATCTTCACCTGGTGATCCAGCCAGTTACACTTTATGTCCTCTCTATGTAGGAGCAACATAGCTACCCTTGGACAGCAGCATTGTCAGTTTGTGGAGAGGGTAGTGCTAGATGGACTAGGACATTTAGATAGACTTGACTAACAACTTAAACACAAACTCCAGTTAACACTTTTAAGTAGTTAGAGTAATAGTTTTTTTCTTCTGTGGGATAAATATTTTACATAAATGAATAAAAGCTAACCATTGCAAGCAACCTGACAGTTTAAAATGGTTTGTCCTAACCTCTATCTGCCACTTTTGCTGTACAGCTTGGTCAGTTAAAAGAAGCTGAAAAATACCAGACTTACTGGCCAGATCACCAGGTGAAAACAAAAAGGAAAAAAAGCCTAAAAATGAAAACTAATGCAATCAACAAATCTTAGAATTGGTAAGTTGCAACATATTACATATTTGCTTTCGGGTTTAGATATGCTAGAAACCATCCATGAATGGGCACACATTATTGGTTTTTGGCTTTTGGAAGCTGTTCTTGGCAGAAGTAAAGGATAGAGAGGAGCAGCACTGGAACAGGATCAGGTACCAGGGTGTCAGAGACAAAGCAGAAATTAGATAATCATAAATTGGGGGTGGGGAGTGTTGCAGAGCTTGAGATAATCAAGATCTCAGAAAAGAGAGAGGGGACAGAGAGTAGCTGATGATAGAAGAGGGTAAGAAAGAAAATCTAGTGGGATATGACTGTGGAAGGGGCTTGTAGTGGCTTAGCAGATTCCATGAAATCTTAAACGTCAGGTGGAATTTAATAACTTGTTGTGAATTTATTTACACTATGGCAGCCAGGGGACTGGGGTGACAGTGCTCAGAGACAACATACCATGGAAAGGATAGCCCTTGTGGAGAACGGGGAGCACAGAAAAATAGACACAGGATCTGAAAGGCAGCAGCCACATGGCCCAAACACAGCAGGGGGAATCACAGTGAATGTAATGCTGAATGCTGCAGATGGAATTGTGGTGAAAGAATGAGGAAGTGCAGAGTGAACAGGTACAGACATGATAAGGGTTTAGTGAGGCCATCAGCTTTAAATATATATGAGGATATATGGATAGAATAAGATGACCATGTAGGATAGTCTAAAGGGATAGCAATTGATCTGGAGATTACCAGCATTGTTTTGATTACTATACGAGAAGCCCTGATCTACTCATCCAGTCTACCAAAAGAGAATAATTAACAATTTTTACCTGTTGCCGGCTATTATCAATATAATCCACTGGGTGCAGAACTTCTGGTCTACGATTTAAAGCATCTCTGTAGCCCTCAACATTCCGTGGTTGGATTGGCCGTGGATTATTGTAGAAGCGATCATCCCCACCTTCAATAAACCGATCATAGCCTTCTCTTTGTGGATTTGGAGGGGGCAGTCTTTCTCTTTCTTCGTCACGATGTCTCCGCAACACATTTATACGATGAGCAGTTGTACCAAACCCGTAACAAAATACCTGTTAATATGATTGTTCATTTTATGGATAGTAAACAAACTATGTCTTTAAAAGGCAATGAATTTAAAACTTTAAAATCTGTCTCAAATAAAAAGTAGAATGTTTAAGTATAAAGTTCACTTGTACTGCCCAAAAGAATACATCACAACGTGCCTATTACTTTTAGCAGCCAGAAAAGCCTTTTCTGGGCCCCTTTCTTTTCTTTTACAGCTGCCCGAGTGTTCCCTGACTGTTTTGGCTGATAAAAGGGAACATATCTGTGTTGACTGCCCTTAAGTAGGAATTTCACTTTTAAAACCTTAAAATGAAGTACAGTTTCAGTCTGTTTGGTTTCTTTTCTATAAACAAATACTGTATACTTTTACTTCACTTCTGAATCATTGGATGTTCTTCCACTGTTTGTTGTGCCATAGGAAATGTAGCTCTTACTTCTGCACAGACTCCTGAGTGCTCCACCACAATGGCATTTTGGAACCGCATTGTGGCTCCAGTTAAGCTTCCAAATTGTATGACTATGTTGTTGCTACGGGCCTAGCCCTCGATTTCAGGTCAGGTACCGAAAAACCAATCTAGGTCTACTGTAAGCCCTCTCAAAAGGGGATCCCTCAACTGAAAGATGGCCAATACCATCAGAACCCTCTGCAGAATAAAGGAAGGGGTGAGTATTACCCTTATGAGGAGAAAATCACCATACTTACCAGTAAAAGGAGTGCTATAATTATTAGCACTAATGGCTGATAGATCAAGGGCATCTCTGCTAACAAGGCATGAAAGAACTCTCCGATGCCTTTCCCAATATGCTTTAAGGGTTCTGTTATGAAGTTTGTAAAAGTGACAGCAAAAGCCTGTAGACATAAAAAAGATAGAAAAAAAGATTAAATAAACCCAATATACTTTAAAGCCTTGGTTCTCAACTGGTGGGTCATGACCCAAAAGTGGGTTGCGACCCTGTGTTCTTTGGGTCGCCACATGCCTTCCACTTTTCTAGGTGAGAGGCTCCTCAGCCTCCCCCTAGCGTAGCACTGTCAGCTCTCGCACCAAGCAGCCATTCAAAATATGCTGCCCGAGTGTCAGCTTGAGGTGGGGTGGGCTAGGGCTGTGGCCGCGAGCGGGCTCCATCCATATGTGCATTGCTTACAGCTCTTTCGTGTGTCCTGTAGAAGTGCCTGGACCGGAGTAAAATGACATTCTGGCTCCTGGCACCTCTACAGGGTGTGCAAGGAAGCTGTACGAGTGGATACGCATATGGATGGAGCTCCATCACAACACAGGCTGAGGACCCACTCCAGTTCTCGGGAGGATTAAAAAACAAAAAGACAAAAGAATATGTATTTTTTTGGGAGTGTGTATGTGTGTGTGAGAATGTCTGTGAGTGTGTGAGATTGTGTCTGTTGCTGTGTGTTTCTGTCAGTGTTTTTGAGGGCCCTTTCACACTAGTACAGTGCATTAATCCCACAGTCCAATGCAATTAACGCACTGTACCACGCAATCGCACTTACCGCACGTTCTGGTGTGGGAGGTGCATTGAATTGCCATTCATTTAAATGACACCCCAAACGCATCTCCCACGCACAGTTCTAGCCATCGTAATCGCAACGCACAGTGCAGCAATGCCATGCGTTCCACTGCAGTGCAACTTGGGTCACCACTTAATGACCAATGACAAATATGGGTCCTGAGGTTACACAGGTTGAGAAGCACTGCTTTAAAGTGTTAAATACACACCAAGAGGAGCTTACGTTGGCTGGCATGGGTAATATCTATCCTACATCAAGGCTTCCCAACCTGTGTGGCTTGTTACTGCTTTTGATGAAATACATGGGCCATGGACAAAAGTGAGGGAGTTGTATTTTAGTACTATTGTGATGCAGCATGCCATGACTTTTTCTAGATACAGGCTTCTGGTCAGTTGGAGGGTAATGAATACTCTGGGTCTTAATAATTTCGCAGTAACTTTGTCATTACAAAAGGAGCTGCTAACAGGTGCTATGCTACATGGACCTGGACCTCGGCTGCCAAACTGACAGTTGATTTCAGCATTTGTATCAGTGAGTAAGACTTTACGATGTACAAGATATATCAGAAGTCTTTAAAAAGACCCTGTCACCCATCACCAACTCTGGGATTTTTACAAAAAACTACTCTTTCAGTGCACCCCTTCAGCACTGCAAGTGTTACATGTTCATTAAGTCTAGAGATAGAGAAATAAGATGTAATACTTACCCTATTCCTCACTCCAGCAGGCTTCCTCCATGCTGTGCAACCAGTCTCCCTGAAGCCTCTTTACTAAAGCTCACCACACCCCTTACAATCTGATTGTACAATTTCCTTTAGATCTACCAACAATTATGTAGTGCAGGGGCTTGCCTGATTGAATGCAGATTGATTGTATAGACTAGATAGGTGCTTATATTAAATAGTTTTGGTAGATCTAAAGTTGATTGTACAAAGATTGTATGGTCAGATTGTAACGTGTGTGGTGAGCATTAGGTGCTCTGACCAATGGGCTGATGTCATCAAGTACAACACAGAATCAATAATCCTGCATTGTGCAGGAGGAGGGCCCGCCCACAACAAAGAGCATCGGAGAGAAGAGGAAATTGCCAAAACCTGCTGGAGTGAGCAATTAAGTATTGCACCCTCATAATATTGGGGGGGAGGGTTGGGAGGTGGAGTTTAGCTTTAACCCTTTCCCTGTCGACATAAGGCGTTCAGCAAAGCAAAAAAGTTCCCAGTTGGCCAGCACAGTATGCCTTACGTCAGCTGCATTCACCCTTCTGCTATAAGCTCTGAGGCTGAGAAGCCGCTGATGACAGCTATCCATTGTAAATAAGCCTGGCAGCTAAAGGATTAAAAAGTGCAGGTAAAAGCACAGAAAAATCAAGTATTTTAAATACCTACTTGCAGTGTTTTCCCTTATGGTAATATTTTATTTACTTGCAATGTGCTTGTGAACTTGCTAGAAAATAATATTACTCCAGGAAGAGAGAATTCCCTAGCACAGCCCCCTTCCTCCTTGCATGTCATAACCTTCTCCTCTACTGGGAGTGCCTTGCTCAACCACCACTCCCCTTCACCTCCCCACATAAGCTTTTACGTAGCTGCCGGATAAGGAGTAAATCAGAATACTATGAAGTGTCACTTGAGGGAATGCTCCGAACTGGCTGGGCATGCGGGCATCAAATCCAAGATGGTGACATCCAGCAGCAGCCTCAGGGCCTTTGGACATCTAAACAAGGGAGGCTATTACAGGTAAATAAATACAATATGTTTCATAAAATGCACCTCTAATCAAATAGGAATTATTTTGTTGAAAAGAATAGTCTGGAGACAGGGTCCCTTTAACTAGTTAAACAGGACTGTTTTGTTCAATATGTATGCATACGGCAAATGATAGTCTGCATATTGGGATTTTTTTTGCAAAAAAATGTTTACTACAAGCTTTAGAATTATATAGTGTTCCGGGAAAGGCAACATTCTTCTCTCATCATAACCGAATATAAATTTTAAACCTTTAGCTGCCAAGCCCTCCGGAACATTTTGCAACTCAGCTGGCCACGCCATCTTTGCTAGCATTAGTATAAGAGCCTCCAAACCATATATTTTCTGAAAGCACAGGCCCGGTAGAATAAAAAGATGGTGCTACTAAATTTGTAGGCCCTGCGATAATTGCACAAATGTAAATGTAATATTAATAGTAATATTAAACCAATAAAAATACACAATTCAATTGATAAAGCACACTAGAATCAGTATCAGCGCACAAAAAATATATTTTCTGACTAAATCTAAAAGATAAAACTGTATTGAGTTAATAAATAACAAATATTTGCAAATTTGACATTTGGCCTTTTTGCGAAAAGGTCAAAAAATGAAGGTACGCAAAACTGTAAATAAGCGACTTATGTTAAAAATAGCTTTGAGGCTGTGTTGATGTTTGTGTTGTGATAAAATGATACAGGCGTATATTGAATTGCAACACAAGGTATCACAATGCATGGCAATGCGTCACAAAGCTTTGCCATGCGCTGCCACAGTTAATACCGCAACGCAACGCAGCGCATGTGCATGGCGTATACCACAATATGGTGCACATGTATGTTGTGTGAGGGGGGAGGTTGTGCTTTTTTTTTTACACATTTATTTATTTTTTCATATTTTTATTTAGATTTTTAAAATAATGTAACATAAAAATTGAGGAAACAAGAGTCCTCAAATTTCTTTTTCTGCAGCCTCAGCACTCAATTAATGGAAAGCACATAAGCTTTGGCCCGACTGAGCCGACGTGAAAGCCTAAGCTGGCTCCGGCCATTTGCAGAGACAGATCAGTGTCCCTGGTTACCAGGTATGCTGATCTGTCATTGCACTGAGAACTCGGCGGAGCCGCCGTGATATCAGTGTGTAATGACAGATCGGCGCCCCTGGTCACGGCTGGCTCCGGCCACTTGCATACAGAGACAGATCAGTGTCCCTGGTTACCAGGTATGCTGATCTGTCATTGCACTGAGAACTCGGCGGAGCCGCCGTGATATCAGTGTGTAATGACAGTGTAATGTCCAATAGAAAACAGTTCTGCGGAGCTAGCCGTCACTGCTAGCTCCACCCAATAATTTTATCCTTTTTTTTCTCCTTTTTCTATTCTGCTCTGGGGTTACATAGGTTGAAAACCACTGCACTAAAATAATCTGAGTGTGATTCTGTGCAAAAGGAACTGCTTTGAAGGTGGCCATCATCAGACCCAAAACACACAAACTGGTGGGAAAATGACAACCATCTGCGAGACAGCAAAAGACAGATATTAGAATGAAGCTTCCAAAGCGTCTCTGGCGGAAGAAACAGGACTTGAGTCCAGCACTAATCCCAGGTACTCCATGTGAAAGGAAGAACTCAAGGATGGATGATTTATTCAGGTTCAGTGCCCAACCCAAATCCTGGTGCTCACGCTGGACAGATTAGTCTCCAGTTGGGAAAATGATTACGCCCACAAGAGTAGATCATTCAAATAGCCCATGACAAAGATTCTAGGAAACCATAATAGGGCCAGCACAGAAACCAATGCCAGTATCAAACAGCAGTTCGACACACTGTTAGAGTTCTTCCCCCACAGCAAACCCAAAAAACCTATAGTGACTTCAGGAAATGGGCACACGGAGGAGTATGCATCCCTGATGTCGATAGTTGCCAGGAGATCACCCTGATGTAAGGAAGCCACAACTGATCGGATGAATTCCATCCTGAATTTGCTGACCTTCACATACATGTTGAGAGACTTGAGGTCTAGAATGGGGCAAATTCTATCCTTGGGAACTATTGAGAGATTTGAATAAAATCCCCTGAATTTTTTCAGAGGGGATGGATGGGAACAAACACCCCCTGCTGTAACCGATCAGCAATTGCCCTGTGTAGTTCTAGAAGCTGCTGATGGGACAGATGCAGGTTGGAAGCGAAAAAATGGTCTGGAGGAGAAATCTTGTATCCCAAATCCAATTATCTTGCGGACCAATTTGTCCGAAATGTATGAAAACTAAGGATAGGTGAATTCCAAAAGACACCCCCCGCTCTTCTCAAAGTAAACCTTCATGCAGAGGAAGGTTTCTCAGCAGATTTGTGCTGCCATGGGCACTTAGACTCAAATGATATTGAGAGCTTCAAGAGCTTGCCCCTTTTGTCAGAAGAGGTTTGGAAATGAAAAAGGCATTTGTGAGCCCCAAGAAAAAGAAGCAGGCTTAAAGCGTGATTCCTTGGGCTTTTTAGCATGTGGTAAGTGCTCGTACACCTGATGAAGTCTATAATAATCCCCTCCAAGGTTTCTTCAAATAGATGATTCTCTTGAAAGGGGAGCTTTGTAAGGGCTTTCTTAGAAGCCTTATCTGCTGACCAGCTCTTAAGCCACAAAGGCCTCCAAATAAACACCACCAACCCAGACAGTTTGGATACTAAAAGGTCCAGCATCTGGGGAAGCATTACAAAGATATTTAAAGCCCTGCACAAGTTGATCTGCAAGTTTCACGTACTGTAAGCAGGGGAGACATTCTCACTGGTAAGGCCAGCATGCAGGAACTTGGCCCACTTATCTGCCACCTTCGTCTGGGTATTCTGACAGGGGCCGGTGTCCACTATCAGAATACAATGCAAAACAGCAGGGGATTCCTCCATCCACGCTCGAAGTGTTGCTGGAAGAATCTGTTATATTTATTTTCTCCGTTCAGCTTGCATGTTGAACGAAGGAAATATAACCATGTATACCTGATTTTAGTGAGGAAGTCTTCTTTAAAAGGGGTAAGGAATCATGAACTCCTTGGGGACCATGAAGGAGATAGTCAGCCCCTGCCACTCCTTGTATAGAAAGTCTTCATAAAAGGAATGTTACAGGAAAACCTTACTAGAATGACTTGTGGGTACAAAAAGGTAAGGGGGCTCCTCAGAAGTACTAGGCGCATCCTCAATTTTAAGGGTTTCATTTACGGACATAAAGACTGAAACCAGTTATTTTTCCAAAAGGATGGCCGATGTTGAGACCTCTTCACCACTACTGGACAGGGTAGGTTGAGGATCCAAGGTGACAGGAGTGTATACGAATACAGGAACATCCTCCTCAATGCCGGACATGGGGTAGGGGAAGGGCATTTCTTAGCAGAAGCATGGGACAGAGTCCGCTCAACATGTGAAACATAGCCATCTATACATTAGGAAAAAACTTTAAAAGGACAGAGCAATGCCTTTATTCTCAGAAGCATCTGCTATAGAACCAAAAAAAGGGGCAGGCGTGAGGTGCGCAGGAATTACACATGGCAGGTCAGAGTGAACTCATACAGGAAATTCCGCATTCCTTACAAACTAAGGGGGATCCCTTACCTAAAAGGTTCAGCTGAGGGAAAACCAGCAGACCGCCTAGTCATGTCAGCCACAGCCGTAGCGAAGACACACCCACCCAGTGCTTACCGCAGAGCCATGTAACTATAGTCCCAGGGTGCACCCTGCCAGTAGAGGGAACTTCTTACAGGCTGTGTGTGGTACAGAGTCATTGCAGCCAAACCTGTCATGATTAGGAACTGCATGCATTCGATGGCAGGTCTGAGGAGGACTACAAGGATTAACATACATCCAGCTGGTCACCCAGTCTGCTGTTGATTGAAGAATTCACAAATGATTCAAAGAAAAAAAATCATCAAGGAAAAAAAAGAAAAAGAAATGGGAAAAATAATACACACATGGATTGTTATATGCTAACTGTCTTTTGTGTTTGTACCTAGCATCCTACTCCTGCAGGTGGCACTGACTTTAGAGTCCAGGAGAACTTGTGTGAAACTTCCATTTATTAGATAATATATTTAATAACTATGTTTAACAGCATAAATATGAATATCTAGTCTGAAATTACGAATACGGTACTGACTAAAATGAAAGAAAGTGAAAATGGCTTACTTTGGTTGGTGGGACCAGAAGTATTGGGTTTACCATTAAAGCTTTAAAATACTCCTCACATGGATCATTCTGAAAAGATGTTGAACTTCTCCACCACTCTACAAAAAGATCAAAATAAATGTAAAATACAAATAACAGAAAAATACAGACGTGCAAATATGTTGAAGGGTAATTCTGCTAACAATTTCTAGCTATTAGTAGAGTATCATGGAATAAGCCCATTTGTGAAAGCCACCATAGACCTTAAATGTGCAGCCATAATCTTAGCACTTTTTTAGGTATCCAAGAAGCCCATTCACCCTGTGCAACCATTTATATTTGGCCTTTTGAGAAAAGTAAAGTAGACTTGCTGCTGCAACTCTGGCACAGGCTTATCAAACAACTGAACTGGACAAGGACAAACGATTGTAATTGGACAAGGTTTTCCAACCTGTCCGATTACTTCTACCCCAAACAAGCCTCTGCTGGTGATACCAGCAAGTGTTCAATAGACATTAGATTGTTTCACCTGGATCAGGAGACTTGCAACTAGCAACCATTACTAGATGTTTGCTTGCATCTGCACTGAAAAGAAAAACATATATGTATACCCAAAAGGGGAAGACTAGCATTAAGCAAGGTAATTGAATCAATACAATTTTTATTTTTTACATGAGAAACTGATGGGGCGCCTGCTGAGTCCATAGGCATAAGTTTGTGGTCTTTTCAAGCTGAAAACCATTGGCATGGATAACAATTATCTCATGTATATAAACAACTTAAACTAGCAGTTTGGATAAAATAGGAAATTTAAATTGCTTCAGGTACATAACGTTGTGTTCATATGTAAATAGGTTTACATTCTTTATTGTATATCCAAGTCTTACCAAACAGTATATCCAATTATCTTTTATTTCAATACATTTTTATTAGCATATAGAGATTCAGAAAGTACAAACATTGCAGGCTCTACCAGAACAGATGGTAGGACACTCGCCTCAGACAATCAATGCGATTAACATAAGATTAATACTAAGATTGAATACGTTATGAATATTCCAGCGTACAATTGTGGTAGAGTGCGTCAGAGTGTTATTTCTCATCGGCTGGCAGAGACATGGTTCAGGCCAACGGGACCGACCAATAGTAATCAGGATTTTTACAAAGAGTTAGCGTGAAATTAGAAGTATAGCGGTAGATTGTAGCTTTAGAAGGGGCTGCTATACAGCCCTAGCAGCAGTAGAAGGATAAGAAAAGACAGGGGGGAAAGAGAGTGTGGGAGGTTGGATGGAAAGGGCGAGGGAGGAGAGGTTGGGGGAAGTGCACATCTAGGTTGGGTTATTTGGCCTGTGGCAGGCAGTGGTGAGAGCTAGGGCACCTGTTCATACGTCTAATAATGTTCTATCAAAATTCGGTGGGAAGAAATGTGCGACCCATGGTTCCCAAGTGTATATCCAATTATCTTACCAAACAAACTGTCTGACCAAGTCACCTTCTTGCCACAGGCATTATCATTTCCTATTTTTGCTAATTTCGCCTGTCTTTCAGCAAAAGCATCCTAACAAAAAAGAAATACATGGGTCTTTAAAAAAAATACAAATAGAAAAAAATCAACAAGTAGATACAGTATTTGCATGTCAAATCCAATTACTTCTTTCCATCAACTAATATTAAAATGAAATAACAGACAATTCTGTAATTTAACCTGGTGTTAAATTCCTCAATGTGCCAACAACTAATCTTTGAATAATTATAATAAAAGTAAATAAAGAAGCAATTCCATGACACAATTAAACTAAATGAGTGGTCCAGCCCACTGCAGTTGTGCTGAAAGCAGAGAGTTTACTCAATGTACCACCCTGTAATCCACTACATCTACATCAAACCTAGTCCAATCAACAGGGTCAGTAGGAGGGCATTAAAACTGTGCAATCTGAAACTTATCAATCATCTCGAACATGTTTTTTTTCAAAACACCAATATTGACCTTTGTGAACTTCACAACTGAATCACACAGATGAAGTTGATCAAGCCAGACAATTGTGTTGGAAAAGTTTTATCCAGGACAAGTGGGCGAGAGGCAATTTAACATATTGCATATTGAAATAATGTTCTTATTTACGCTGGCCACACATTATGCAAATTTCATCCAGTTCTTCAGGAACCACCGAAATTCGCACAGTGGGTGCCGTTGTTGGCACCCTTTTGGCCGGCATCCCTCGATCAGCTGATCAAAGGAGCTGCTCCTCAATCAACGCTCGTAAAAGTTGATGGAGTAATCTGTTCTATTTTTTTTGTTCAACCTGCGGGCTGAACTAAAAAAAAAATAGAACAGCGTATGGCCAGCTTTAGATGAAACCTACAGGGATACAATCTACTACATAAAATGGTCAAATGTTACACTGAAATCCAGGCAAACTGCTAAAACACAGACTAAATACATCTAAAAAGGTATCAGTTTTACCTGCCAACAGATTTGCATTTCTGTTCAGCCAGCCCTGCCAGGAAGAGCAAGGAGACCTAATTTTTCTCTACTGCAGTTCAGTAACACTTGCAGATCTTTCCTTCCCCTTCACAGGACAGTGAAGATAGCAGACAGATGAGCTAATCTCTCTGTCACTCTGTTCCCTCCTACAAGCAGCATGCTTTGTGCACTTCAGAACAAGTGAATGTCCCATGAACAAGTGAATGTCCCATACACATCACAATCTAACTATTCAATCCATCAATTTGTTTGCATGATTGGACAAATCACAGAACGTACGATCTTTGCTGTTTAGGTTTTAAAGTAAGTGTGGTGTATTTTTTTTCTCCAATTCAGTCATTTTGTTATTTCTGTTCACATGCTATATACAACTTTGGTTGGGATTTATTTTCAACTGCAGTGATACTTTGTTATCTCAAATTTTATATTAAAAAAAATACTTGAAAACAACCCCACAGAAACATGCATGTTGTGAGGATTAAAAATTCCTTTCCAGATGTGATCGAACATGATGAATAAGTTAGCATAAAAAAAGTTGGCCTGGGAAATTGTGTTGGCCATAATTAACCCTGTCTGTGCCGTGTTGGCAAATCTTCATTATCAGTTGTAAACTAGATGTCTGTCCTAACAGAGTAACATTTCAAGGCTTGGGTGTTAATGCACTGTCTCTCAGCATGTCTCTTATGTCCACATTGCCATCTGTTCTATGCAGTAGAAGCTGTCTATAGTGCCCCATGTAAAAAACCTTCTCTAAATAAACAACTCAAGATAAAAATTAGTAGTGGTTTCTCAAATTTCACTGCAAAAGTGCAAATACACTTTAATTTAAGCTGGCGATACATGGATCTAATTCTGTCTGTTTCCTGCTGAATCGGCTGAAATTGGACTGTGGGTGGTCGATTTTTCGAAGATTCTTCAACTTTTATAGGAGACGGGTGGAAAATTGTTAGCTGAACAGTAACTGCAGTCAATCAGTCAAAAGCAGGGGAGATTCCTCCATCCACGCTCTTTAGCATGAATGGTAGGATTGAGTGATTTTTCAACCTAGGTGGTTGAATGAGAAAAAAATTATTGTGTATGGCCGGCTTTAGGGAAGGAAAATCATGTCCCTAGTAACAAATTAAACTAAGTAATAGTGGCACACAGAGAAGTGTGGTGATGGCTAATTAAGGCCCCTTTCATAGGGTCCAATCAGGAGGGGGGTCCATGCACAGACCAGGGCCGCAACAACTAAATCGACATAATCGATCATAATCGATTATTGAAAAAGTTGTCAACTTTTTCAATCATCGATTAATCGGCCTCTGATTAGTTGGCCCTGTTCACGGCTCCACACAAGCTGCGCACCACATCTCCTCCCCACCTCACGCGCGCTGATGCCAGACCCACATCCACACCTCCGCCCCACGCTCACATCCCCGATCGGCACAGGGAGGCGGGGAGAAGAAGTAAGGAGGAGCAGGTGTGGGGTGGATGACAGCCACCGATAGACAGGCCTGATCTCAGAAGCAAGTTACTGGAAGACTGCTCAGGTAAGCCTGCACTTTCCCACACATGGTGCTCTATAATGTATTGCTGGGATTTGTATTCCTCTATAGCGGAGTGTACATTGTGCTGTATATTATACCATCAGCTATAGAGGACTACAAATCCCAGCAATACATTATACACTGTATGCATAATGTATTGCTGGGATTTGTTGTATTCTTCTATAGCTGGTGGTATTCTGCATTGCGTTGTATAGACTACAAATCCCAGCAATAATACATTATACAGTTCAATCCAGGATACCACCAGCTATAGAGTACAACAAATCCCAGCAATAATACATTATAGAGTGGTGCAATGCAGAATACCACTAGCTATAGAGGACTAAAAAACCTAGCAATAGTACATTATATAGCGCAATGCAGAATACCACCAGCTATAGAGGAATACAACAAATCCTAGCAATAGTACATTATAGCTGGCGGTATTCTGCATTGCGCTGTATAATGTACTATTGCTGGGTTTTGTAGTCCTCTATAGCTAGTGGTATTCTGCATTGCACTGTATAATGTACTATTGCTGGGTTTTGTAGTCCTCTATAGCTAGTGGTATTCTGCATTGCACTGTATAATGTACTATTGCTGGGTTTTGTAGTCCTCTATAGCTAGTGGTATTCTGCATTGCACTGTATAATGTACTATTGCTGGGTTTTGTAGTCCTCTATAGCTGGTGGTATTCTGCATTGTACTGTATAATGTACAATTGCTGGGTTTGTATTCATCTATAGCCAGTGCCATTCTGCATTCATTGCTGTATAATTTTACACTTTTCATTTCACTATATTGCACACCACACTTTTTCTTTTTTACTTCCCCCACTCCAAGCTTGCTCCTGTGATGAACTACAATCTCAATACAAACTAGTAGTCCCATCACTGGAGCCATTTTTAAAAATGTATTTTATTTTTTATCCGATTAATCGAACTTAATAATCGGCTAACTAATCGATTTTGAAAATAATTGTTAGCTGCAGCTATAGCACAGACCTGTTGCTGATCATAATGGGTGTCACAGTTGTGGCATTCCTGTCAGTCCAGTTTTTCCCTGCATCTTGTGATGGAGGAAAAAAAATAAAATTACGGCACCAATGTTGGTCTATCCTGCATGATCAGGTCAAGCAAAACGGAACTCTGATCCTTTTGTTTTTCCGGACCTGGCTGGAGCTGGGGGTAACCTGATATAAACGAATGCCCAATCAGGTCCGCCTGAAAAACTGACAGACATACGGACCTGATCGGAATGCCTGTGGGCTCAAAAGGTAATACACATCTTGTAGTGCCCACACTAAGGAAGCAGTTTTACTCATACCACCGTAAATGGGTGACATGTTCCCTTTAGGTTGTAGCCATGCTTAGTGAACTGACTGGACTTGTAGCACAGGACTTTATGATTGATTGAAGCAGCACAGTGAATTATATAATATACATCAAACTCACTCGCCCTCACTTAAAAAACAAAAACACAGTAAGTGGAGGTCACCTTTAAAGCTTACCTTGTACAAATACATCCAGTTCCAGACAAGGCTAACCAAAAAACACAGAGCGAGCAGTCTTTTTATCTGTGTAAACCAGCTGACACGAGTCCATAGCTCTGTGGCTACCACCATCACAATGCAAAGTAGACTTAAGGCAATCTGGAAAAAAATAAATTCAAAATTATTATACAAGGCCTATGAGAGGTTCTCAGTATAATCGTCATAATACAATCAGAATGTAATTTACCATCATCAAGCAAATATTATACTACACAGGACATCTTCATAACATCAAATAAAATATTAGGAGTAAATATACCACTCCAAAAATCCATGTTTGTTTGTCTTTTATTGAATCAACCCAGCATTTAGAAGCTCTCAGGAAACATCTGACACCATAGTAGACTTGGGCAGAGAAGAATCCCTTAATCAAGGAGTCTTCTGCTAATTTAGTATCTAGAAACACTGAACATGTCAAAATCTGCCCTTTCAGTACACTTAAGGACAGACTCAGTTCAACTCTGTCTTGCAAACATTTAAGAATTGTAGGTAAATCAAGGCTGGTACGTGTGTGTCCTTTTCCACCAGGAGGAAAAGGCCTTCCAGACTTTTGCATAAATCTTCTATTTGACAGCTCTTGAACAGGGTATAAATTACTCTAGTCAAGTACCCCCTGTCACTTAGGAGATTACTCTCTAGAGTCAGGCTGTCAATTGAAGGAACTGTGGATGATTAAAATGACAAACCAGTCCCTGACCTAGAAGGTACTTCCTTCGATCTGGGTGGGGCCAAGGTGGTTCAAGACACAGATTTTGCAGGCTGGCAAGGCAAGCCAAGCCTTCTTGGGTTGCCTAGGGGCTATGAGGATTAAGTTGCCCTTGAACGGTCCCATCCTTAGATGTCGCAGGGCTAGCAATGCTTCCCCTATGGTTGATAGGTCCTAGTAGTTGGATGAAATCACTGTCATTGTTTCTTTTCATACCTCCTGAACCTAACGAGTGAAGGCTTGGGCTCCCCAGCCGAAAGCAAAGGCATCTGTAGTGATCGTTACTGGCCAAGACTGTTTCAAGGGTCAGCCGGCAGACATATTATTTGACCTCATACACCACACCAAATTCAGACAGATGTGTTGGGAGAGAGTAATTAGGAGCTCTAAAGATCTCAGATTGTGAACCTGCTTTATGAGAAGAAAACTCTGAAATGATCTGGAATGATAGAAAGACTTTGGACTGATAAGGGATTAGTTAAAGATTTCTCCCAATTTACTTTCCATCCTAGGGTTTGTAGGGCCTCCAGAACCTTGTAGAGCTTGCACAAAAGGCTGTCCAGAGTCTGAGCATACAGAAGGATATCATCTAATTACAGAAGGACCGAGATCCCCTGCAGACAAAAATGTAGATTTCTCCCAATTTACTTTCCATCCTAGGGTTTGTAGGGCCTCCAGAACCTTGTAGAGCTTGCACAAAAGGCTGTCCAGAGTCTGAGCATACAGAAGGATGTCATCCAAATACAGAAGGACAGAGATGCCCTGCAGACGAAAATGAGATATTTTGGCTGATACCTTTGTATATATTCAGGGTGCTGCCAAAAGACCAAACAAAATTTTAAATTGCCAATGGTGAACACCTTCTGCTGTTTAAACTGAAAATCCAAGAAACTATTGATGAAGTGGATGAATTGGAATGTGTAGGTAGGCACGCTTAAGTATTCCAAGTCTTCGGGTTAAGATTTTTATTTTTTTGGATCTTTCTATTCATGGAGAATTAAATTCTTTCAAATGGACAGGAGGAACTTCCATAACAATCGTGTAACCCTCTATACACTAAAAGGGTAGAAGGGATATCGATTATCTGTTCCATAGCATGAACAGCAGAAAAATCCTCCACTTCATTCACTGAGAAAAAAAAACCGAGCGGGCCTATCATCTTCTTATGTAGGTTTCCCCGCTTCACTCTCTTCTGCCCGAACTCTCAGCAGAGGATTTTTCCGTGTCCTCTTCTGCTGCCCTCATTACCAACTGCGGAGCTACAGCTGTTCCGCATGGAGCTTGAGGGGATGAGGGCTCAGATCCAGAGGTGGAAGATACATAATTTGCCAGCACCGACTAAAAAGACTGAAAGGTGGAGACCATTTCAGATCTCATGAAATCCATGAACTCTTAATAACACAAGAAGTATCAACTACCATGTCCTTGGACCAGACACCCAGGGTCTGGCAGATGGACGTGCAATGACAGGTTTCAGTGGAGAATACAAGGGAGAATATGGCCTTTTATTCACAGGGAGGGGAATTGATGAAAACTGGAGCAGATATAATCTGGAGCAACTGTGCATGGCAACCAACCAATCAGCTTCTCTCTTTCATTTCAACTCTTAACTGAACAAACTAAAAGGAGAGAAGCTGATTGGTTGCCCTCGGCAACTGCTCCAGATTTTGTCTGCTCCAGTTTTGATAAATTTGTTAGATTATTGTTAAGGGAAATGGCTGGGTCCACTTTAAAAAAAAACCTCTCCTCAGTAGGGTATTGCTTGGCAAAGTGTTTGGCAGAAGCAAAGAATTTATGTGGATCAGGCCAAACACGGATTACAAAAGGGAATGAACTGGAAAAGTCTGGTAACATTTGATATAGCTGATACAGGTAGCTCCAAGTCTACGCATGTGCTGACTGTGTCAATAACATCCGATGGTATGGTATCTTTATGTTTTGTCTGAATTCTGAGAATCCATCTGTACCAACTGCACAAATAAGGACAGGATACAGTCCTCCTCATACTCCACTAACTGTGCAGAAGCAACTGAATCCGAAATTCGAAAGCTTTCCCTGATTTAAAGAGTCAGCTAATATGGCTGCAAGTTTACCAATAAACTCAGACATAGTAGCAGGGAATTCCTCCCTAGATAAAACAGGAGAGGAAGTCCCCCTAAAGGGTTTAATGCAGATTTGGGAGTGTTATGACCGGCGGGGTCCAGGATATTGGAGTTAGGGCCCCCAGGATCACTGCCCTTACACTTTTAATCTTACTAGGTAAACAAGTGAGGCATTGCCCACAAGGGATACTTAAAAACCACTCCTGGAGACTTTGGAACAACTGCAAGACCTGATGTCCATTTTCCGTTTCTCCAAATGGTATCTTGAAGCGAAATTAACAAGCTCCCTGGGCCCTTTAGATGTCCTTTGAATCTTGGTTCCATCCTTTAGACCTGTACATCCGCATAGTATTATTTTTTTATCTCTCGTTTTCCCCATACTCGAACATCTCAGCCAAAACGTCTCCCACGAATGCCTAAAGGGGGTGGAGGTGATCCGCTGACCTGATTTTGATTGTTTGAACTCCCTCATTAGGGAATTGTTATGGATGTGACGCATTCCCTTTAATATGTTGTTATGATCTGTTTTGAATTACCTTTGATGTATATCGATATGCTACTTCTTCAGGTGAAGTCTGCGTACTGAAACCTGAGTCGTGATAACTGCCGAACTTCGCACATGTTTGTATTCTCTTATTCCTAATAAAAATTGACATGCTAAAAAAAAACACAAACACTCCTGGAGCAGGAGGGGTTGAAGCCGTGCATGACCAGGTCACTGCAAGACAGCATGGAGTCCAAGAGTATGACCAGAGGATGGTGCATAGGTGAGGATATGGTGGGAAGGCAACGGGGCTCTGCATTCGCACTGGAAAATGGCACGTACATGTACATTAAGCCACTGGGAGTACACTCACGCAGGAGCACCAAAGCCCATGTAGCCACAGTAGAGGATCACAAGAGCGCCAATTTAAAATTAGACTTACTGAGGTTGAGGGATTTGAGAGGCTCTGCAGATCCTACACTGGCATTCTGTGGACAGAGAGGCTGGATTCAGGGAACATGCCACTTACACTGGTCTTCGCCCCTTCAGTGGGAATTTTCGATGAAGAGTCTTCAGGAACTGGGTTCCACCAGACAAGTGCACCACTGTCTTGGACCTATAAAGCACTCGGCTGCAGACTCAAACAAGTGACTAGGCAAGCACTTCAGCAGAATCCATTGCCCAAGGACACATTACAAGCCAGCCCACTTCCTCCTTTGAGCACGTTCCAGGTATGGCTTTCATGCAATGCTGAGAATCAGCTGATCCAGAAAACTGCAAAATAAGCTGGCTCTACGTTATGAAACATTTATTAGTACCCAATTTTTTTGTAAACTATAAAAGATGGGGTCACGCCAGTTAAATAGGCACCAAACACGTCAAGCCTTAAAATTGTGCCTGCCTGTAAAATCGTAAAAAAAACTACCACTCCCAAAATTAGCCATAGGCGACGCTTTAAAAGCTTTTACCGCTCATCAATTTAGTGTTAACAGTGATTGATGGCCCTAAAATGATTGCTCTCACTGCGTCGTTCGGGTTGATATGCAAAATATGTGGCGTAATGGGGGCACGTAGGCGCACCCGAAGCAAGTATGTGGGGGTGGGAGACTTGGAAAAAAAAAAAATGTTGTGACTTTTTTCCCCCCACATAGCCCCCTATGTAATAACAATAAAGTTAAAAAGCTATGTGACACACAGTATCTGCTTCACCAGCTTCTCTCTGGCTTCTGTAGCCGGAGAGTGACAGCTGAATGCAGAAGTGGTGTAATAAAACATCACTTCCGTACTGACAACACCGGAGGGGAGATCAGAGGGAGATCGTGTGCTGAACTCCCTCCGATCTCCCTGCACAGAGCCACAGTGCCAGTCCCGGGTCCGCATGGAGCACAGGCTTGCGGTAGTGGCAGCAGCGGAGGTGGCTCATAAAGGCACAACATACAAGCGATCAGGTGGCTCTACAGATGCTTGGACGCTTGTATGTAAACAACCATCGCTGGTTGTTTTCTAATTTTGACAGTTTGCCGCTTGTCCACAAAGCACGTTTTGAAACGCCCACCCGCATCTAGAAGGCGCGCGTCCGGTCGTTTATGTACGGTCAGCAGGTGGTTAATCTGTTCCAGCAACATTTTTTTCTTTTTCGGATAAAGGTTTGACATAAATGAATATAAGCACCCTTGCCAAAAATGTTAAACGGTTTGTCTCAACCCTTTCACTGCTACTTTTGCAGGATAGATTGGTCTGTTAAAGGAAGTTGAAACATAACAGACTGACTGGATCGCACAGTGCAAATAAAGGAAAACAAAAAACAAAAAAAACCTACAAAAAAGAAGAAAAAACTAATACAGCAATACCATCCAAGAATTGGAAAGCTGAAATATTTCACATTTCTGCTTCTGGGTTTAGATACACTCTAAACCTCTTCCCCTTTTTAAAATGTTATTCCAATGCTGATTAATGTAAACCCCTTACCATGAAAACACTGAAGGGATCAGTTCCTATGTACTCCTCAAATTTCCAGCGCCATTCTTCTTCATTGTGATGCCTGAATCTGACCAAGGTCCCGCCCAAAGCTTCATCAAGAGGACCAGGATTACAGTCAGTACCTTCAAGAAATCGAAAGAACTCTGCAACCATCTGCTTTGTAAGCACCAGCTCTGCATTATAATGGACTTCAGGCTGGGATTCATCTGGCTGTGCAAGACAGTTATACAGATTTCATAAATATGACATGTTTCATACATATACCAGTGTTAAGTAAACTAAATAGCAAGTAAAATTAAAACAATGGTCTACCGAAAGGATGCAAATCATAATACTTATACTACATGATTCAATATGTGCCGCATAAAAGAAGCAAAAATCTGTAAAATACTTACCCGGTCTGCCCCTTTCCCGTCTTCTTTCGGGATAGGAGCTCAGCGCTGCCCACAAACCAATCAGGTCCTGCAGAGTCACTCCGCTCTGTCCCTCTAGCAGGCTCCCTGGCTCAAAGCGGGGAGATTTAAAGGAGAACTATGAGGTGAGTGATAAATCACTCATCCTCATAGTTGAAGCCGACGTGCGACAATGAAACTGTCACACGTCTGCTCAATAGATCGGGAAGTGAGCGAACACATACAGTCGCTCGCTCACTTCTCGATCCTGTCCCTGCAGAGAGCCATGACTGTCACTCATGGCTCCCTGCAGGGATTCTCCCGCTCCTCTAGCGCTGACTGGCGGAACGAGGGGAGGGGGCGGGTACAGCTGGCTCTGCCTCTAGATAGGAGAACTATGGGGTAAGTGTTTTTCCCCATAGTTCTCCTCAGGGTCACGGGAGGAAATAAACTTGCGTCCTCCCGTGACCCAAAGCTCAGTATACCAGAGCCAGCTGTCAATCACGCAGCTGGGTGGATCTCGACAGTAATGTCGGGATCCATCTTGGGTGCGGCGGTCTCAGTATACCGCGTGCTGTGGCTCGCGGTATACTGAGCTCTGGGTCAGGGGAGGACGCTAATTTATGTCCTCCCGTGACCCTGAGGAGAACTATGGGGAAAAATACTTACCCCATAGTTCTCCTTTCAATGATATGCCGTTCAAACAATCTGCTGGCACCTGGTTCTCTGCTCGCTGCATTCGCTTTCCATCCTGAAGTGAGGAAGTAAATACTTACCCTACCAGTCTCCATCCTGGAAAGGAAAATAATACAAAAACAACTCCAAAAATGTGACCCCTATCAATCTGGAGTTCCTGGGTAACCATAAATACCAAAATATCACAGAATAACCTCTTTGCAACTGTGAGTTTAGGATGGTGAGCGGAAAACTGTTTTTTTTGTATATTTACTTTGTAATAAATTATGATTATTTATATAATTGCTCTGTCTGCATGGAATGTTACAAAAATCTGCTGAGTCCTACAAAGAGGTTATTCTGTGATCTAAAGGAAAACAACATTTACCCAACCGCTCTCCATCCTGAGAAGGGACTGTATTACTCACCTTCCGCTCATCATCCTGAACTCTTGGGTGCACAGACAGGGGTTACGATCGTCACTTAAACCTTGCACCCCATACAGCCCTGGAGTCACACCTTGGAAAGTCACTAATTCACTCCTGGTAACAGATCACCTGGGATTAACCCCGTGCACCTTCAACTGTGCACTCTGCGTGGACTCACGGACCCTGCTGAATCGCACGTAGCCTAACATTTAACGTGACTTATATAGTTATGTGCTTACATTGTTCATCTGAACTGTGAAGTATTCCCTGAAACTAAGTATTGGTGGACTTACTTAAGAACTAGGAGTGTAACTAAGCCATCTACACTGAGTTGAGTAGGAGAAAATCGGATTTTCTTTAGGACTGAACGTTTGGCAAGAAGTATTGCATTACTAAATGTAGAACGTTTTAATTTTGAATTATTATTATGAATTGTGGGACCTATTCTGTTGCACTACTTTATTATGTGAAAAGGCTATATGAGGTAATATAGCCACGGCCTGCTATTACAAACTAACTTTATACTCTGCTAACCTTACAGACTCCTATCCTACAATAAGGACTAATTCCTGCACTCCATGGCACATATCTGTGGCCTGAGCACGTAGAAACATCAGCAGTTGAGGTCTAGAGTTAACTCCTTACTACCTGGACATTACAGAATCCCATACTCACCATGAAGTGTTTTAATAAATCTTGATTTGAATACTAGATATAGTATATGTGGAACCTGAAGTTTCAATAAAATGTTTCAAGTATAAATGCACTGCCACTGTAAGTTCACTTTTATGCTCCATCCTCTGCCTGAAAGTAACCCAGCCTCTTCAGAAGCATAGCTACCTGCAGCTTGGCCCATTTCAACCTTTGAAAAAAATATTTTCTGCTGGCCCCGCCTGCACAAAAGATTATCACAGACTTCAATAGAATGGTATCTAACGGAAGATGGGAGGGTTTCTAGCCTCTGGATATGGCCCCCACTTAAAGACAGTAATCCTTTAACGGTTCATGGGGAGAGTGAGTCTATTGTATTCAGCAACTGGTACCCATGGCTGTCTGAATACCTGAACAGTGACTAATTGCTGTTCGGCTGATAATTTTCCACCCAGCTCTTGGGGTGCCGACAGGGCCAGACAGAGGGACAGAGCTCGATTTTCTGCCGATTCAACAGCAGTTGTCCGAGACCCCAGCCCTGCATGGCCAGCATATGGCTTAGGCAATATTGGTAATTTTGGTCACTTAATAACATGAGATATAAATCCTTGCTGACAATTGTGTGAAGCAGTTGTTAAAAAGGAGCAGACTCTTTTGCCAACTATTGAGTTAAGCCACTAGTGAAGCTCTAGCTTTTACTTACTAGTCCAAGAAGTTTAGCCTCATTTAGAATCCTGTGCAAAAATCGTTTGAACACAGGGCTACAGGTGCTCTGAGGAGTTTCCCCTTTCTTTCTCCATGTCTCGATCTAAAATAAAATAAAAATTAATAGAAGGAGATTCTAATTTGCATCTCACTGATTAGGATACTAAGTTATCCCTTTCAAAACAGATTCCCAGTTAATAAGACTGTAAACAGAGATTACCTGGTAGTTTCTCAAACAGAACTAGTCTAGGCTTTAATCTACAATCTGAAGAAATACAGCGAGCGGGTGGCTGTGCTGTTAGTGGTACCATCTCCCTGTCAGCAAAGAAACACCAACTACATGGCAGGTCTTTGAGGACCCAATAAAGTCTGGCACGTACTAGGGATGCACAGATACTTTTCGAGTACCAGTGCAGATACTTGGCATTTTCATGAGAACTACCAGGGTTGCAGCGGTTGCAGCTGGGACCTAGCTCTGGCACTCCACCACTGTCCTGAAATCATCAGTCTGTATTGTTTTAGAAAAACTGTCACATGACAATAAACTTGTAAGTACTCGACAAGTACCAGTACTCGTACTCTCAAAACTGGTATCTGTACATTTATTTAATCGTAAAAAATCGTACATTAAAACAGAGATGTACAAATCCCAGGAGCTCAGTATGCTCCTTACAAATGACAGCTGCCTCCTAATTTTTTAATTTTTCTCTAGTGTAGTCTTGGAGCTCAAATGTATCGGTACATGTACTCGTACTTGTACAGAGTACTGTACTTGGTATCTGTGCAACCCTAGCATGTACCTTACCAAAGCTCAGTGCTTATAACGGACACTCTCAGAGCTGCTTCAGGAGAGACAGTAATAAATTGACAATCTTTTCCACTTTGTTACATAATACTGATAGCAACTATTTTGCATGGCAGCTTTTTTGTGTGTATCTGTTATGAGAACTGTGATGAGGCAGGAGATAAGATGACCTTACAGCCTGACACTTCTATTGGGATAGGGAGAATCCAAGTAAATAAACCAAAAGTCAAATAGGTAAACTAAAAGGTCAGCCTACACTATTTTTAAAACAATTAAGAATGTAGATTCAAATGACCACCAAAGCAGTGGTATGAAATTACTGGTACGTTAAAAAACAAACATTGCACATTTACAAGGTAGAGTGATGTTCACACCATCACCAGTGAGAAGCCAGGTTTAAACAAGCGATACAACCAATAAACTGCAGGAAACTCCCGCCATGAGCCTCGACCTGCAGAGCCCACCCCCACAGTAAAGCGACTCATCGAAGACAAAGCTCAATAAAAAGCATTGCTGCAGCTCTTGGAAAACTTTCCGCAGTGACAGACCAGTTATAACCGTGAGGAAATATGAAGCAGGACCCAACACCCAGAGGGCACTTCCAGGTCCACCTCAGAGACATGACTCAATAGGGCTTTCCCAGTGAGATCCACAAGCATGACGTCTGGGAAAAAAACTACGCTCAATGGCTACATTGGTGAGTCACTTAGACTAGAGAGGCCTGGTCCAAAACAACCAGCACCTATTGATTATGGATTCTTTAAAACAAAAAAAGGTCATCAGGAGTTGAGAGTGATAGCCATCCTCCTAAGACACCAGCAAAAAAAACCCCCCAAAAACAAGCATGCTGGTCACCAGGGTTATTGGTGTTCAGATGAACCCAGCTGTCAAGGAAACCTGTGTCCCTTAATGGACAATAGAAATACATATTTTGGGTCTACCTACACTTCAATGATAACTTATTTAATATGCTTAGATGTGTGTTTCGTTCCATTTTCACACAAAAATGTCTTTACTGGTTTATAGAGGATCCATGTCCTCCTAACACTCTAGGCACATATTCTCATCTTTCATTTGTTTTGCCTCTTTTAATTTAATTTGCCATATATGTGAGGTTTATATACACCCTCCTCATTTCCCGGCTTATACTCGAGTCAATATTTTTTCCCAGTTTTTTGTGGTAAAATTAGGTACCTCGGCTTATATTCGGGATGGCTTATACTCGAGTATATACGGTATACGTATATACACCTTTATTGATGTTCTTAGATGTGTGTTTAGCTCAGTTTCCACACATTATAATATCTTTACCTCTTTTCTCAGAGTATTCATGTCCTCCTCACACATGCTTCCATCTTTTTTTCCATTTACCTCTTTTTCAGGAAAAACTTCTAAGCCGTCCTGTGGATAAAATAGAACAGAAGGGGTTCTTTAATATCCTCTTTTGAAATGAATGTAACAAATATCAATTTTTCACATTTTTAAATGATTTATCGGATGCAAGTTACAGGAGCACATTTTCAGACTGTAACATGTAGATACCGTGCCCAAATGTACTGAAAAGATTGCATTTAGGACAATTACTTTTTTGCTCTGTGTGAAGTCTGCACTGTAAAGGGGTTTCTATAGGGCAGTGGGTCACACAGGGTTATACACTAGAGTCATGTTTCCAAGGTGTGAGCAGGCTAGCCGCCAGCATCATAGCAACCGAGGACACCATGAGGCTACTGACCACTGACGCTGGGGATTTTTGTTCTCCTTACTGGCGAAGGACAAGGCATTTTTTCCCCTTACTGACCACTGATGCCAGGACATTTTCTGGTTAGTGACTATGCATTTTTTCCCTATACTGACCACTGATGAGGAATTGTTTTACCTAATGACCAGACAACTGACAAGACATTTTTTCATCTACTGATGCAGCATTTTTCCCCCTGTCAATGCATTTTTCCCCCCTACTGACAACACCAGGGAATTTTGCCTCTTGCTAGCAACTGGCACCAGTACATTTTTTTTCCTCCTGTTGACCACAGAGACCAGTGCATTTTTCCCTCCTACCGACCACTAATGTGGGGGCAGTTTTTCTTTACTCCCAGTGCTGACAGGCTTTTCTTTCTCTCCTACTGATCACTGACACTCCTTTTTTCCTTACCTTGGTTTAAGCATACGAAATATGACCCTTTGGTTTCTGTACCATGAACACATACTGTTGGGAGACACATTAAAAATGTTGCTATGGGACCCTGTCATTTCTAGTTATACCCCCTGTATAGGAGAGCTTTTTTTTACATGTCAAAGGACTGTATTTCAGTCCACACAGCATAGCCCCGTCTTGCAGGAGAGGGGACTTCATCTGATCTTTCTCTGCTGTAGATTCACTTTCACTTACAGTTCTCCACCCACACCCACCCTGTAACTGGACACTGAAAAGAGAAGCAGCACTCTGATGATGCTCTTCAGTCATTCTGCTCTTTCCTGCCGTGAGCATGCTCCTTGCAGCTAAACGGATTCGCTCCTTATGCTGCTTCTCCCTCCCCCTCTCTAAACTCTGATGCACAGACAGTACTGTAGATTGCATAACGCTGATACCAAGTCAAATGCAGGTGCTTACCTTTCTTGTATTATCAAATACATTTAATGGTGTATTTATAATTACAGAACTGCAATAATTTGTGTCTTCCTTGCATGCAGCTTAAAATAAAAACACAGGTAATATATAAACAAAATTCATACACACTAAAATAAATTACTCAAGACTTTCCATATAGGAGAGGTCTGCTTTGAACGAAAAGAGAGCTTACTATCAAATATACGCTACATTGCCAAAAGTATTGGGATGCTTGCCTTTACACGCACATGAACTTTAATGGCATCCCAGTCTTAGTCCGGAGGGTTCAATATTGAGTTGGCCCACCCTTTGCCGCTATAAGAGCTTCAGCTCTTCTGGGAAGGCGTCCACAAGGTTTAGGTTTGGGTCTATGAGAATGTTTGACCATTCTTCCAGGAGCACATTTGTGATGTCAGGTACTGATGTTGGATGAGAAGACTGGGCTCGCATTCTCCACTCTAATTCATTCCAAAGGTGTTCTATCGGGTTGAGGTCAGGCCTCTGTGCAGGCCAGTCAACTTCCTCGACCCCCAAACTCACTCATCCATGTCTTTAAGGACCTTGCTTTGTGCACTGGTGCGCAGTCATGTTGGAACAGGAAGGGGCCATCCCCAAACTGTTCCCACAAAGTTGGGAGGATGAAATTGTCCAAAATGTCTTGGTATGCTGATGCCTTAAGAGATCCCTTCACTGAAACTAAGGGGCTAAGTCCAACCCCTGAAAAACAAACTTCACACTTGGCACAATGCAGTCAGGCAAGTACCGCTCTCCTGGCAACTGCCAAAGCCAGACACGTCCATTCGATTGCCAGACAAAGAAGCATGATTTCTTCACTCCAGAGAACATGTCTCCACTTCTCTAGAGTCCAGTGGCGGAGTGCTTTACACCACTGCATCCGACGCTTTGCATTGCACTTGGTGATGTAAGACAAGGATGCAGCTGCTCCGCCATGGAAACCCATTCCATGAAGCTCTCTACACACTGTTGTTGTGCCAATCTGAAGGCCACATGAAGTTTGGAGGTCTGTAGCTATTGACTCTGCAGACAGTTGGCGACTCCTGCGCACTGTGCGCTTCAGCATGCGCTGCCCCGCTCTCTCATTTTACGTGGCCTACCACTTCGTGGCTGAGTTGCTGTTGTTCCCAGTTGCTTCCACTTTGTTATAATACCACTAACAGTTGACCGTGGAATATTTAGTAACAAAGAAATTTCACGGATGAACTTATTGCACAGGTGGCAACCTATCACGGTACCACGCTTGAATTCACAGAGCTCCTGAGAGCGACACATTCTTTCACAAATGTTTGTAGAAGCAGTCTGCGTGCCTAGGTGCTCGATTTTATACACCTGTGGTCATGGAGGCGATTGGAACACCTGAATCCAATGATCTGGGGCAGGTGCATGTGCAGTTCAGATCTTCGGCTGGGAGACGAGGAGAGACACAAGGTAAGTAAATGCAGGCATTTACCCGCACCGACTCCGTGGGACACAGAAGACACAGCAGTCAGTGCTGGATCAGAGACCGGCACTAGCGCTGGAGGGACTGATAAAAACTACAGGAAAGAAGAAGATGATCGGATCAAGAGGCATCATTTAAGGTGAGTGTATACAACAGCATGGGGAGGGGGGGGATTTTGACTTTAAAGTTACTTTCACTTGGGATATCTGGTATGACACAAGGAAGCAGAGTGGCTGCTGCAATGAATCTCTAGATCTGTGTGTCCCGTATGAAACTGGCTGCTTAAATACATTTTCAGGATCTGGGGGTCTAGTATGACATTTCCAGCAGCTGTTGATTGATGTTCATGCAGAATAGTGAGAAGCTCTTCAGCATCTTAAGCCAGCAGTTGAAAAGACATTCTAAAAAAGGTCAAAAAGGCTATCTAAGGCCACAATTCTAAGGCCAAAATTGGCTTTACTTAGTGGCTATACTCCAATATATACCAAGTGGAGCTGCACCCTTTTGATTTGCCTAATGTCCAAACTCTTTGTGGCGGAGCATATATTCAGGTCTGCAGTGCCTCCAATCAACGAAAATGATGAATTTGCAAAATGAACATCAACATGAGTCACTATAAATAAACATTTCTACTTCCTTTTTTAAGGCCAAGTATCTTAGTATTCAAGTTTTTGTATTCAGTGCAAAATTACATTACAATTCTAAACAAACACGTAGCTACAGAATATACTAAACATTATGCACATAATAATACCCTTACCTTTTGATTCCAGTTACTAGTGTCTGTCTTACATTCCAAATTATCTGACTGGCAAGTGCCCTGAGCATGCTCATCCAAATCTTCATGTCCCGCAGTCTTTTCTATGTGGTTCTAAAGAGAGAAAATTATTTTCATAATAAGCAAAGCACCACTGAAAATGTTACCATGTACTTAAAAGGGAACTATATTCTTATTAATGCTCTTATATATATATACACACACACACACACACACACACATATAAAAATCTTAAAGCTTAATTCAAAAATGATTTAATCCAGATATGCATCCAAATATATTCTACAGTACATACAACTGAAAAATGCCGGAGATTAGCCTCCCAGAGTTTATTACAGGCTGAAAATCACTCGGCCTCATAGTCCTAGCCGACCTGTGACAATGAAGCTGTCACAGGTCGGCTCAGTAGATCGGGAAGTGAGCGAACACATACCGTCGCTCACTCACTTCTCGCTCCTGTCCCTGCAGAGAGCCGTGACTTGCAGGGATCCCCCCCCCCTCCCCTGTCTGATCCTCCAGCGCTGACTGGCGGAACGGACGGGGGAGGGGCGGTTACAGCTGCCTCTGCCTCTAGATAGGCAGAGCCAGCTGTCACTCACGCAGCTGGGTGGATCTCGACTGTAATGTCGGGATCCATCCCGGCTGCGGCATCTCGCGGTATACTGAGCTTTGGGTGACAGGAGGACGCTAGTTTGTGTCCTCCCGTTACCCTTAGGAGAATTATGGGGAAAAGCCCTAACCCTATAGTTCTCCTTTAAGAATGGAAAAGTGGAAGAGGGATGGTTATCAGTCTCAGCCAACCAGCAGACTAATGCTACAAGACAGTCAACAACAATAATACAATAACCAACAATGCAAAGTATATTCTTGAAAATGAAAAGGTATAGATAGAGAAATAATTAAACATTATTAGTCTGTAACATTTGCAAGACAGTCTAAAAAAATAGCAATCACACGATAATAAGAAAAAAAAAATATCATTGGCCAATGTGATCTAAAGTGTTTTTGAGTGTTATGGGGTAACAACAGTCAACCAACAGCACTCTATCATACAACATATCTGGGTTTTGTAACAGGTATTATCCAGATCAAACATAACAGGAGAGTGTATGATTGTGTGAATATATCAAAGTTGCAGAAATGTTAACCAACAATATACAGTATATCCTGCGGCTTCACATAAATCCTGCTTGCATATCCAAGGCCACAGTTTCAACATGGAGTAATATTTGTGCAAAGCAACAAAACATTCAAAGCAATATATATTCTACAGGCGTAATGTTTAATTTAAGTATTCAAGTGTGCATTACTGCACCTATCCTGTTATCTCCTCTAAGCATAATAAACTGACACTAAATATTCAGTATCAATTATATGGCTGCAGCCTCTGGGATGTTATACATCCTACCATGAAAATCCCCATATCCTTATCGCATATGTACTCTACAGCCCCAAAGACTGCAAGTGGGTCTACACCCGTCCACAAGACAGAGCTACAACAGCCCCACAGAAGGGTGTGCTGCTGTATTTTGTTCGAGCGAGGATCATGTACACTGCAGTCATAGCATGGGGGGGGGATTGGCATTTATGCAGGGGGTGGTTAGGATCAGTTTGTGCAGGGGGTGGTTGGGATCAGTTTGGTCACAAGATACGTGTCCAGTGTCTGAGAATGCACACATCCTGTAAAATATGTATTCTATAGCTTATGTGGATATGAAAAATAAAGAAAAAAGTGGAAGTTCTGCCTTGTTGTAGGTAGACACAGTGCTTAGCCATGCCAGCAGCAATACCCAATCCTGCCGAAGGAAACAACAGTAAGAAAAGGCAGATCTGACAATCATGGGATCATCGTTTTCAAAGTGGTCATGTCATCGTTAGCCCTTCACCGGTACCCGATCGTAAATACAGACTGGGAGCTATCAAAGACAGCTTGGGTACTTCACAGGGTGCTTCTATTGAACATGTACCTAGCACAAAAAAAGTAAGGAGAACACACAAAAGAAGCATATTTCCATACAAAAAAGGAGTACATTACCTCAAATAGTTCTTTTTCTGTGAAGCGGTTATGCTGCAAACATATAGGTCTTTGAATTAAATATTTCTCATTGCATGTTTGCAGATTAATAAAACAAATTGTTTATTCATATGGGTTATAGCCTTAAGGGTTAGGTCACACCAGCCACTAGACCGCATACCGGCCGGCTCACTTTGTTTTGGGGCTGGAGGTGGCGTGGCGGTGCATTGAAGTCAATGGCACCACCCCAAATCGGGCCGGAACGCACTGTGGCTGGTAGATTTTATCTATTTCATTTTAATTTTAAAAACTGTTTTTTTTTTTTTTACTTTACTTTGACTGCTATCACATGGGGGGGGGGCTTGCAAGCACCCCCATGTAATAGCAGATGGTGGTGACAGGTCCTCTTTAAGGTGATGCTGGGGGTCCAAAAGACCCTCAGTGTCACCTTTACACTAGAAATGAGCTATTGAAGTGCAGTGGGGTTAAATCACCGTTTCCTCTTTCTCATAGCAGCTTTAGGGCCATTATAAATTTACAAATATTTTAAAAATTTTTCTTAGCAGTCTTCCAAAAGCGCAGATCATTGTTATAACTATATTAGGCTAGGTCATCTAAACAGCATTTTAGGTGTTTATTGTTTTGATAGACTTTTTTTTTTAATACTCTTCTTTGCAAGTGAACAATTTTACTTTTACTTGCTAATTGTTCACTTGCATTGTATTGTATTCATATGTGCGCCAATCAACGTGATATTTTTTTTAATGGAGTGGTTTACATAGATTACCTCGCTGGACATTGTGATTGAGAGCCGAGCTGCAGCCTGGAAAGATTCCAACAATATTGTCAGGATCCATCCCCCTGCCTTTGCCTCCCTAGATCTTGGTGAAAAATGAATTCGACTCCTGGAAGAAAATAATTGTTATGACATTGCATAAGCCATTCAAAACGATGTCACGGCGAATGCGTGCCGTAATCAAAGCTAGAGGCGTTCCAACAAAATATTAGAGTGTGTGACTTTTTTTGGACAAGCAGTATATATTTTGCATGAGGCAAGACAAACAGGGTAATAAAACCGTTTCAGGTTACCTGCATTATTCATTTTTTCCGTGCTTGAGAATTAAAGTAGTATTAAACTCTCTTTTTTCCAATAATTAACACTGATTCTTGATCATTTCCAGTTGCCGAGACACCGCACCAGATCCCACCCCCCCACAAAAAAATTAATTAACATATTTGCATATTGGGCTCTATTTTTTTGTGTGCAGCTACCAGGACAGTTAGGCCTGTTAGTGCAGCTTCCAAATCATCTGGGATGAAGTCTCCAGTTCTCCTGGCCAACAGTACCATTGGGACAGCTAGACATTGGAGAGTTCCAAATTGATTGGTCTGTGAAAAATTCTAAATATTTGTGCCATGACTCCAAACTGTTCTCAACGACTCTTCTTGCTTTGCTCAGTCTCTATTTTATGAGTTAATGATTTTAATGGTTAGGGTTTAGCCAATGAGGGAAAGCCTCATTGGTAACAAACACATAATTCAAGCTATGTATAGTTTAACCGTCGGGTGGTAGGTCAAGCATTTCTGACTTTAATTTTTGGAATAAAGTTTTCTTTTCCAAATATTCCGTCTGATATGCTCCCATTTTTAGCATTAGGAATTCATATTTGCCATTCACCAGGGCCATCAAAACAATACTGAAAAATCCCTTATAACTGTAGAAATAAGATTTAGGGACAAAAACTCCCCTTGCAGTGGGGCTGCCCCTGCACCCCAAAGGGTTAACTGTTCAATTGTCTAATAGTTAATGGGGCCAAATCGACAATTGTTTTTAACCGTAGTGCCATAAAAAAACTGAAGTAGCAGGATGGAAAATCTTTCTCAAAAAAATGAAAGTCTTACAGTGAAAGGGGTATTCTTTCAGGAGTTCTGGCTCCTGGCACCTCTACAGGGTATGCAAGGGAGCTGTACAAGCAATGCACATATGGATGGAGCTTTGCCACAGCACAGCAGCCCACACTGGACCCCAGTTCTCCTAAGGTAGGGAAAATGAGTGGATCTTAAAAAAACAAAAAGAAAAAATTGAAAAAAAATAAATCCAGTCAGTGTTTTTGAAGGCCCACTTACACTAGTCCCGTGTGATTAATGCACAGGTTGAGAACCACTGCTTTAAAAGGGCCTAGCGTGCATCATTATGGACACATATTTAACTACAAATGCTATTCAGGGGACCACTGTTAGTGTACTGTAGATAATGTACTGCTTGGAGAGTAAACAAGCTCCCCAATACTGCAAGACAAGTGTGCAACCATTATGCCGTGACTATCTCAACTTTTAACCACTTCAGGACCACAAGACATACATGTACGTCCTAATCTTGAAGGGGTTATACCAAGATCATGGCTGCTTCTATATTGCACACCACAATTTTTTTTTTACTTCCACCGCGCCAAGCTTGCTCCCGTGATGGACTACAATCTTAACACAAACTAGTCGTCAATCACTGGAGCCTTTTTTTTAAAATCCCATTAACCGATTAATCGAACTTAATAATTGGCCAACTAATCGATTATGAAAATAATCGTTAGCTGCAGCCCTAGCTGCTACTGTAGGTTGCAATCATGATAAAAAAAACATTTGTACAGGTCAAAACATTTAAGCAATACTGAGCAGATGCCAATGTTTTATGTATGTAATGCACCCCTCCACCCTTAAAATAGCAGGGGGTTCAGCAGGAGATCTTAAAACATGTCTTCTGGCATTCATGCCACCACTCTCAGGAGGCTTGAATAAAAGAGGCATTAGCATGCCCCAGCCATTACCCCTGCGCTTGATCAGCTTAGGAACCAGAAACTGCAGTTTCCTCCACCTGGAAGTGATGCACGCCACAGCTGGTCAAGTTGACTTAGCCTAGCACAACCCAGGCAGGATGTCCATTCGCTTCCCCAGCACCGCCGACATGAAGAATCTGAAGCAGGCCAGGCCAGTCCACCAAGGAGCTTAGCAACCGCACACAGACCTCTTCCTGCAGGTAAAGAGGAAGGGACTAGGGGACAAGGTTGGATGAGAGACACTCACCATCTAGCAAGAAGAGTAAAGGAGAAAGGGGTGGCAGTGATGAGAGACACCCACCAGATGAGAGCCCTAGGCTGGGCCTCTTTGCACCACGTTCCAAGGAATGAATCACCTTCAGACAGAGGAAACACAAAGACTGACCCCTTCAGCAGGACTTCCTTCCAAAATTTGAGGTAATGCATTTCGTGTTCCTTTTGGAGGAGGTACCTATCTCTCATGTGCTGTCCTGGAAGATGATTTTGAACGGAAAAAATTTTTTCTGGCTATACGTGCAGCATGTTCTGCCTACACTTATGAACAATTATGTATTTTTGTCTGGAATCTTTTAATCCACTGTGATTATTTCTTTCAATTAATATTGCTGGGTTTTGGTTTAACTGTCAATAAAAAGCAAGTCAGCTCATAATCCTATGATGCTTGGAATAATTATATGTCTATCTTCAGACAAAAATGTAAACAACAACATAAAAAAGTGCAGAATTGATAGATTACTTGGTCTGTCTTTGTAGGTTATACAAATTCACTCCTACCCTTTTCTGCTGCTTCATTCTGCCAGCAGCTGCATCATAATTCAGCATGTCTGTGGGATCAATCCATTCATCATCTTGGTGTTTTCCAGAACAGGTTACCAGGCAGAAGAGGAGAAGCAGGAATAGATGCATCTTTATGGTCTGTTGTAATAAAAAAAAAACAATGTTGGTTACTGGTTCTTCACAACAGATTGTGAATTTCTTCCATTTGTAAATGATCCATCATTGTTCTCTAGCTGGCAATTGTATACTATAAAGATTAGCAGAAAGGCACATCATATAATCCTCTCCTGTACATATAACAGCACCTGTTTCCTGTCCTGTATTTATACTCTTAAAACTGATTTAATACAGATTGTCTTATTAAGGCTTTCCCCCATAGTTCTCCTTAGGGTAACGGGAGGACACAAACTAGCGTCCTCCCGTCACCCTAGGCTGAGTATACCGCGAGCTGTAGCTGGCGGTATACTGAGACGCCACAGTATACCGCGAGCTGCTGCTCGCGGTATACCGAGATGCCGCAGCTGAAGCGGATCCCGACAATAATGTCTGGATCCGCCCAGCTGCGTGACCGACAGCTGGCTTTGCCTATCTAGAGGCAGAGCCAGCTGTACCCGCCCCCTCCCGTTCCGCCAGTCAGCGCTGGCGGATCGGAGCGGGGAATCCAGCCCCTCCCCTGTCACGGCAGAGAGCCGTGACAGGATCGAGAGGTGAGCGAACGCCGGTATGTGTTCGCTCACCTCCCGATCTACTAAGCCGACTTGTGACAGTCTCATTGTCACAGGTCGGCTAGAACTATGAGGCGAGTGAAAAGCACTCACCTCATAGTTCTCCTTTAATGGTCCCCATGCAGCATTATGCATTTCAATGGTGCAGGTGGGCATGGCGCTGTCGGAGGACGGAAGGAATTTCCCACCCACAAGATATTACTGTGATGTGAAAGGGAGGCTGCTGAAGTGAAGGGAGGAAATATTATGTGAAAGGAGGGGCTCCCCCTGCAGCACCAAGGAGAGGGTGACATAATCAATCAGTGCTCATTTCAGGTCCCTTTAGCCCAAGGGTAGGCAACCTCAGCACTGGTGAAACTACAAATGCCATCATGTATCTGCCTCTGGGAGTCATATCTGTGGCTGTCAGGATTTTGCAATGCCTCATGAGACGTGTAATTCCACCACAACTAGAGTACTAGGGTTTTAGGGATGCACCGATATATAGGCCGTCGAAACACATCGGCCGAAAATGGCACTTTTGGCAAAATGCCGAAAGTGCTATTTTTTGGCCGAAATAGCGGTGCATCCATGATTTCTCTCCTCCCCGCTGGGCGCTGCTCTGTGCCCCAGCGGGAAGGAGAGAAACTGTCACAGGAGGCCGAGTGCTGTGGGAGGAGAGCACTGTGAGCGGCCAGAGTCTCTCCTCCGCTCAGCCTCCTGTCACAGATCAGGAGAGCGGCAGTGTGGGTGGAGACAGCCATTGCTGTAACAAGAGGCTGAGCTCTCCTCCCGCACAGCCCCACCCAGCCTCCCGTGACAGTGCGTCAGGATGGAGAGCGGGTACAAACGCTCAGCCATCAGTGATCACTGAGTGTTTGTAAATAATTGAGGACATAGTATGTTTACGATTTCCTCAATTATGAATGAATAGGAAGTGATCTACATCACTTCCTGTATATTCATGATTGTGAATATAGTAAAACACACTATCTCCACAAGTTATGAATGAACAGGAACACTCAGTATAGAGGATTCTTGTTAATTTAAAACAGGGGTTGCAGTAAAAGAGATAGGAGGACTCTGTGTCCTCAATCTCTTTTTCTATTTTAAAAGGGGTCTGTTTAGAAGCCCCTAAAAGTAAAATAAAAATATTTAATAAAAATACATACATTTAAATTTTTTTTAAAGTTTATAATAAAATAAAAAACAATTTAATAAAAAATAAAAGAATAAAAAACATTTTCGGTCCGACATCTTTTTTCATTTTGGTGCACCTCTACTGAGGTTGCCTACCCCTGCATTATCAAATTAAGCACAGTCCAGTGCAGCGCACATAGCTATTAGCCTTGCCCCCTTTCCCTTATTTTGCCAGTGGTAACCCTACCCTAAAGCAAAGTACTCCGCTAATTCAACTTTAGAGCCTATGAGGCTATTGCAAAGGGTACCTCTTTGCTCTCTTCCTCAACAACCTACTTTTCTCATGTAGCTGCCATTCATATTTTTTTTTCACATGACACGTTTGCTTTTGTGGATGGCATGGTTAGAAGAGCATTACAGAACTACCATTTTTATACTGATGTTCATCATGTATGCAACGTATTGATGTAAGCATGTGGGAGATTTCCCTGTTTCATGTTTACCTGTTGGTGACTGAAGTCTAGAGGAATATGGCACGAGCACACATTACTTGGCACAAGGCTATAGAAAACGTCACTTCCAGTTTGGCACGTGAACAGCTGAACACAAATTTAATGGTCACGTGAGTAAAGGATAATCTCTTTACTTAGTGGTGGTACTACTTGTACCCTGGACTAGCAGTGCTCTCTCTTCAGTGGAATCCAACATGGTTATTAGGTGGGCGGGGCTCCCGGGACAGATACTTTCTCTTGGATAGTTCTAGCTTCCACCTCTACGAGTTCTTCCCTCATAAGTTAGCACCAGTGAGTAGAAGAAACTACAACTCAAAGCTTGGAAATCTCTTCCTGGAACCAGCTTGTTGATATACTGGATTCAAAGGAGAACTAGGAGGTGAGTGAATTACACTCATCCCCATAGTTAGAGCCGGCGTGCGACATTGAAACTGTCACACCTCCGCTCTATTGATCGAGAAATCAGCTAAGGGCTAGTTCACACCAAATGCGTTCCAGGAGCAGAGCAGAGCAGTTAGAGACCGGATCAAAACTGCGTCCAATGTATTCCAATGGTATTTTGGGCTCTAGTTCACACCACAGCATTCAGTTAAAGAGCATGTAAAAAAACTGTGCAGATCTGGGGCTTAAGTGGTGTGAACAAGCCTAAGGGCTTGTTCACACCAAATGCAGACCAGATCTGCATAAGTTTCTGCACATGCAGTGCGTTATACTGCGGTTTGATGCGTTCCGGGCCGTTTTTTGTTAAAATATTTTTTTTTTACATTTTAAAATGGGCTTTCAGTGCGTTTGCATGCATTTTTGATGCGTTTGCATGCATTCCAGAGCAGGTAAAATAGGGCTTGCTGTGGTTTTTTTTACATGCTCTGGAACTGAACGCTGCGGTGTGAATTAGAGCCGAAAATACCATTGGAATACATTGGAATACGCCTAGAAAAGTCAATGTTTATTGACTTCACAGGAATCACATCATCAGAGTGACGTTTCGAAACAGCAAAGTCCCATCCTCAGGCAAAACAGATAATGAGTAAGATGTGTGTCTCTCCACAAACACACAGGCACAGCAAGGCAAGACATACCCCTCGTCCAAGCTCATAGATGGACAGCTTCTGTAGACTGCTCTGTCCCTTGTGATCTGGTACTAGACAGGAAGTTCAGGAAGCCGAGCTGAGAGAGTTGGAGCTGTTTGGAAACATGATAAGTGTAAGTGCTTGGGCAAAAATGTACAGAAATACTTTGCTGGGCATTGTATATTTGTTTAATCTAGATTCATTATTGAAAATACTTTGAGAATGTAATACAATTTTATGTAGTAAATATAGTGCATGCACAATTTTTTGCAATCGCCCCGGACAGGAACGCGGGCATTGCTGTGCCACACGTTCTGGTGCGGGCGGGGAGGCGTGTCTGCGGTGCCATTGACCTGTATGGCACCGCCACGCCCCCTCCCCAGAACGCAGGGAGGCTTCCGCTATACAATCCAGTGCACCGGAACGCACTGGAGATGGTGTGAACCGGCCCTCAAGGATATCTAAACCCCTAATCAAAAGGTAGTATGGTTCTGGTGCGATTAAATAAAAATTGTTTTTTTATTTCTTACAATAGAAAGGAAAAAAAAAAAACAACATATTTGAAAACCTGATTCCTTTACTTTCTGTTAAAATAAAAATTCCAGGGGGTGAAGGGGTTAACAAAACAATCTCACAGTTCGTGTAAATCAAGATGCTGATGACCCGTTCATTCATTTCCCATGATTGCTACAATTTCCTATTCTTCTTCTTCCATTGTATGGAAGGGGAGGGAATGACAACATAAACAGCAGCACATGATTGGTTATCACAGCTTGTCATGTGTCATAGGGCCTCAAGCGACCATGTTTCTGAGGCCTTACACTTATCTCTAAACTGATGAGCTGTAACGCTTTTTGACGTGTTGCCTATGAACAATTTTTCACTGTTTTGCAATAACATCTGTTGATATATTTTACTTTACAGTCTTGAATTTTAAAATAATAAAACATGATATTATGCTTGTGTACACTAAAAAATTTTTTTCCATTGTATTTGTTGCTGAAGTCAAAGGTTTGACAATAAAGTGCCTGACATCCAAATTTACAACCAAGAGCATTTTTATTCCATAGGTCCCCTGTTTACAAAAATATATTTAAAAAATGTAGGGTGTTATAAGTAATCTTTAGGGCAAACGCGTGCATGTCATGAGTGTGATAATAAAAGAAAAATAAACAGTCTAGCAGTAAAAGGGCGCCACTGACAATTGATATAGAATGAAGACATGGTCACTTTAAGAGAAAGACATTATAGGTTTCGGTGACAGGTTCTTTAAAGTCACGTGACTTTTCATCAGCCAGAAAGTGAACATAAAGCCAGATACGGCCTCCTCCCATATACTATATAGCCGTGTATATTGGGCTGTAACATTAGGGTCAGGTACAAGCCTCCCATAAACTCCAGTGACTGCGTACCATATTTACTATGGTATACATTGCTGTGACATTCGTACAAGCTGACCCCACCAGGCAACTTCCGCTGGCTCGTTCATAAACCTGCAGTTGACTAGCCATACCCGAGCACCCGCCCTATAACAGCCGGGAGAACACAATACAGTTATCAGCATTCGGTCCTACCTGACCATACACCATTTCCGTAATTCTCCACACATCACTTTCCGAGAGCCACGCCCTCTGGGACTTACCCACAGATCACATGATCTTCCAGGAGCCAAGCAGCATTGTGGGAGCTCAGATCAGTGTCACTACAAGGCAGACATGTATTATAGATTGAAAGTGACGCTTCCTATGGTGCGGTGATCAGCACATAACGAGGGGAGATGTAATAAGACTGCTGTGCATGGTAACCAAGCAGCTTCTGTCCTCACTTCGTCCAGTTAAACGGTCAAAATGAAAGCTAGAAGCTGATTGGTAGCATTCAGAGGTGATCCTGGATCTGCATGCTCCTGTCTTATTAAAGCAGAACTCCAGGATGTGTAAAATGTAACTCTTGCACTGGGGCTACCCTGTACTGCAAGGGTTAACTGCTCGTTTTACTCTAGGGAGGACATTGTTAGGTCCACATTCACACCTGAGCGTAGCGGGAACACATATCGCGTCCGTACGTCTTTTCTGCATTTGCTGCGCGTCCCTATTGGTTTCAATAGGTTCCTGGATGCGTGGCAAATGTGGAAAAGTAGTGCATATATAGCAAAATCTACCATGTGCGTTCTGTGTTTATTCCTCCACGTTTGTGCACATTTTAACGCGTGCAAACGTAGGGGGGAAAAAATTGTCTTTCCGGCTGTGATTGGGGTGGCGTTAGTTGGTAATGACACCGCAAACGCATTTCACTTTTTTGTTGCTTTTGACATTCGATGCGCGTTCACGAAACACTCGGGTGTAAATTGTGACTAATGGTGGCCATTCACTGTGCGAATTGTGGCCGGTTCCTCTGCTGCCAGCACCCTTTTGACCGGCATCCCTCGATCAGCTGTTCAGAAAATCTTTGTACGAACAGAGCCCGCAGCCAGTGAGCTGCCGGCTCTATTCGGGTATTCTTACAGTGGCCAACGGCCGTTGTCAGAGTACAGTGTATGGCCAGGTTAAGAAGGATCTTGGTTCTGCAGTGGTGACCGCTCACCTCTCTCCCCATTTGCCCTGGCTGTGAAATGTCCCTCGGCATCCTCATGATGATGTCAGCTGAACTTAGACCGCCGGAGCCCGGGGGAGAAGAGGCTCTGGGGACCGGTCAAGCAGCCAGGTGTGATCAAGGATCAGGTAAGTATGTCTTCTTTAATCCATCCCCTAGACCAGTGGTTCTCAACCTGTGCAACCTCAGAACCCACATTTGTCCTTGGTCATTAAGTCGTGACCCAAGTTGCACTGCAATGGAACGCACGGCATTGCGGTACGGTGCCGTAATCTCACACATACACACTCCCAAAAAAAATATTTTTTGTTCTTTTTTTGAGATGTGATCTGCTTTGTGATAATGTAAACATGTGTCAATAACAGGTTTATTCACAAAAGGGTGAAGAGTTTGGAGAAGGCAGGAGAAGTGAACAATCTAGGCCAAAATAGCTGATTTGGAAAAATTCTCCAATTCAGCTCACTTTCCAGTTCAGCTATGATGTCCTAGATTGTTCACTTCTCCTCCCTTCTCCAAACTCTTCACCCTTTAGTGAATAACCCTGTAAAAGAAATATTGCTTCATTGTTGGAGTGCCAGTGATTCTTCTTTTTATTGTGCTGAGCCTACACTACATGCCTGGTGGCTGGACACCTTGACATATGACAGCTAGTAACATCCAATAATAACAAGAACAGATATGATTAAAAGAGCATTGGTCTCTACATAGATAGGGGGTGATGACTAAAGTGCTGTGCTGAATCTTCTTATGAAACACTGAACAAAAACATTGAATGTAATTACATTTTTTTCACTATATTTTTGGGGTGGATATACTTGCTGAGATCGATATTAATTTCCTTTCAGTTTGTTTTGTCTCAAAATATATATATTTTTATGACTAGGTGAATATAACTATATGAACACTATGGGGGCTATTCAATAAGCTGCCGAAGGCAGCCGAATAAATAACCGAACCGAAGTGAAATGAGCCGAAGCTACATTGGCTGCATTCGGCCCTCTTCACCTCCCTTTGCTTCAGCCGAACAGCCTTAGCATGTTCGGCTGAATCGAAGGGGAATATCCGTTCGCCTCAGCCGTTGCAACATCTGGATCGACTAAGGTGAGCGTTCAGCTTTTCTTTCTCTGCTGTTCCCCACTATTCCACTCTGTCATTCCTCTCTGTCATTCTGTTCGCTACCTCAGAGGACAAGGACCTGTTTCCCACAACCCTGGGAAATGTGGGGGCCTGTGGGGGGGGGCATCTGCATCTGGGTACCCCCTTTCATAGAGGGGACCCCCAGATGTCGCCCTTCTCTTTTGTGAATGAGTATGGGTTAGTTGTTACTACGGTAGGGATGCACCGATACCGATACTAGTATCGATACCGAGTATTTGGGCGAGTACTCATACTTGCCCAAATGCTCCGATGCCTAGCCCGATACTTCCTGTTTCAGGAAGCCGGGCAGTGCGTCATTACACGCTTCCCGGTTTCCTGATTGGCCAGGAAGCGGCTCAATGCTCTCTCGTCACTTGTGATGAGAGAGCATGGAGCCGACTTCCCGGCCAATCAGGAAGCCGGGCAGTGTGTAATGACGCGCTGCCTGGCTTCCTGATTGGTCTGGAAGCTGGCCAATCAGGAAGCTAGGCAGTGAGTCATTACCCGCAACCCGGCTTCCTGATTGGCCAGAAAGCCGGCTCCATGCTGGAGCACAGAGGCGGCTTACCGGCTAATTGGGATTGGTTCCTTAATGGGACTATCGGTATTGTCGAGTACCGGAAAAAAAATAACGGTACTCTTATTCGGTGCATCCCTAATAATTATTAAGATCTCAGTGCTGGCAAATACCGATCCATTAAATTAATTCCACAGTATTTTACTAAAGCAGTATCCTAGTTTGAGCCAAAATAATCCCATACTTCAGGGCTCAAAATTTCCACTCGCCTGCTCGCATTTGGCGAGTGGAAATGCAGTGCAGGCGAGTGGAAATTCCTGTCAGGCTTGCGGTCTCAGACCGCATACCTGACTCGTGGGAGCAGCTGCTCCTGCTGGTCTGTCTCCCTTCCATTCGGCCGGAGCTCTTCACTGAGCTCTGGGTCGAAAACGAAGTGATTAGTAAGGTGGGAAGCCAGCTTCATGCTCCCTGGTCATCTCATGACGAGAGAGCATGGAGCCGGCCTCCCGGCCAATCAGAAAGCAGGGCGCCGCGTCATTACACGGCGCCCGGCTTCCATGATTGGCCAGCAAGACGGTTCCGGCTCCGGCGGAAGGCCGCTCCTGGATGGACATGCTGAGGTGAGAGGGGACAGACTTTCTTGTTAATCGGGAAGCCGGGTGGCGAGTCTTTACACGCTGCCCGGCTAATCAGGAAGCCAGGTGGCGAGTCATTACACGCCACCTGGCTTCCTGAATGGGACTGCCGGTACTCGGTAATTGGTATCGGCGAGTACCCAAAAAAAATATTATCAGTACTCAAAGTACCCAAAAAAACGGTATCAGTGCATCCCTAGTTGTTACCCCTACTCATTCACCAGAGAGAAAGGTAAAAAGTAAATAAACACACAACACCTTTGAAAAAAATCCTTTAATTGAGCAAAAAACACAAACACAGTTTTTGACAATTCCTTTATTGTAACAGCAGCCCTTTGGTTCGGCTGAACCAAAGGGTTCCTGCAGTTGAAGCATTAGCTGAACATTTGGCTAAATCTTTTGGCTCTTTAGTAAAAAAACGCCTATATATTGTTTATTTACTTTTCGTAGAAGTTGAAATGATATTGGGTTGTATTAGCACTGTGTTTTGTAATCGCCCTTTAGGTACACATGCATGCCCTATTTGCATGCAAATAGCAGGGGCAGCAGGGTTGGGTTTTCATTTTTATTTTTTATTGTTATTTTTTTTAATACTTATTTTATTTTCTTTCACCTAACTTTATTGCTATAACAAAGGAGTCAACAAGCACCTACGTGATAGAATTTGGAGGTGACAGGTTCTCTTTATAGAATCATCAGGGGTCTATTAGCCCTCCAATACTGTGCTTGATTGTCTCTTTACCTGGTACTTCAGCTGGGTTTGTGACAGCTCTAAAGCAGGAAGCGCTGAGAGCACAGCACTTCCTGCTTCAGTGATCACAGAGCAGACCGGGGAATTCACGTTCCTCGTTCCGCTCTCCATCCGGACACTGTTTACCATGATCCCAGGGGTGCGGAGAGAGGGTCCTACAATCGCACTCTTGACAAGCACCGCCTGCTGAAAAAATAATATTAAGAACATGGATGCAACATATGCCATGACCTTGATATTACCAGATCAGCATGGCGATGTATATATACGAACGTGGAAAGGAAAAAAACCTTTACAGCTCATCTATCAGGGTAAAGAAAATACCTTTGCACTGGGGCTACCCCCGCACTGCATGGGTTAACTGCTTAAAAAAACACACACATATACTGACACTGCACACATATACACATGTACACATACTGATATGACACACACAAAAACATTAACACACATACCGACTTCACTGACACAAATCCTGACAATACACACGCACACACAAACCAACACAAAAAAAAATACTGACATTGATATACAAAGAATCCATCACAAACACATTTACTGACATTACAAACACATGCACACATTAACAAATATAATAATATTTTTTGAAGTATGAAATTTAGCAAGTGGCCCCCATGGGTGAAGAAAATGTATCCAGTGGCCCCAAGTGAATTGAGTTTGGGACCCCTGTTGTACAGACTCCTCAAACAGACTCCTAGAATGAGATCCTAATAGGTTGGACTTGATGGACTAATGTCTTTATTCAACCTCAAATACTATGTAACAGTATTTAAGCAGTTTCTTGTAGGCCGCATTTTCAGAATTATATACTGCATGCTGCTTTTCAGCCTAAAAATTCAGATTAAAGTGTGTATACTTCACAAAAAAAAGTAAAGAAATTTGTACACACTCCATAGCCAATATTTAAAAAAACAGGAGTGACATTAGTCAGCTTTTTATTCAAAAATCAA